CTGTCTGTCTGTCTGTCTGTGTGTGCGTGTGTTTTAGGTTGCAAAGCACCCTGGCTGAGTCTTTGACGTGTGCAAGCACATCTTGGCGCCAATTCTGTAAGACATGAAATCTGTATAATTAGCAAAGTCCCTGTTCATTGCTTGCAAAGTTGATTCCAGTCCACGAGCCGGCCGTGTGGCACCCCCGAGACCCCCTGCGGCTTTTGGCCAGTAGCATAAGCCTGCTCTGTTCAGAGCTGTTTTTGCTTACCGTACAATGTAGTGCACTCGGCCCAACGAAACCTCCGGGAAGTTGTGTCTTCGAAGCTTAGCATAAATATACATACATACATACATACAGACAGACAGACAGACATAAGTATACATATATATATATATACATGTAGGTATATATATATATATATATATACATATGTACACACATACATACCCGTGTTCAGTGCTCTATATATTAGGATCCCGTAGGGTTTTTGACGAATGTGGAAAGGTGCCCGCTTGAATTGCCCAGCTTCGACTTCCCAAAGCCCAACTTTTTGGCCTTGGTGGGCAATGCTGCTTGGTTTAGTGCACTGCTTATCCTTGGGGGACCCAATTTAGGACCTGAGGATTTGAGGGGATTACGCTTTGGACGTGTGTCAGGTTCAGGGTTGTGGAGTGTTTAGGGTTGTAGGCTGAAGTATCACTCATGTGCGACTCGGTGTGTTTTCACGAAGTGTCGCTGGGACCCGACACAATCAGGTCATGGAAAGCATTGAAAGCGTCTTGCACAAGCTCGATACGATCATGAACAAGGAGCACTGCATAGAGGTGACCTGGTCCCGTTCGTGCTGCTAGGTTGTTGTTTGCGCTCTTGGAACTTCCGCGACATGGGAGTCTTGCAGGCCACCTGGAGTGTCGGAGACTTTGTGTAAAGCCCCAACAAGCTACGTCGACATCACGCACTCGACCCAAGCTCTCCGAGCCCACACAAGCGCTTAAAACCCCAAGAAAACGAACCCTCCAGAAAAAATCCCTGCTACACGTCGCCAAGTACGACTGGCCTAAAAGCGAGATTCGACACAAAAAAGTGTGCTTTGGCCGCACTTGGGGGCGCTTGAGTCTGAGACCGCACACGAGTAGGTCACTCACAGGAAGCTTCAGGACCCAGTTTGAGGGTGTGGTGGGGTCACTTCAAGCCTGCGGCAGCAAGAGCGACAAATGCCATGAGCATATTTCATCGACCCAGGTTTTGACACTGTCATATACGGCGTTTTGTAGCTCGGGGTTTCGTCTTGTGCAGCGAAGAGTAGCACCGTAATCGTGAAGCAGCTTTACTCTGGGAGCCTTTATCACCAAGCCGACACCCCAAGCGCGCAAGGCATGAGGTGTCTTTTCTAGACCCTTAGAGGATGCACCAGAACCGAGAACCTTGCCCCCGGTTCCATCCAAACCCAACCCCTAGCTGATGGGACTGGCACCTGGCGCTTTGTCTTTCTGTGCACTCTGCTGGGTCCATCCTGTTCAATTGTCGTGCAGCAGCTGTGCTTCCCATGTATCGCGGATGCATTGCTGACATGAGAGGCTGCCTCAAGTGGCAGATGGGCCAAGACCCCTGACCTTGTGACTTCCCAAAGAAGCCATCATGTTAACAGCCCAAAGCCTTTGACTTACTTTCATTTGAACCCGAGACCCTGCTAAAGATCCCTGAACTCCTAATACCTTAAGGGGTCTAGGAACAGTCTCATGCTGCCTTGGCAAGGTCAGTATGTATCAAGTACGTCAAATGGAGTCGCCGCCGCCGCAGAGCGGGTTTCAAAAAGAAGAAGTCGTGCGTTTCGAGCCTTTCCTGGAACAAGAGTTCAGGCTACGGGAGTTGATGGCATCGTTTCTGCAAGGGTTTTTGGCATTGGCAGTTAGCACGATGGAAGATTTTCCGTGCACATGTCTTTGACTTTCAAGCGGAAGATCCTCGGGGAGTTCTTGTCTTGAGTGTCTACACCTGTAACTAGGTGCCGGGTGAGTCTTGTGCCATTTAAGCATTGGGCTCTAATTGTAAACGCTTCGCATCGTCCCCCTCGGCCCGGCTACAGGCGAGGGAGGTCTCGTGACAGGGCGGGGTGGCCTTGAGCTTTGACAAATGGCCATATGAGGCGGGCTTGCGCAGATCCTGAAGGCAGCAACAGCGCAGAAAATCCATGCCTTGATAGAGAGATATTACAACAAGACTGCGACATAACACAATAGCGCCGTTCAGCTCCGGGTTCTGGGGAGAATCTTACGATCACTAGCATAGGAGTCCTAGACGTCAAAGCGACATGGCAGCTTGGGACACCTTGTGCACCGGAACTTCAAAATCTCCTGCTGCAGCGTCTTTACAGCAGACTCGGACGAGACATGGAGCCCTGTACCTGTGGACCCCAGCCCCCGCAAGTCCAATAGTTGTTAAGCCCTAGCGCTGTTCCAAAGACGTGCACCTGCTCACGCACAGCCCCAAGACAAGCCTGCACCCCAGAATCCCCACAGCTTTCCTGTGCAGCCGAGGGAAAATATCCCATACACCCACTTCTTTGTCGAGAGAAAGCATCATGGCGTCATGGGAATAGATTTGGGGTAGACAGGTGTCCTGTACTCGTCGACGGGCAGTCTTCGCAAGACACTTCCAGGATTCCCTTTGCCCTGTAATTAGAATCGTTCTACTTGGATCCACAGGTTTATCCCCGCCAGATGCCCTCTCGATGCAGAGGTTGGTTGCTCTAACATATATATTGCAGGGTTCCGTGTTACACAAGCTAAGGCGGCACTGCTTCAGCGCAAAGACCCGCTCGCGGGGGGGGGGGGGTATTCAGGGGCTTCAGGATTGGCAAGGAAGTTGAGTTTGGGGTTTACGGTTCGGGGTCTAGGAATTTAGGGCCTGTGAGCCGGAGTAGGAATACTCTTTGCTGCAGCGACCGCCCAGCCTGGCCCCTGGCATGTGACAACTGGCACATCTCCGTCCTACCTCGTGTTCTGTGGTGGTTGTTTAGCCGTGTTGGTTGCTGTTTTGTTTTCATTGTGCTTTTGTTTTGTGGGTGCGTTTTCAGTCAGCCTTTCGAGAGGAAGATCCTGGACGGCATCTCTGGTGCACTGGAGGCAGTCCCTTGGACTTGACCAGGAAAATCAAGTGGAAACTACCACAGTGTCCATTTGATTTTCCATTTTTGATTCGGAACGAGGAGTTTAGTCCTGGTGCTAGGGTTTACGGTTGAGGGTTGCGGGTCGAACCCGGTCAGCTGAGAATCTCTGCGATCTCGCTGAACGCAGAGGCACCGGAGCAGAGTTTTAGTTCGTTGCGTTGCTGCCTGTAGACTGGAGCTGGTCAAGCAGTTAAGCAGACCCTCCCCTTACATGTTGAAGTAGAACAGCCTTTTGCAGGACCCATAATGAGCGTTCCTTGCCAAACCACCCACCTTGAACACCTTGCGAAAACAACAAACAGAACCAGAGAACCAGTCCCAGTCCCAGTCGAGTCGATCCGCCGAGGCATTTGGACCAATCTTGAAAGCCGTTGAGGCAGCCATCAATGCGGTCCTGAATCCGGTCCTGCAAGGGCCCCGGTTTTTAGCAGGGTTGGGGGGGGGGGGGGGGGGGGTGGAGCAGTGGAGTAAGGTTTGAGTCTTCTGGGCCCCGGCGTGCACGGCGTTTTTATAGGTTGAAGCCTACATAGTTGGCAAGATTAAGGAGAATGGGCTGGTGAAACGCAGGCTGCGACAAGCTGTCCTCCTAATGACATCCAGACTCACATTCTTGAACGATCTGAATGAGGTCTAGTGGGGTTGGCATCTGCGAAATGCTGATGCACGGGTCGGGTTCTGGCATGTTTGAACGCCGGTGCTTCTTCATCCCCTGGCTTTAGTATGCAGTACGTCAGTGGTGCACAGCTTGGGATGAGGGTTTCTCAGCCGCAGAAGCCCTCAAACGCTGATCCTGAAGCATGACACCCACAATGGAAGTCAGAATCATTCTAGAGTCCCAGATGGCTGCAGCTGAAGCTCTGTGTATGAGACTTCCCCGATGAGGATTGCTTCCAAGTACGTTGCGAGTGACTGCTTTTCGTGAGGTGTAGACAGTGAGGGGAATCGTTCCCTAGGTAGAGTGAGGCTACGGAACAAGAACAGACAGGAGCATTACTCGTATGGTCCGGCACAGATAGGCATGCAGAACAAGTCGCAACCCAGTGGAAGAACCGAGAACAACACTCAGCAGAAAGGAATCATAGTGTGCGGCGCTTCTGACTTTGCTTTACGTGCAACGACTTCACATAAAATACCATGATCAGAGAAGGCCTTCTGGGGGAAGCTCTGAACTGCTGCTACTGCAAGCCTGTTGAACTTCAAGCCGCTAGGCAACTGACACGTGTAGCCAAAGTTCGCGCCCAACATTCCGGGAATGGCCCATCATATTTTCAAGTTTCGCCTCACGTCCGAGTTGTGATTGGACCAACAGGAAAGGTTGTGCAGCTATCTCTTGTCGGCGAGCATCTTCGAAAGACGCTGACAAGTTTGGAATCCAGCTTTGTACGTTCCCAAGCCTGCCTAAATGTCCCTCTGGAAAAGGAACACCATGGCTGGGGTTGTGGACGAGGTCACGAAGCCGCTGTCAAATCTTAAGACGCTTTGCTGGCACTTGACGAGGGGCAACCGTGCTCCGAGCAGAAGGTCTTCGGTAAAGAAGATTTACATGAGCTCCCTCAAAAGAGGTCCGTAAACCCGGTTCGAAACGCACCGTAAATCCATTTGAAGGAGCCCTACGCCCACTGCTGAAAGTACTATGAAGGACATGTCTGGGCATGAGCTGCGCTTCAGCATGCTTGGGCATGTGCAGTACACATTATGACGATTTGTGCAAGACTATCGTTTTTCATCGACTCATATTTTTCATGTGTGTATATTGAAGACTACTGCGTGACAAGGCTTCTCACGTGGTCTTACTCATCCGGTGCTTCCGTCCCGAAGGGCCAAGTTCACAGCCCGCGGATTGAGCGACTTCTCAGGATTGATCTGCCTTTTGATGTGGGCGGCATGATTCCCGAGATCCCGGGCATCATTGATCTGCAGTGCATCTTGATCACAAGCTTGCGGTACAGTCGTCTGAAATGCTATTGTGATTGTTGTAAATCTTCTTCTTATCATTAGTACTACTACTACTACTACTACTACTACTACAGCGGGAGCGCTGTTTAAGAAACTACTTTCTGGGACGAGGGTGTTCTGGTTTTCTTATTTTGATAGCGGCTGGTTTTATGGGAATACTTAATCTGGGATGGGTCAGGGTAGTCTGGTTTTCTTAAGGCCGTTTTGTTATATAGCTGTGTCCAGGGCCCATTCCAGAACCCACCTAAATAAGAAAACGAGACTCTGGCATTTTCTTATTCTCCTTCGTTCCAGAACCCACCTAAATAAGAAAACGAGACTATGGCATTTTCTTATTCTCCTTCGTTCCAGAACCCACCTAAATAAGAAAATGAGACTCTGGCATTTTCTTATTCTCCTTCGTTCCAGAACCCACCTAAATAAGGAAACGAGACTCTTGCATTTTCTTATTCTCCTTCGTTCCAGAACCCACCTAAATCAGAAAACGAGACTCTGGCATTTTCTTATTCTCCTTCGTTCCAGAACCCACCTAAATAAGAAAACGAGACTCTGGCATTTTCTTATTCTCCTTCGTTCCAGAACCCACCTAAATAAGAAAATGAGACTCTGGCATTTTCTTATTCTCCTTCGTTCCAGAACCCACCTAAACAAGAAAACGAGACTCTGGCATTTTCATTCTCCTTCGTTCCAGAACCCACCTAAATAAGGAAACGAGACTCTGGCATTTTCTTATTCTCCTTCGTTCCAGAACCCACCTAAATCAGAAAACGAGACTCTGGCATTTTCTTATTCTCCTTCGTTCCAGAACCCACCTAAATAAGAAAATGAGACTCTGGCATTTTCTTATTCTCCTTCGTTCCAGAACCCACCTAAATAAGAAAACGAGACTCTGGCATTTTCTTATTCTCCTTCGTTCCAGAACCCACCTAAATAAGAAAACGAGACTCTGGCATTTTCTTATTCTCCTTCGTTCCAGAACCCAGCTAAAGACCACGATGCCTACGATCCCTGAAAGCCGTGCTTGGAAGCCTTGGAGGGGAAACTTCAGCAGGGTCAAGGCACGAAGTGCCTAGGACCTAGGACACCCCAAGTACTAGGGCTAGGATTTTAGGCAAGAGCCCCTGATGTATGGAACCCCTCATACAGCACAGGCCAAGTTTACGCGCACTAGTATGACAGAACGAAATAAGAAAATGAGACTTGCGGACGAGGGTACCCTGGTTTTCTTATTTTAACAGTGCTTGGTATTTTATGTAGAACCCTATCAATCGCAAAATCCAGAGTCTCATTTTCTTAATCCAATGTTTTCTTAAGTAGTGCTGTTGCTGTACTACTACTACTACTACTACTACTACTACTACTACTACTACTACTACTACTACTACTACTACTACTACTGTTTGTTGGTGGGTGACAACAAACTACTACTACTACTACTACTACTACTACTACTACTACTACTACTACTACTACTACTACTACTACTACGACTACTACGACGAGTACTACTACTACTACTACTACTACTACTACTACTACTACTACTACTACTACTACTACTACTACTACTACTACTACTACTACTACTACTACTACTACTACTACTACTACTACTACTACTACTACTACTACTACTACTACTACTACTACTACTACTACTACTACTACTACTACTACTACTACTACTACACTACTACTACTACTACTACTACTACTACTACTACGACTACTACTACTACTACTACTTCTACTACTACTACTACTACTACAACTACTACTACGACGACGACTACTACTACAACTACTACGCGCATAGCCCGGGGTTTCCCCTTTTTGGGTTTGCTTCTCTTTTTACGGTTTGGCTACCAACGTCTCCTTTTAGTGTTTAGGGTTGCCAACATCTCCTTATAGGGTTTAGGGTTTGGCTACCAACATCTCTTTTCAGGCTTAGGCTTTGGCAGCCAACATCTCCTTTCAGGGTTTAGGGTTTGGCTACCAACATCCCCTTTTAGGGTTTCGGGTTTGTTTACCAACATCTCCTTTTAGGGTTTAGGGTTTGCTTACCGACATCTCATTTTATGGTTTAGGGTTTTGCGACCAAGATTTCCTTTTGGGGTTTAGGGCTTGCTTACCAACATCTCCTCTTAGGATGTAACTTTGGCTATCAACATCCGGTTTTAGGGCTTAGGGCTTGCTTAATTTGAATTGTTTAATTCGGGCCGGGATTTAAATAATTTGAAGATTTTAAATAATTTAAATCCTGAGGAAGGGTCCCGGGGGGGGTCCGGGAGCCCGGGAATTAAATGAACTTCGAGTCAGTTTAGTCACAAGTTCGAAAAGAACTGCGGATCCGAGTTTTCTCTGAGAGATGCTTGAGGTCTGGCACATGTCACTTTGATGTGTGCATATGGCTACACTTTTGCTTCTGTCAGCGTTGATTGGGCAATGTAGTAGTCAATGGAGAGGCTTTAACTGGCTGTCAATGCTACACAGCCTTTTAAACTGTTGCTTCGACGTTACCCTGCATTGCGGGTGTTGTCCTTGCTAGGTAGGAGGGAAAAAATAATTTAAATATTGGGGGAGGCCTCCGGATTTAAATTGTTTGAATTAGTTAATTCCCGGAGCCCCGGACCCCCGCCCCCAGACCCCCTCCCCAGGATTTAAATTATTCAAACTATTTAAGATATATTCACTTCGGGCCGGGAATTAAAAAAATTAAAAAGTTTAAATAATGTAAATCCTGAGGGAGGGTCCTGGGGGGGGGTCCGGGAGCCCGGGAATTACATAATTTAATAATTTAAACATTGGGGGAGGCCTCCGGATTTAAATTATTTAATTATTTAATTCCCGGGGCCCCGGACCCCCTCCCCAGGATTTAAATCATTGAAATTATTTAATTCGGGCCGGGATTTACATAATTTAAGAAATTTTAATCCTGAGGGGAGCCCGGGAATTATATAATTTAAATATTGGGGGAGGCCTCCGGATTTAAATTATTTTACTTATTTAATTCCTGGGGCCCCGGACCCCCACCAGACCCCCTCCCCCGGATCTAAATTATGTAAAGTATATACTTCGGGCCGGGAATTAAATAATTTAAATTATTTCAATAATGTAAATCGTCTAAATCCTGAAGGAGGGTCCCGGAGGGGGGTCCGGGAGCCCGGGAATTAAATGATTTAAATATTGGGGGAGGCCTCCGGATTTACATTATTTAATAAGTTGAATTCCCTAGGCCCCGGACCCCCCGCAGACCCCCTGACCCCAGGATTTAAATGTTTTTAAGTATTTAAATTATGTAATTCGGGCGGAATTAAATAATTTAAATATTGGGAGAGGGCCCCGGATGTAAATTATTTAAATTACCTTATTCCCGGGGTCCAGGAATACTGGAACACCATATAGGGTCTATTTGGCAGCTAGTTTCTGGATTCCTGCCAACACACACACACACATCCAGCTGCCAAATAGACCCGATTTAAGCCGCACTCGGGGGGGGGGGCAGTAGTAGTGGTGGTGGTGGTGGTGGTAGTAGTAGTAGTAGTAGTAGTACAGTAGCAGTAGCAGCAGCAACAGCAGCAACTGCAGCAACTGCAGCAACAGCAGCAACAGCAGGAGTTGGAGTAGTAGTAGTCGCAGTAGTAGGTAGTAGTACTAGTAGTACTAGTAGTAGTAGTAGTAGTAGTAGTAGTAGTAGTACTAGCGGTGGTGGTGGTGGTGGTGGTGGTAGTGGTAGTGGTAGTGGTAGTGGTAGTGGTAGTAGTAGTAGTAGTAGTAGTAGTAGTAGCAGTAGCAGTAGCAGTAGTAGCAGTAGTAGCAGTAGTAGCAGTAGTAGCAGTAGTAGCAGTAGCAGTAGCAGTAGCAGTAGTAGTAGTAGTAGGAGTAGTAGTAGTAGTAGTAGTAGTAGTACTAGTAATAGCGGCAGTAGTAGTAGTAGTAGTAGTAGCAGTAGTAGTAGTGGCAGTAGTAGTAGCAGTAGTAGTAGTAGTAGTAGTAGTACTAGTAATAGCGGCACTAGCAGTAGTAGTAGTAGCAGTAGTAGTGGCAGTAGTAGTAGCAGTGGTAGTAGTAGTAGTAGTAGTAGTAGTAGCAGCAATAGTAGTACTAGTAGTAGCAGTAGTAGTCGTAGCAGTAGCAGTAGTAGTAGTAGTCGTCGTCGTAGTAGTAGTTGTTGTTTCTGTTGCATGAATCGCAATTTTGATAATATGGTTTTTGTGCTTACTCTCATTATGTACTTGTGGTTGCAGCTTTCGTTAGTAGGTCTGTGTGGACGTTCGCCGTTGCACGGCGCTTTTTTGTCCGGCTTCTCAGGAGTCCAAAAGGGTGTCCATGCAGACTGGATTTCCAAGAATGCTAGTATATGAATGAGTAGCCATGAGTTTCGGGCCAATTGCATTCTACGCAGGTGAGCCGAAGCAAGGACAGCCTTAAAGGCAGTGTTTCAAGACACCATGAAGGGAGTTTACTGTAATGAGGGTACCAAACACTAGGTGTGTTGAGGCCTTGGCTCCTGAATATGACTTTGGGCACCTCAAGCGGTTCGCTCAGCCACGAAGCTGTGCCCCAATCTGAAATCGGTACAGTTTTCAACGTCTCGCTCCAAAGCAGAAATAATGGAAAATCAAACGGACACTACAATAGTTACCAGTTGATTTTCCATTATAATCATGGAAAATCAAATGGAAACTATCGTAATTAGCAGACATCCAAAGGTCCAGACATGCTGAACTTGGCCCGCTGAGCATGTGGCTGTGGCTTGCTGTTGGCAAGCGGTCCGTCAGGATAGAACAGATACTGTTCACAAAGACGTTTAGTTCTTTCGTCGAGCAGATCCTGCGTATGCTGATCCACAGAGCCGGGGCTGTATCCGATGATGACTGCTGTTAGCTAGTTAATGGTTACTTTGTTTTGCCACCGGCGGTCATTACTTTGGCATCACTGCTGCGTCTCTGGGGACTGCGTCGCCGGAAAAGCTTGATCGAGTTCGAGGGTGCATCCCAGACTTCCACTACTTCATCTTTGATGGCAGCGCCGGGCAAAAATCAGTCGTGCGTTTTGCAGAGGCTTTGCGGTGTACCGTGGGCATAGGCCAGGCCCAGGTCAGATCAACATGGAGTTAAGACTTCTCGATCGGCGAACATGATGCGAGTTTGTAATCTGCTAGGCCCTAGTACGATGGACGCCTTTGAGTGTGGCCAAACATGCATTGTGCCGAAGCTCTTAAGCTTTGTATGTCCGTTGAACGGCAGTATATTTGAGCTGGCCGAGCTTGCAGACGTCATGCATTCAGGCAGATCGGGCTCGCTTTCCGGGTTCCGGGAAGTTAACTATATGGGACGCATGCACGCAGGCATGGATTATGAATGTATGTCCATGTGCATGTCTGCATAGACGCAGGCTATGATGCCTTAAGCGCAGAGACTCATGAACACGTGACACAAGTCCTATATCAGGCTGACGCGCATATGCTTTCACATACATGTGTAGCTGTGTATGGACGGTCTCATGATAAGGAAGACTTTTTGTTCGCAAGGCCTCAACATCCACGGCTCGGGGTGCTGAATGAACATGCTTGGGCCATGGCTCACAGGCACGGGTGCTCAGACCAACCCCAAAGTGCAACCCCGCATGAGCCCCCGCACCCACGCTTGAAGACCCCAGCACCACAGATCCGAAGGAATGGTCGACCAGTCGTAGTACGGGACCTCGCAGTCACCTCGGAGTTCAAGCCCAAACCTGGTACACCTTGGCCCGACATGTGGGCCAAGCCATGACATGTGCTGCCGCCGTCGAGCTGCCACACCTATGGCCGCCGAAGCAATTCGCAGAAGTGTCCCGACCCGCTGCCGCAAACGAAGTTGTGAGGCAATTCACAAGCAGGTGCCGCCAGCGAACGAGAGCGCCGATCGACGGTTCAGTATTGGAATCACGCAGTCAATCCCGAAGCACCCTGGGGGATGTGAAGGCCCGTTGTTCAAAATTCGGCTTTCGTGGTCCTTGGCTAGCCCGCATTTCACTGACTGCAGAGCAAGGAACGACCACAGCTGCCTCTTTTGGGCTGTTGCCTACCTTGCCGCCACTGAGACGGGAATTTCAGTGCGTGATTGACTTGCTTTGGGGCCTGCGGTGATAGAGAGCTGAATAGATTGACCAAGTTCGCGGGTTAGTATCAGCATTGAACTGATGTGGCGGTCGCAGGAGAGCCATTTTGCGACTCAGAATTATCCAGGCATTGAATCCGAAACATGATGAATATCAGATGGTGAGATGATGATAATGATGATGATGCCAAGGTTGCTGCTCGCACGAGCAGTGGTGAGAAGTGACAATTGTAGAAAACAACAGCCATTGGATAATCGTCATCAGTAGCTCACGGACATTGCCAGTACACGTGCTTCACCCAAGAAGACCTTGAGACGAGTATCGATCAGACTTCGGAGTCGAATGCAATCTCAGCCCCTTTGTAAGGAAGCGGAGGTTAACGAAGCAGAGGCGTACGTTTCCGAGAAAGCGGGCAACTCCTGTCGGGATTGAAGCTTGCGAACGCCCACGGGCGAAGCAATGCCTAGATGTTTCGTCTAGCTGTGCTTCAGCAGTCCTTGGCTTCTTACGCTTTCCAAGTCGGCTGCACAGTCCGAAAAGGGATCTTCCCATCTTCCAAAACTCTTTTCTGCACGAGGAAGGCGACGTGGGTCGCGCGAAGGCGGCCCAGCTCCGAGAGGCGGAGTTTCAGGGGCCGGGGCGATCAGATCATGCTTTAGGGCACATCGGCACATCGGTCTAGGATGCGGGATGAGGACCATGGCAGCTTTGCACGCTAATATTGATGGATTTAGGTTAAGAGGATTAGGCTTTCGGGATTTAGGCCTTGCGTTTGGTTTAGGCGTTTTGGGTTTCTTGGTTCTGGGGTTTCTGTGAGAAAGGATCAGGATCTCGGTTTTGGAAGGATTGCGGTTTGGGATGTTGCTGCCGGTTGGGCTTCATAGGCTTTGTAGTGTTTAATGTTCAGGATTCCTAAAGTGCCCGGGCCTCGGTGAGTCGTCCCTGCCGTGTAGGAACCAAAGAGCAACACACAAATATGTAGCCCCAGAAACTGCAGGCTTCAGTGGTAAGTAAGTTTAGACACACACGGCCATCGGCCCTTGAGTCACACAGGTTTGTGCACAAGATGCTCTTAGCGATCCTGACCCGTTGACTCGCGCTCTACTTCTGGGCTTCAACAGCATCGACGAGTATGCAGACTGGATCAGAAACGAAGCCTGTCTGCAAGTTGCAGCAGTTCCTTCAACATACCACCGTAGTGATCAATACCTTGGCGAGGTTGCCCTTGTGCTGGACGTCTTTGGCCCTCATGCCCACTCCCGAAGTCCAAAATGCCACACCTCAAGCCAAGTTACCAAGCCGTGAAGCCAGATCTAAGGATCAGGAGTCCACAGCCTAGAGTATGAGGTAGTTGAGAAACCTTCAGACATCCGAAGGGTGTACTTCCAAAGCATGAGGTTTCAACGCTGAACAACTCTGAATGAGATAGTCACAACAACCCGGTCACCGCCTTTGCAGGCCCAACACCCTAGGCCCACTTGTATTTGGACAAGTGCCCTGTTTTGCATCTTTACATTGTACATTGCAACTCGCCGAAAAAGCGAGCTTGGCTGTACGGTTGAGGCTCTTGTCCTGATCGCTCCCATGAGAGCCTTCGTTTGAGTTTGAGGTTTCCGTTCAGGGTACTTCGAGGCCGTAGGCTCAACCATGACTGGGAGATGAGTGACTGCAAGGAGTTCCACTGGGGTGGGGAGAACGAGCATCTTGCCAGCAGGCAGAGTGAGTATCATTCGTTGCTGCAGGCACTGGTCTCCATGCCGACATGAAACACGAGTTTCATGCGCAGGATGCTGCAGAGAGAGAGAGAGAGAGAGAGAGAGACACTCCCATGCCCCAGGGCAAAGCAAAGGGAGAGAGAGAGAGAGAGTACTATCTGCTTCAGGTTAGAAGTATTGATGCCAAGAATAAATGGCCACCTTACTCCGTCCACAAGACCAAAAAACCCGGCACAAGGATGGGTAAAGAGAATCGGTGCAGCTGTGGTACATGCCGGCTCAGGATTATAAGCCTAGCCAAGCACTATGGCCCGGAGCTTACGACATGCTCACAGCGCGGCATGCGCAAGCCGATTCATGAAGGATGGATTTTGAACAGGTTTCAATTGGCATGCCCGATGAGCAGATGACATCTGTCTCAATGTAGCTCCGGAATCTCGTGACCTGTTGCCATGTTAGCGAAGGTCCCCCCCTGCTAACCCGGAATCTCCCGTGGAATTCGCCCGCAGGTCTTGAAGTCGCTGTTGTCTGCTGTGAGTCCATGCAAGGCCAGTCCCCAGCTTTCGCATTAATGATGCGCTAGTGATCGGAAGAAGGAGATTCGTCGTTGCACCAGCAATCGTCCTCGAAATAGCGGCTTTATTTAGCTTTCGTACGGGGCATCTGCCCTGAGAGCGGGGACGTACGGCTCCAGGTAAGCCCCCCCAGAGCATTTCGGATCCGCTGGCTGCATTCACTGCCTAAGAGCGCTGTTTCCTGTCCGCAGCCTGGAACCCCAACCTCGCTCAAATTGTTATGAGATGTGAAACCACCCAAAGCCCAACCCCTTTAAGTGGAGGAGGTTTTAACAAAAACAGACCCCAAAGCCACGTGCTTAAAGCTCTCAACCCAACTCCCGGTTTCTACGGCTTCCCTGCGCAGTGCTTTGTTATGGCTCGGACCTCCCTGCCTGCTCTGCGCGGCGGCTTGGCATGAAATCGTCTGTTCAGCCTAGCAGGGCAGCAGGGCCAACAGGCCGAGGACTTGGGGTTTGTTAAGAAGTCTCAGCAACAGCAGCATCCACTGTTGTTATCATCATCATCATTAAAGTCCTCATCATCATTGCCCTCGTTGTTACATTACATTTGGCAGGTCGTGATTCGTGATGGTTGCTTGTGGTGGGCGTTGCTGCAGCTGCAACAACTGCTGCACAGCGTATCATTGCAATGAACGGGGTGGTGACTATCAGTTGTGAACCTCATGGTGGTTGTGAAAACGACACTCATGCTGTGCAAGAAGGTGGCGAGGGGTGGGTGACAAGGACAATTGCAATAATCTTGCTGATGAGCATGAGGTGTACATGGCGTTGAAGGCTTTGAAGATGATAAATATGGTATTATGGTAACAGATGACGATTGTGACAACTTACGATGACGATGACGGTGATCATATGTTGGGCATCATGTTTTTTTTTCGGATGGGGGTGTTGGCTAAGTGATAGTGATTGCGATGCAGGTATCAGTGGCACTGAGCTGCTGGCGGCAGTTTTAGTGGATGTGGTCATATTTACGGTTACGGTGGTGTTGGCGAAGAGGACGAGGATCATGATGGTGCTTGGGAGGATATGGACAACGAGACTAGAATGCTGCTATTGATGGCCTTGCTCCCAATGACGTTGATGATGGGAATGATGATGCTGGTTCCTGAGGGCTTCCCGATGTTGATGTTTGTGTTTATGTGGACAGATGGGAATGTGCTGGCCATGGCTATGCTGGTTATTTTGTCGATGTGATGCCGACAAGTGCGATCGTCTGATGTGTGTGACGAAAGGGGCGTGCGCTGTGTATTCGCTAGCAAGGAAGTGGGGTACATCCAAACTGCCGTGGTAGGATATACATCCTCTACACTGGCCAGCACTATGACCCGATAGTGTGCGGATCCGATGCCGACGTCCCAGTGGAGCAGGAGCAGAAGAAGCACAAGAAAGGCAGGGGCTGAAGTTAGTTCTGGCGCTCGTTCACAAAGAGAACTAGGTGAAGTCAGAACTCCTGTGACAGCCCGTCCTGCTCATCCAAGTCCCTTCTTCGGCACACTGCAAGGATAAGCTCATAAAGAGTGGCACAAGCCTCAGCCAATGAAGCCGGAAGGCCATTGTAGGACCTACACCTTGACAGCCTTGACCATGGATCAAGACCACCCTGGCACGGCCCTGGCAACATCTGCTGGGGCTCGTGCCGCCTATAGCCTGAAGCATGCACTGCAGAGATCAGGACAACGAATTCGATGAGTACTGGATCAAACAACCATGAGGAAGGAACTTGTGGACCCTGAAATCTTCAGTCGCGGGATCTCTGATGAACTCAAGCCTGAACGTGAAACCCTGAACGGTAGGGATGAACCACTTCTGTGGTCTGAAGAACAACCCGAAAAAGACTACCTCAGAGACACAGCCCTGCGGAGGCGACATGAGTTTGGAAGCCAAAGCCCTGGAGCTTGCGCGGCGGTGCATGAGCACAAAATATTTCACCTGAAGACTAAGACAAGGATCGTCGTACTTGTAGTGCTGCTGGTCCCAGTGGTTTATAGCACTGTAGTGCGAGGCTATAAGCAGCAGCAGTTATTGCCAGGAATGGGCGTTCAACCTGTGGCGAGCACTTTTGTTGATACTTGCTACTGTTACTTTGACCCTTTGCAATCATGCCGTAGTCGTGGTCGGACTGTCACACTTGCATCAGTTGCCGACAAGTCGTCAAAGTTACCCGTAGCAACACTGATGACAAGAATAGGCTTATGGCCCATATTGTGGTCGATCACTACTGAACTGTTAAAGGCCGCTTGGCTCATCTGTGACGATTGAGTAGTCACGAGCTGAGGCATGTCGCGGAAGCCGCGAAGAAAGCTAAGCAGCGGCGCGCCAAGAAGATCAAGTGTCACTCAGCTGAACAATGCTGCAGCCCGAAAGGATGCTCACATCCACAAGCATCTCGAGACTTGAGCCTAAATTGCTTCCTGCAAAAACCCTCTCTGTGCTGCTGCCAAATGCTACCAGCCCGACTACCGGCGCAGCCGGCCAGCATCGTACATCCCAGTCGGCAGCTGGAAATGCTTCCTACCAAACGCTCGAAGCCTGAATTCTGAATCACAAAACCGACTGCAGGGCAGGCATCCAAGCAAATCGCTTGGAAATTTGTCGAGACCTGAAGCCGACAGCTTTTGCAAGTGCTGCCGTGCTGCCAGCAGAAAGCCTACACCCGGTCCGCAGGTGGTGGCTGCGGAGCGCTGCTAAGTGATGCAGAGGCGTTTGCGACACACTGTGGCGAAGTCGACCACGATGACGACTTTGCCTACGAAGCGCGAGCTGCACAGTGTGAGGGTCTGCTATGTTTTGCAGCATCGCGATTCACGACATGGTTTGCTGCCCTCAAAAGTTCAAGAGGCCTACGGGTTTGCGGTGTGCTTTTGGGCCGTTTGCATGTCGCGCGGCCATGCCCTTCTTCCCATCCAAGGATTGCGAAGAGGTGGAAGTGGTGATCGCGTCTTGGTCCAAATTCTTCCGCAGGCCCCCGCCCCCAAATAAGCTATGTGACGTTAAAGGAGCAAATTACAGAACTAAACAGGTTGTTCAGACGCAGACAGTGTAGAGCAGTCATGGATCTAAACCGCCCGTTTGTTTCCTGGGTACTGAGATCGCCGTGCACTGCACCATACGTTCTCAGCCGAGGAGGAAGGTGAGGAGCTTCCCGAGGGAACGGTGGACTTGAATGCAGACCATGTTTACAGTGTCTTGCTCAGCACAAGATGTCTTGGGCTTCAGGTCTGGGCATGTTCCTTGTTTGGGGTTTGTGTGCTTGAGAATCAGAGGTCAAAAACGGAGCCGTTTGGCAGTGGTACTTATCAGACAGGCCTCAGGCGAATGTCGAGTTACTTCAACAACGCCTCTGGACGCATTGGCACCAAGATGTCTTGCCCGTCTGCTCTGATGCAAAGTTGTCAGGTTTCAGCAACACTGGCAAGGACTGACGGACTGAACTGCTTTTCCGGACCCGCAAACTGAAAGTAGATGCTGCAGCCATCGCGGACAGTAACCACGTCAACTGCGTTTGCTTTCTCTTTGCGAATCGCATGTCTGCGCGGCCAAACACCAGCTGTGGGGTCACCGCCACCAGCTGCCATGATTTCGCAGCTTCGCTGTCCATGTATCCTGCAGGACCCGTTGTGCCATGCGGCTCGTCCTGAAAGCTTTGCTGGCCTGGCGATGTTCACAAACCATACCTCCAACGGGTGAAAGCTGAGCAGCATTCATACCAGATGCACTCCTGTGTCTTATCAATGCCACGGGAGCCCGAGAGGAGACCGCTAGGACTGCAGAAGGACAATGACAATACTTACGTAGAAGGTGCACTGAATCTGATGGCAGTTATGCCGAGCCCAGCTTGCCCTTCTTGCACCATGACATATGGAGATTGAATGCACAAGCATCATCAAGCATCGGCCCGATCTAGATGCAGCTTCTATGCCTGCTTCCGAAGCTTCTGAGCACAAAACCTAGCCTGCATGATTGTCATCACTGTTCAAAAATACACTGGTTGTTCTCTGCGGCATTTCGAGGCATTTCCTGCTACAGTGACACTGGCCGGCGTGAGCTGCTGGGCTGGTAAGCATTCATTCGGATTGGGGATGAAAGGTTTGAGACGGGGGTTTACTATTTATTTTCAGGTTCAAAAAACTCGCCTGTCTCTCCTCCCTCTTGCCATTGCCGCGATCACATCAAACAGGGCTCCTAGTGTTCAGGTTTTGAGCTTGTTGAGACTCTCCAGAGTCACTTCTGTCAAGCTTGTGTTTGAGCTTCTCGCCCAGAGAAGCATCCCAGCACCGGCATTAAACAGCACAACTCCTAAACCTGCACGTCGCTTAAACAGCTCGAGGGGTTGGGAAGAAGCTAGCTGAAAGCTGTGCTACTGGCGGTGGTGCTTCTTGTCGCCGTCCTTCCTGAGTCGATGCAAACCAGATGCAAGATGTGGCGGAACGGTGCAACCACTTCGTTGACATGGCAAACATCAATCTGACAAACACCCTTCATCCGTTCCATTATCGAAAACATGTTGAAAATCATTATTTAAGAGTGTCTACGCCGCCACAGCAGCAGTGTAGGAAGGTCCACGCCCTCGTGCTAAAGCTGCAAGAAGGAATTCTGGTCTTGGGTTGCTGAAGCCTGAGCCCCGTCTCCAAGTTGGAGAATTGAACCATGCAGCCCTGTCAGCTTCCACTTCCGCTGGACCTCTGACTCCTAGATACACCAGAAAAAACACCCATCCCCGAGACGGCAGACACCCATTGAACCTGTCCATCTGTCAACCCAGCATAACCTACCCTTCGGCTCCACAGACACAGACAGATCCATGTACATAAAGTACAGAGACACATATCTATGTGTGTATATATATACACACATAGATATATATATATATGTGTATGTTCTTTATCTCTGTTTGCACAGAGCCAGGTTTCCCAAGCCTGGAGCACTACTGGCAGGCCTGCTCTATGAAGTCACCCTGAAGAGTTAGCAGCCCACAAATTCAAGACGGGGCTCAAGGGATACTCTCAGATGCGGGAAGCGTTCCTCTTGTCAGCTTTGTGAGAACCTCGAGTTCAGGGATGAAGTTTGATCATTGATCGGCAGAGTCTGGGTTCAAAAAACCTGATAGGAGCCACGAACCCGAATGCAGTTGCGCGCCCGATACTCGCTTCCCCCACGCGACCTGTGGAGTTCCCGCTTAGCTTGCCCGATTCGAACGCCGTGGGGACGCGCGTCCTTTGGAGTTCCCCCTTAGCAGCGCGAAATCAGACACACGCGGACGCTTGCGAACCTGTGGAGTTCCCCCTTAGCTTGCCTGATTCGAACGCCCTGGAGTTCCCCCTTAGCTTTCCTGATTCGACCGCGGTGGCGCGACCTTCGGAGTTCCCCCCCTAGCCGCCGTGGGGATGCGCGTCCTTTGAAGTTCCCCCTTAGCCGCGCGGAATCAGACACACGCGGACGCTTGCAAACGCTTGCGAACCTGTGCAGTTCCTCCTTAGCTTGCCTGATTCGAACGCCGTGGAGTTCCCCTTAGCTTGCCTGATTCGACCGCGGTGGAAGATTGCGCCGTGGGGACGTTCCCCCTTAGCAGCGCGAAATCAGACACACGCGGACGCTTGCGACCCTGTGGAGTTCCCCCTTAGCTTGCCTGATTCGAACGTCCTGGAGTTCCCGATTCCATCGCCCGTGGGGACCCGCGTCCTGTGGAGTTCCCCCTTAGCTTGCCCGATTCGAACGCCGTGGGGACGCGCGTCCTGGCTTGCCCGATTCGAACGCCGTAGGGCTGTGGAGTTCCCCTTTGCTTGCCCGATTCGAACGCGTCCTTTGGAGTTCCCCCTTAGCAGTTCGAAATCAGACACACGCGGACGCTTGCGAACGCTTGCGGGCGCTGCGCACGCATTTCGCGTCAACTCCTAACCCCCAGACTCCCAACCTTCAAACGAGAACCCTTCTGCTGCACATTTGGGAACAAGTTTAGGAGATCAGGGTTTCTGAGCCGAGCCAGGCCAGGGTCCTTTGGAAGAGCGTTTGCGGCAGTCTGGGTGTCTGGGTGGCTTACAGTGGTACACACACTTCCGGCCTGTAATGAGCCCTGAATGTTCCGGCAATGCTGTAATACCTTTCGAAGATAGTTGCTACGTGCTGCATTCTTCTAAACTGGTTGGACGTCGAAGAAGAGTATAGGAAGTCTCGTTTTATTGGTTTCATGCTGAGACGGACTTGAAGAACCTTCAAGGCTGTTGACAATTGCTTGAGTATTACCCTGGAACATGATGTCTCCGTGCGGGAATGGCTCTTACCTTGCTTCAGGTTTTAGTACCTTAACCCCGAATACTTTAAAGTCCTAGACTAGATGCTGAGGCGGCTCCCTTCATTGGTCAGGAAGACGCATTGGTTCGAAGCATCGCCGCTGCCGCGACGGTCGACGAGGCTGCCGGATGACATCGCCAAGGTTTCTTACACCAGTTCCTCTGTGTCAGTCTTCTTTATGTTTTAAGGTCGTCTGGAGTGCCATTAGCAAGTTTCCAGAAAATGAAGCGATCAACTCTACTAATCTTCCAGGTTCCGATGAAGTCGGGGCATATGTATTCCTTGACATCGGCATATTCGACGAATTTTAGGTTGGTGCTTGCGATGTTCAGGGTCATGGGGTGTATGGGCCTTGGAGGATATGTAGGGAGTACACTCCGATGAGAAGCAAGCAGATGCACTCCGACATGATAACCTCCTAAAGCAACACGATTGTAATTGAGGGACTTCAAGGGTGTGGAGTTTCTTCTGACTGCCTGAATTCCGGATGCATCCTCTCAGAATCGTTTTCCAGAGTTCGAATCGGTCCGGCCGGGAGTACATACCCCGAACCTAGACCTGATTACAAAAAATGCCTCCTGATCTGAAATGCCGCCACGCAAACCTTGACCGTTTTGTCTTACGCTGGTCAGGGAGCTGCGAACCGATACCTCCCGGGTTCTCGCATTGTCATAGCTACCGCGCCAGACAACTGCATCAGTCCGCCAAGCATGCGCAGACCCTCAGAAATGAAGGCGATGATTCTGGCCGGGGGCGCCGGCCCCAATGCGCAGCGCAGCGACTTCCGGGAGAGGTGCACAACATCTTTCTAGAGTTTCGCTGCCGTGGGGGAATTTCCAGAACCTAGGATCGATGGTCCAGGCCCTTGGGCCGTGTACAGGGTGTACACAGTGTACACTCTCGATGGGGAAGCTGATTGCGATTTTGGCATCCCTGAAGAATCGAGGCCCCTGAGCACCGAAGCCCTCCCGCATTCAAGACAAATAGACCCTCGTTCCATCCCAAGCAGTTGCAAGTCGATCCAGAACACAGGCAGAAGCAAGCTTAAATGCAGTTCGGGGTTATCCTACAAGCCGTAGTTGACAAGCTGTCGAAGGCGACTCGAGTTGCTGGCGGAAGGTCTCAAAGCAAAGGCTCGGTTGCACGACTTGCAGAAGTATCGGATGAGAGTGTTTTTGGGGGTTGTGGAGACGAGTGGATTTCTGCCACAGTGCGGCAAAAAAAACTGTTTGCGATGGCAGTCTGCTCAGGTCTCATGGCTCGTGCGTTGTATTCCAGAGGGTCTCGGGGCTGCGGCATTTGCTTTCAGGGTTCAGTTCCAGCTGGGGTTTCGCTAAGCTTGAAGCTCGGTACTCCTAAACCCCAAAACAAGAGAAAGCCTGGCGCAGCACCCCACAGCGTACACGCCAACAAACCGATACTTACTGAAACACTGGAGCTGTAGTGTTTCGAGATTTTAGGCTGGAGATTTTTGGTTCAGGACAAGGAGTAGAGTTTCGTGGTTCGGGTTTTGCAATTGGCTCCAGTTCGCGCAGGCAGCTCAGTGCCCTGCTTTTGTTCAAGCGTCCTGGCAGCTGGCGAGTTGGGGATTTCGTGCCTTTGGGGACTTCTGGCACTGTACGAAAGAAAAGTTGGACGGGAGCTTGGAGGCTCGGTTTTGTTTGACCTAGGTTTCACGGTTTCAGGGTCTTGGAGAGTCCAGAAGCGCAGCTGCGTCAGGAACTTTCTATCTCGGTCGTAGAACTCGAAAGTGATCGGAAACCGAGGCTGCAGGTGAAGTCTCCGAAGTAGCTCATGGTATCAACACACCCCCAGCACAGTTGCTTGTCCTCAGCAAGAGCAGCGAACAGCCACGTTCATCTGAAAGAGAGTCGTTGCTCTGCTGTGCCTTTTGTATTTCTGGATTTCCTTTGACCTCTGGTCTACAAGTCTAGATACATAGCTACGCTTGGAAAATGCTCCTCTACGTCCTCAATTTGGTGCGCGCTCCTGTGACTTTGAGACTTTCCTCTTTCGCAAACCGGCCCCTCGTTCTCCTTCTCTCTCTCTCTCTCTCTCTCTCTCTCTCTCTCGCGCGCACGCCCTCCCTCCTCCGCTTGGGGCTACGTTTCCGGGCACTCTTTCATTACTAGATGCTCGCACAGTGTACGTAAGCACAGTGCATGTACTCGTCAGTATGCTCATAAATGTGTTGCAAATGCAATTGTCTGTGTGTCTTTCTGCTCGTGTATTCTCCGTCTATCAGCATCTGTATGCATTTGGTTCCGTGCTGCTACACATGAAGATTCTCTAGTTTGAAGTGGTGACGGTGAGGCCTTGCAGCGGGTTGAATAGCTGAGACCATGACACATCGGAAAAGTCAACATAGTTCTAGCCATAGCAGGGCTCAAGGCTTTGCAGCTCTTAGAAAGGCTATGTACACAATATAGACAACCCCTAACACCTGGAAACCCTAAACCGAATAATAATCTGAAAGCCTGGCACGCCTGAATCAACTCAAGACCTTTGCTGAGGCACTGCAGGCTACAGGCGAGAAGACTCTGGTCTTTGCGGACACCGATCCCTGGGCGGGCATGCAAGCACCAGGCACGAGAGTGCGAGGGCTTTCCGAGCTGGGCTGCGATTGCTGAAAAAGTGGAGTGCGGTTTGGGCTCCTGCATCCTGAAGCCAGTCACAGACCGAAGATCCTCCCCGAAGCCTTCGTGGACATTTTCCCATCCTGGGCAACTATGTGACCCGTAGAATCAGCAGCCTCTCAAGGAGCTGAAGACAACCCAAACCCCAAGAAAAGCCCCAGCTTAGGTCATGTTCATTGGGTCTGCTTTAGAGCCGGTGTTTCTGTTTTCTTCTCAAGGTTCTCAGGGTTCAGGCCATGGAAACTCCGATCGCAACCACGAAGCTTCTCGCTCTAAACCCTTGAGCCCCTCGAAGGTTTGCTGCACCCGTAACAAACCTCTACACTGGAAGTCCTGCGGCCCCCCGACCATCCAGCCACAGGCGGTTTGGCAACGGGGCAGAACGCTGTTGGGAAGGACTGGCGCCGGCAAAAGGTGTAGACTGGGCAGCCTTCCTCCTCAAGGGGTTGTTTTGACACAGGCTTCCAGACCTCCATTTATGAAGAGGCTGCAATCATCCTTGCTCAAAGGGCCCTTGTCAAGCACAACTACCGATTCCAGGTTGGTGTAATTCCAGCTGAAGAGTTCCTCCCACAGTCTTAGGCTTCCGGGTTGGGGTGCTAGGTTCAGTCGGTTGGTGGCATGACAGCGATTTTACCCGCGAAGAAGGCAGTGTTGATGTAGCCTGGAGGTTCAATCGGCTCTTCCCAAGAAGCTCCCATGCACCACCTCGTAGTCAGCTCTCGGATCGGAGAAGCTGCAGCCAGGCCCTGATGGAGCTCCGCAGCCACCTGAGATCCGCTTGACTCGGGAGCTTTCGCAAAAGAAGGCTCTAGTCCCAAGGTTGGGTTCAGGTTCGAGAGGCTGATGCAGCATCCCTGAAGCTATATTCAGTGTACTGTAGACCTGGCATACCCTAACGTTCCATGATTCACTGTCTCAGAAGGTTCAGTATTCAAGGCCTGCGGAGCCTGTCCTTGCACCCGAGCGCAACCCAAGGAGTGGGCGTTGAGGCTGGACTTGCTCCGCACATGCTCAGCCTTTTGCACAGACCACCTAGCCACTCGCAGGAGCAGAAAAGGCAGCCAAACCGTCTGCATCACTTGAAAATTCCAGGCCAAGTGGCCTTGAACTCAAAGTCTCAAGGCCTGAAGAGTAGCCGGGGTTCGGGTCCGATACTTAGGCTGCATTGCGAAGGCATGCATTTTTCTCTGGGAATAAAGATATTCTATTGGTCGAAATCATGCAGAGGTCTTAGAAAACTCCCCACCCCTTAGCTGTGTGTATGCATGAATAAGAGGCAACAACTGCGCGGACCAGAAATTTGGCACCAGCCAATATGGTGTCACACAAAGGAAATGGGATTGAACCAGCAGCTGTCACCTGGTTCCCTTCCCTTCTTCTGCCCTGCGGTGTAGGGTGCTGGCCGAACTTGCAGCATCGAGATGCGGCGGACTCTGGAACGCATCGCTGCTACATAAGCTTTGCCTCGGAGACGGCCCAGGCTACCCTTGGTTGCTCTTTAGGTGACGATCCATTGGGAGTCCTTCAGCTTCTGGTTGTACTCGTGCAAAGAGCGGCTCCTCCTCTGGGTTCCGCGTTGGGCCGAGCGGCTGTGCACTGGAGGGCACAGGTGCTCACTGACTGTTGGGCTGAACAGCTCCTTGGGCGCTTGCTCCTCCTTCGTGAAGTCCGGTGACGTCACGATACCTGGCGACGGCCACTCTCTCTGCTGGGTAAACCTGCCCTTACAAAACCAAACGTAACACGACATCCACACTTTAGGAAGCCGGCATCAGTTCATGGAAAAACAGGCAGAAGGTTCTATTCTACTGGGCGCAGCAGAACCCGTTAAGACCGGCTACCAGCCATCAGTGTCCTTTGTGCCTATTCCTCCAGGGGCCGGGGAGACTGACTGCGGGGAAGAATGCTACACGGTCGCTATACACAAACCATGCCCACTGCAACATACATGCCATGTACAGTGACTGCACATGTACAAACACGTATGCAGAGCAATCCTTCAAGATGGAGTCAATTCCATAGGAGCTGCAACGATTGTCACTCCGCAGCTCCACTCAGATAGCACAGCCGATTAAACCACCCCACGCACACAGGCTTGCTCACGATCAGTATCGATGCGCACGCATCACTAGACCCTTCAGCCTTTCAGGTCCATTGCTCGCAGTGGGCTCGATAGTCCTCCAGACACGTTGCTGCATGAGACCAAGCACGTCGGGAAACTGCCTGCGGTTGATGTAGTTATCGCGATCCACAATGTCGATGTAGGAGTCTCCAGGACCACAGCCAGTCAGCGCTGTAGCAATTGAAAACCCCACCACAGAAATGCTGCAGCTACAGCATCCGCCCACGCCGGCACAGAACGGAGCAAGCTGGTACAACGAGCGCGCGCATCTCTCCAGTCAAGGAAACACAGGCAGCAAAACAGACCTCCTTTTGCAGCAAACATGTGGCCCAAGCATTACCAGCAATGCCAGTTACACTGCACAACTAGGGGGCACATGGGGCTCCGTCACAGTGCTCACAACAGTATCATGTCCATTGCCGCTGAATCTCAGATGTACCGCCTTGAAACTTGTTCCCCCTTTTGGAAGGTGTGTATGCGCAAGCATGTCCGTATGTGTGTGTGTACATATATATGTACATATATGCATATGCATATGTATATGTATTGCACGCATGCATATGTATTGGTATAACGCAAAGGCAAGGTTTTGTCGATACTGCTGTAGATGTGATGCAGGGCACTGCACGGATTTATGACGGGGCGTGGGGTGTTTTTTGCAGCCCGCAACGGACGCGCAAGAGGGGGCTTGAATCTTAGGAGTTGGGTAGCATGTGGGACGTACACTAAGATGCTGCTGGATGAAGCTGACGACATGCCATGGGGATAAGCCTGAAGGATTGCTGACATGGTGCAAGAGTCCACAGTTGTGCTCATCGAGTGGTCTTGCTGTGTTGTCTTGCTGATGCCCAGAGAGTTCATCGAGCCCAGGAGTTGCAGAAACTGGAAACTCGGACCCGGACTTCCGTCATCTGACGAGCGACAGAGATGTGCTGCACTTGACCGAGGATTTCATAATCTTTTGGCTCAAGGCGTAGCCAGGCTTTGCGCAAGATGATCCGGTGGTGATGTCCTCCTCGATGTTTGTCCCAGGGGCTTTGGTGGAGCCCGGGCCAGCGACGCCATGCAGAAGGAGTTCACCACCATAAACAAGGATGGGAAGACTGTGCGGCTTTGCACTGGATAGACCGGGCCGGTTGAACTTCTCAGTTCATCCCTGAATATCAGAAGCCCAGGACCCCCCCGACCCTCAAGTTTGAACTCTCGCCAAAAGCGTTTGAATATTGATGTTGGCTGCTGAGATTCCTCATTCTTCTCTAAGGCGTGAGGATTGGAACGCTGTGCGTTTCGGCTTTTGTTTTTTACATCTACCCATGCTTACTCACTCATGATGTCATGTTCTGAAAGCCTTCAATCTACAACGAGACAAGCCCTGCAAACAAAGCCTTTGTCATTCCATGTTGCATTTCACTCACTCTCAAGAATTATGGTGTTGTCTCTCCAGTATCATTTGCCCACACATCTTGAAGGGGGTTTGAGGTTTTAGGTCAAGCGCAGTCCGCATGAGAAGTGTAAGAGCCGTTGCGGCATTTCCGGGCTGCTGTGCGGGGTCACTGCTCGGCTGCTCTGCTTTCCCGAAGCCCGTTGCAGTCATCCCAGACCCAGGTCCCCGGCCACATACTCCAGAACAATGCTCTGAGAATTTCAGGGCTTTGAGCCACATGTCAAACTTAGAATCCTAGACAGCAATAAGACGCAGAGAGCCGGCCAGCCCGCGCCGGATCGAAGGCTGAAAGAAAGGTCCTCAGAAGGTGCTGCGACTAAGCCGAGGTGGGAGCCAGGCCTGCCTGCGACTGTCACGGCCCGGCGTCAGCATCGGCCCCAAAAGGGGGCCCCCGTGGTGGACGAGGCAGGGCCATGGCACGTCAGCCGAGTCGAGCCCTAAACTCGCTGGCGACCCCGTGCTGCAAGGAGGTGAATGACAGCTGTGGACACTATGTACCACCCTGTCTCTGCTACGAAAACTTGTTGAGAAAGAGAGAGAGAGAGAGAGAGAGAGAGAGAGAGCGAGAGAGAGAGAGAGAGAGAGAGAGAGAGAGCGAGAGAGAGAGAGAGAGAGAGAGACGGGGGGGACCTGACTTCAGCCGGCAGGTGCCAGTGGCTTGCGACCTGCGCCTGACGCTGAAGATGCCGGGCTCGAGCAAAGCGGAGTGGCCGCTTGAAACGCTTCGGAACCGACCGGAGGTGTAGATTCAGGGCTGAGGCGGCTTTGGGTTCAGATGTCATTTGGGGCGCAGCTACTTGGTCCGGGGCTCAGGGAACAGATTTTGGCACCACGCTTGCTTAGGACTCAAGGGTTGGATCGGTGTCATGTTCCCACTCGAATTTCAACAGGTCTTCCTACCTGCCACCATGTCTGTTTGGTACTTCACCAGTTTCGTTTCGTGAATTTGCTGGCTGGAGCAAAGTGCTACAAAGCCACAGGCTGCCACTTTTCGCTGCTCTAAGACTCTAAGACAAAGATACGGAGTCTCGATTCTCAGCGTTTCGTACTGAAGTTGCATGTCCACCCAGGCTGGAGAAGGCCCTCAAAGCGATGCCTGGCAAGGCGAAGGCCCGGCGGTGGCCTTTTGTTTGGTCAGATCAGCGCAAGCAGACAAGCACAGCATAGCACAGCGCACCTCGCAGAAGTCCGTCCCGTGATGTCCCCCATTCCACCCAGGCATGCTCGACATGTTTCGACGCAGGGGTGCCAGCGTGACAGTGAGAGGCGAGAGGGTAGTCTGCCGCAGAGGGTTTTGGCCGTGTGTGAAAACGGAATCACAAGAAAATTAAGAGTCTTGTGAGAGAAGATGCTGCGCATGGCTTAGGAGAAGAGGACATGGGCTGAAATGGGAGAAGAGTTGAAGCAGAGCAACTGTGCCACAGGAATGATGTCACATACTGTTCTGAACTGCCAACAACTACCTCTCAGGTGCAGGATGTCTTCAACATTATCACCCATCCGAAGTTTTCGTCTGGAGTTGCCGAGAAGTACGGCAAGCGGATGCTTCAAATTGTCGCAGAGAGCATGGACTTGTTCTCTGACAAGCAGCGCATCACTTTGTCAAGGCGAGCTCCGGGTTTTAGGTACAACTTTTCATGTTTTTGACGTACGGCGGCAATGCCCCGAATTTGCATGCTTAAAGTTTGCTGCTTTTGAAGTAAGGTGACAACTGTTTTTTTGCTGTTAGCGCAACCAGGCTTGGTAGCGCGAGACCCAGACTGGGACAGTAAACATCAGGGTCAGCAATTGACTTGCGATCCAATGCCCCCAGAAGTTCAAGTCCTTGTGAGCCGAATGGGACGCTGCCACAGAGGGGGAGAGGCACAAGCAGAAAGCAGACATAAGCTAAAGTAGTTATTGTAACTCCATTCTGTGGAGGTGCAAGCTGGTGGAGCTGTTTCAGCCCGGGGGTGCCGGAGAGGTGCTCATTCTAGGGGCGGTGCGGGGCTTCGGACTTGGAGAGGATCCTGGATTCCGGGTAGGAGTAGCAGAGTAGCAAGGACCTTGGCCAACGGGAAATGTAGAGGGTATGTACTTGCGTTTAGTGCGGAAACCTAGCCTGACGCTGCGATAACGCTCGGACCATGGTCTTACTTGCACGGTACGCTATGCAGCACGCACATGCATGCAGCCACACACTTCAGCGTAGTGGTGTAGCAACGTTTTTGTACAAGCCCTCCCTTTCGGTCGCAGTTGCTCCTGATACTTGCAACTGGTTGCAAGGGTCTAACAGTCGTACGTTCGACGATGCCGCACATGAATGTTAGCGACGGACCATGTTGCTTTTTGAGCTGTTGCCTGAAGAACACATGCATCAAGTCTCTGCCTTTAAGTTCAATCTGTCGTTGTAGATATTTGCTTTTTGTTTCCCTTCACCCTAACACTGGCGAAAGAAAGAGGCGAGGGTTGCCAGGCGCACAACATAGGCGCAGGCAAATTCCTGATGGCAAACATCGGGCTGGGGAGGTTTGGACTCTCATCACAGACTCTGGGCAACTTCTTTTTCCAGGCGATTTGCAAGATGCAGTATCTGGAAACTTCAGCTCCCACTTTTTGAGCTTGTGTCCCCACGATGCCCTGGATGATTGTTTTGGCCCGCTGCCGATGCAACTGCCACATCGGATGCTTCTCTTTGTCAACAGAGAGCGTATGTATACTGTGTTCCGCTAGTACGTCACTGTATGGCTTTAGCCTTTCGAAGAAGCCAATGCTTGTACGTCACTAATTAAAGCCAGAAAAAAACGTTCGGGTGGGCTTGAAGCACGGGGGTCTGGAACGTCCTTGTGCCCGGCAGGGAGGGAGGGAGAGGGAGATACATATGTGTGTGTGTATGTGTATATATATATATATATGAGTACATATGCGTGTGTGGCATCGCTGCAAAATGATATGGATGATGATAATGTATCGGCAACATGTGTGAGACCTCGTCCTGCTCGGTTTCGAGCGGAGGGCAACACAAAGTTCACGTATACGCACTACTCAGCACACGATGTCCGCAATATCATTGTGTAGTATAGAAGCGCACACACACACACACACAATGAGAGCGCGAGTGAGATGTCAAGCCCCCAATCCGCAGATCTCCCAGAGCAGGCCAAAGACGATGACTCGGGGGACGAGACGCCCCCTGAGGCTTCGCGGGGTTTTGGAGAGAGTGAATTCATGGTCTTCGGAAACATGCCGCCCTGCTTTGGGGGGGGGGGGGGCAGTTCAGGCTTGATGTCGTTGTTCAATGCATGGGCTGACGGTTTGCGGGGATTGGGGACCCAGAGCGATGCCTGTGTGTCAAGAATACAAGAAGGGACTCAGTCGCAAGTCCCGACATGGAGAGTAGTTTTGACCAAGGGGAAGCTGACGGCGCTGAAACCCTTGCCGCCGTACCCGGCAGAAAGCCTGAAATCCTTAAAATCCTGTGGAGGCCCCGAAGATGCCGAAGCGCCGAAAGAGGCAAGAGCTTCGGGCCTAGGGCTGCATGAGCTTTCGCAAGTTCGTGCGGAGCTCGTCAGAGCGAGCAGACACTCCGAGAATGTCATCTCTGAATCACCCACAAAACAGACTGAAGCTCCAAGCCCCTTAAGCCCAAGCCTCCCGTACTCCACCGTACAGTATGCCGTCTAACTGGTCACTCAAGACCGGACTGCCAGGAGCCGTTCCCGCTCACAAAAGCGGAGGCCGCAAGTCTCCAATACCAGAGCTTCGCGTAATTAGGGGCCCTTATTCCGGGATCCTTGTTTAGGCTACAAAGTGCATCGCAGCCACCAGACCCATGCTTCTTAAGTAAGGCAACAATTCGGTTTTGCCACAGCAACTAGTGAACCCTTCGGCGAGCACGGTCATTGTTGTCTTTCCAGCTCCAGCTCAAAGTTTGTATCATAGATAACTCAAGCCGTGAAATAAAGCCCTGCACAGAACCCAAAAGACTGCCTTAGCCAACATGCATGGGGCCTAAGCAAGCTCGTGTTATTCCAGAAATACTTTAAACATGTTGAGACAATCTCCTGTCTTATGGTTGTGAACTCAAAGGAATGAATGGATGTGAATATGTTGTGGCATGGAAAGAACAGACCTCAGCGAAGGGATGTGTGTTTGCCTTCGTCGATGCTTCGGGATGCGCGCCCTCAAAGACCATAAAGCACCGCGCATGTTGATGATGCTTCGCTCTGACCCTGTGAAATGTGACAGATGCCAACATCTCAAGGATGCTGTAAGCACAGCATGCAGCAGCATGCAGTCTGTCCGAGGAGTCGGTTTTGAAAGCCCCCATGACATGAACACGCGCGTGTGTCCGAGACCTCGGTCCAAAAAGTGCTGTCAGCACGACCCTACAAACTGAGGTCCCCAAGCCCTGCCAAAAAGCCTGCGCCGCAGAATGCTGCATCGCCAAGCAGAGGTGCCCCCTTCAGGGAAGATTGGTTTTCTGAAGCGCAGGGTGTGCGGCTCTGTCAGCCAAAATCAGAGCATTGAGGCGTTGTCTGCGATACGGTCTGGGGAAGGCGGACGAAAATGGGATACAGTTCTTTGAGGGGCTCTTCCGAGCCCCTGGGGTGAGCGAAGGTAAGCCATGAAGGAACCCACAGACGAGCGACTCCACTTTCCAGAGTTGGGGGGGCAATTCGAAACCCCTTTGCAATCCAAGACACCTTTCATCTGCAAAAAGCTACATGACTCTGCAGCTGGCAGATGCAGAGCCCCAGCAACCGCTTGTCAAAGAGCTGTCGGGGAATGTGGCAGCTCCGTGAGCTCCAAAGGCAAACCAGGAGCTTTGTGTCTTCCCGAACGTCTGAAGAGTACGGCTTCTTTGCACAGAAGCCAGTACAAGCAAAAAATAACAATTGAAGTTGTCAGTCAGCATTGGCATCGTAAGATCATGGTCTGTGGCCACTCGCGCCAGGGCTAGGCGATATGCTGCTGTTTGCTGTCACCTTCCCTGCCGACAAAAAATGTCGGTAATTGCAAGTAGTCCTTGCTTGGAAGCTGGGTATCCCACACTTTTCTGGCTCAGCTGTCTTTCTGAAGCCTGTCAGCATGGAACAAAGCATGCTAGTTCACACGAAGGAGCGCCAATATGTACTGAGCTGCTTGCAACTCCAAGCATGTCTGTGCTTGCAGCACACGGACCTTCTGCCCGATGCACTTAGCACGTGCATTTCTTTGTGTGACGAACAGTACATCAGCAGCAGCTGTAGCACGACCTTTTGCGCATTGCCCATTGCCACAAAATGTAGCCGTATGTCAGAACCATGTTCGGGACGAGTGCGCTGGTTGTACCATTGAGATGGGCGAATTTCGGGGCCAGTTCGGAGTCATCTACACCTTTTGCAAGCGATTCGCACACTTGTGACTTGCTAGCTTTGGCCCAGTTTGTTCGGCTAAAGAGTCCAGTGATGCAGGTCGCCCAGACATCAGCAAGTCCAGGGAAGCGAACGAGGAGGAAGCAGCTTGGCGATCAAGCCATGTGGCATCGCAGGGTGATGAGCTTCGGATGCGGGCGAGCAGATGAATACTCGTATGACGACTACTCTCATTCGTAGTACTTTTTCTGCAAGTAATCAGCAGCAGTAACGGCAATACTACTACTAGTACTACTGCTGTTGTCTTTATTCTTCTTCTCATGGCTAGCATTATTGCCAGCATGAGAGATATCATTACAGGTGCTATTCATTCCTGTTGGCATTGATATTGTGGCTCTTGCAGCTCTAAAAATGCACAAGAATGCACATTCTCATGATACGAAAATCAACATGTTTATCCTTGTTGTATTCTTACTTTTGCTACAAGTATTGTTTTTCTTATTAGTCTGATTTTTGTTATGACTACAAGCATACGTCCTAGCATTGTTATTAGTAGTGGGAGTAGTAGTAGATGTAGTAGTAGTAGTAGTCGTCGTAGTCGTAGTCGTGGTCGTAGTAGTAGTAGTAGCCCTCGTTTCCCGGCACACATTACTTACCACTACGATTACTACTACTGCTGGTACTACGACTGCTACTGTTGCTACGACTGCTGCATATGGTGGCAGTGACTGCAGCATGTCTTGTGGTCTTCCTTGGACGCGGCTTTCGGTTCACTTCCATAGACCTTCAGGATCGCAGCGTATTCTTGAAACTCTCCTGCCGCTCATGCAGCAGGAAACAGTTGATATTCCAAGAATATCCCAAAACTTGGCCCTTCTCATCTTTGGCCAAGGATCCTGACTGGAAAGAGAGATACAGGAAGCAGGAGGAGGACAAAAGGCGAGCAGAAGCCGAAAAGAAGGCTCAGCAAGACCGCGAAGCGAAGAGGAAGGCACGGCCAATGCCGGCGTGTTGTTCCTTCGCGGTCTCTTCATTAGTGGCGGGCTGCTCCCAGCGGGTTATGCTCCAGCTTTTCAAGGACATTGCAGAGATAGTAGTAGTCGTCGTTGTCGTCGTAGTAGCCGTCGTAGCAGTAGGGGCAATAGGGATTTCAATGATAGTAGTACTGGGGGTAATCGTGGTCGTCGTCGTCGTAGGCGTAGTCGTAGTCGTAGTCGCAGTAGTAGTAGTAGTAGTAGTAGTAGTAGTAGTAGGAGTAGTAGCAGTAGCAGTAGACGGAGTAGACGTAGTAGGAGTAGTAACAAGAATAGGAAAATGGTTGTTGTAGCAGTTGTTGTTGCTGTTGTGGCAGTCGTAATAGCAGTAGCAGCGGACGGGGTTGGTTTCGGTGCCGAGTTTCAGGGCCGAGTTTCCGAACATTGTGAGGGCAGTTTCGGATCTAATCAACACATGCTCAGTTTCGGCCCCATGCCACAGTCAAACACTGGAAACACTGCTAAACACTGCTAACCCCAGCCCCACGACTACTTCTACTACTACTGCTACTGCTACTACTACTACTACTACTACTACTACTACTACTACACGACGACGGATTCTACTACTGCTGCTGCCACCGCTATTACTACCTACCACGTGGTGGCGGTGGTGGTGGGGGCGTAGTCGTGGTCGTCGTGGTGCCCGTCACCTACTGATAGGCTCGAAGCTGGAGTCCAGCCCAGTTCACAACGATCTTCAGCAGATTAATCTTCACTGTCTGCAGTCCTCGTCAACGAGTAAGGGACGCTAATCTGGATGGACCCTAAGCCAATGAGATCCTCAACAGTAAGATCTCAATGTAAGCTCCGATCTGAAATGACAAGCCCCCCCCCCCCCGCATGATGTAGGCCAAACTTGGTGCGGCCTTCCAGCTGGAGGACTAATATCGATGAGGGCTGTCGAGTAATGGTGATTGGGGCTTCGGGTGCTGCATCAGGAGGATGGCAGAGCTGCGGGAGTGAGGGGTTTGCCGGCCAAATCCCCGAGAACAGAAGACCGGATCTGTTGAAGCTCTTTCTTGGTTGTGCATATGGTCAGCGTGAGCATGAGTAACTGCACAACAAAGCAGATCGTCGTGCCGAGCGGATTACATATAGGTGTCCACAGATGAAAAACATACATGCAGAATCTAGCACCCCCGCCCCACCCCGCCCTACGAGAACCAACCCGGCAGATAGCTTTCACAGAAGTAAAAGAGGAGCAGGATGCTTAGCCGAGCGTGCGCACTGCTGGTCTTAGTGCAGATCTGCAGAAGCGAAGAGCCAACACAACACGGACATCAGGTGCAACATGTCTGTTTCCTCCTCGAATCAGAACAGTTCAAGATTAGCACGAGCACAAGAGACGTGGATACCCAGCGATGGGACGGAAGAACCCAGTATCCCAGTGCAAGTCCACGGATTCTGGCGACGGTACCAATACACCCACTGCGCAGAACGAATCTTGCGAGTAATCACAGGGTTGCCTGGTATGCGACATTTGGAGTGCAAGAAGCCCCTGTTCTGGCGCCAACACTTGTCAATTATTCGAGCCACACTGATACTCATATACACACATACCTTTCTATACATATTCCCACACACACACAGCCACCTATCACAGGAATGTCCGCGGACTCATACTGTGCAGAACACATGCACAAGAAGACATGTTGGTTCATGCATCCGCATATGTTATGAACATAGATCCGCAGACATATTCGCATGCACACCTGTCGATTTGTTCCGTGACGGACCAGAAACCTAGAACACTGCAACCGAGCTAATTCATCCTAGACCTTTCCCGAAACCCTTGAAAGGCATACCACTAGTTGTTCATCAGATTAAGCCTGGAAGGCTAAACTGTGGTGAACATGCACTTGAGGGTGTAGCCAAGACCCTCCGGCCAGCGTTTTGTCAGGACGAGGATGATGCAGCGAACGCGAGAGCTCAGCTTGCAAGCAAGCTCAGCGGACGCAAGGACAGACCGAACTACGGCTCTCCGACAGGGCTTGGGTTTTGGGAATGTGGGATGCGGGATGCGCGATGCCAGACATTGCATCATAGCGGCATAGCGCCTACATCCTGACTTAAGATGCTTCAACATGAGGTAGCACCTACAAGAACGAAAGCTTTGCCGGCGGCCCTTGTCAGCACATAGGTCGGTAAAAAAGACGGAACCCGGAAAGTCCTGCTCACGGTTCAAGGTCGTCAGACAACTTCCGGTCGTCGGTCTCATTTGGCCCGGGTTGGATTTTGGCCGAAGACTCATGACAAGGGTTTAAGCTAGCGAAAGCAGATGCCTTAGTGACTTAACGGATTTCCAACATGTTGGGGTCAATTTGACACAACACCCGGGCATCCCCATCAAGCTGTGGCTTGCGAAGCGGGAGCGAAAGCAAGAAACCTGAGCCCTAAGTCTTCGGTTTTATGACTGCAACCTTTGGAGGAGGAGCTTCCCTCACTGGCTATGGCCCGAGCCTCCGCGGGTCGCGATGCTGATCCTCGCTTCGTAGAGGCCAAACGGAGCGGGGTCCAATGTTGTTCCGATGCTGTGCTATGGATGTCCTTGTTTCTTTCAGTAGTCCAAAAAGACGGCAGAACTATGCAGGTCTTAGGCTATGGAAATCAAGCCCCGGAACTAAACATGCTCCTGTATAAAGGCGATGGGCGGGGACAAGCTCCTCCAGGAGGCAAAGGGATGAGGTTGGGCTTCGCAGGCTAGCACATGTAGGCTTTTGGGCGTATGGCTACAGGTTGACGTTTAGAACACTGGTTTTGCTGAAGTTCCGATGCTTTCAGGGCTCATGTTTGCGGGTGGTGTTTGTTGCGTAGGGTTTGCGCTTCGGAATACCCGGAAGGCTTGAGGCCGGCTCGCGAAAAGAGGACCTCTTGTTCAGATAAACTCGGTATCCCACACATGCGTCTGGTGAGGGAAATCTGCTGCCAAAGATCAACACTTAATTAACGGGGTAGATGTTATGGGTGCCAGGGCTGCAACAAGAGCTGACTCCTGCTCCAAACAAAATGATTTCTTGGCACGGGCCCGTCAGGTCTTTCCCTTCCGAAAAGCCAATCTTGTGCGTGGATGTCGGTCTTGCTATGCACTGGTGACTACTCGTACAACTCAGCAAGCTCTAACGGCTCTAACCGTCGAAGCTCAAGACATCTCAAGACTGCCCGAGACCTTCAGGATCAATCCCTACTCCCACTGCTCCCGCTGCTCCCGGTCCCTGCGTAAGGCCCACAAGATCCTGCGAAGCGCTGCGGGCAGCGGCCGCCTTGGGACCACATCGCGATCCAGGCTTGAAGCCGTTCCATAACTCCAGGTCCTTCAGCTTGGGTCCTACGCAGGGATTTGCGGTGTTTCTGGCTTTTCGAATTGTCCTAGGGCCTAGGGCTTCATTGAGGTTGCCCGGTGCGAGGGCTGCATGATTTGCAATTCAGACTTGAGGCCGTGCTTCCAGCTTTGCCCAAACCTCATCCTCATCCTCGCGATAACGGGAGCCGAAGCACGGCAAGTCTGAAATTCCACACTTGTTGTTTTGCAATCTTGTTGGCGATTCGGGGCCTAGTCGGCCTCAGGATCCAAAACAGCAGTTTGAGCATCTGGGTCCTGTCGCTGAAAAGGACATTCGGGATGAGGACGCGTGCACCGTGAGGTCTGAACTTTGAACCCCACGGATCCCGAACGCCTAAAACCCAAACCCCAAACCTTTAAACGAAAAGAGCTCCTTCACCCTGCCTTCTTACATCTACTCGAAGTTCGCAGGGCCGGTTTCATGATCTAGGTTCGAAGATGCAAGGCAAGGAGCAACCCCGGGGCGATGTGCACCGCAGCCCCTCAACCTCAAAAAGGTTTGGCATCATGCCAAGCCTGCAAAGACTAACTAGACTAGACCCTCCCCCGGCCCCGTCCCCCCCACAGATATCAAAGCCCCTGCAGACCAGGAGTCGCAGTCGTAGCCGGAGGCGGAGACGCGAGAGAAGCGCATCTGCCTCGCGTGACCGAGGTGGCTAACGCTTTGATGGGCCGGGGTGTTTAGGTTTGGGGCTTTAGTGTTTGAGGCAGGCCCAGGGGATCTTGAGAGGACACAGGGTCTTCAGGGCTTTGGAGGTGCGCGGAAGCACCTTGCGGCAGAGTTCCAAAAGGGGCTATGTAGACAAGGGGACATGCATGACTTGGCTGGGCAACAACTGGGCGTTTCAGCTTCGTGAACAGGAAGCTGGGCTCTGAGCTCCTGCGGTCTGAACGTGCACATGCTCGTGCATGCGCGCATACAAATAACTATTGACATTTCTCGACGAAATATCGTAGTATGCCGATCTGTCCAGGCCCATGTGCATTGTCCGCAGGCAGCACACAAATCGCCAGACATGCAGGGTTCTCCAGATTTCAGGTTCATGGTTTCCTCCCGTCCAGGTAAACAGTATCTCAGGTGCGTAGGCTGTTTGTCCGGAGAGCGGCGCAAAGGCGTTTTGGTGTGGCGACATGTGAATTGACGTCAGCTTGGTGCGTGAGAGGTAAGCGGGTCTCTAAGACTCCGATCGAAGTATCCTTTAATGCACCCAGAGCCAACGGCCCTCGGCTCGGTGGATTGGAGCGCGGCTGGCGTCGGCACCGGTGCTCCTGGCTATGAGGCCTAGCTGAGCGATGAAGCCGCCTCCAGAAAGCGGCGGCACTCGAGGAATGGATGGATGAAACGATGAGTGATCCGATAGTGCCGATGGTGCTTTAAACGCTTTCACTCTCGAGGCCGGGGGCACGCGGTCTCTAGTGGTCTCTAGTAAAGCTCGGCACCTTCGGCTCGAAGCCGGGGGCACGCTCACTTCACAGGTCGAACCGAAAGCCTTCTGATATGTCATGACTTTGCCTGACACCTGAAGCTACAAGGTCCCACAAACACCGGAAACGCTAGAGAGGCCGCCTTTTAGCCAGCAGAACGCTGCAGGAGCCCAACACCGCACAACAAGAAGTAATTACCAAGCCCCGGAGCCGTCAGGGCGACGACCGCCGAATGTCCGGTCCAGCGGCTCCTACCGCTGCCGGGCTGGAAATCCAAAACGGCCTAGGGGATTTGGTTGTTTGCGACCGAGGAATGCCACCCCTCAGCTTTGCAACTTCATATCTGGATGGGGAGCTGCGAACGAGCTTTGCAGAGAAGTCTCTCCTTGTTTGAGCAAGGCTCGCCGACGCCGGATGGACGTGCGCGCGGTCAGGCCCGCGGGTTGGATCAGAACGAAGGCGTATTTTAATCACCGTCGTCTGACGTAAGGCAAGGCTTTCGCTTTCATTCCAGCACCGCCACACGATACAAGATGTGATGGCAAGCTCCAGCTAGGTTCATGACCACTCTACTACTCTCTACTCCTGAGCTGCACCGGTAGGGGCACTGGTACAGCACCGTGATTCCCTGTCGAGATAACACGTGAACCCCGCGGAAGGAAGCCTAGGCTTATCCGAAACCCTGGACTCTGCCCTAACTGCTGGTCCTGATGGTCCAAGCCTGCCTGCTTCCTGTACTTATAATCGAAGCTGGCTAGTTAGGTGCAGATTTGGAGTTGACGCAGGAAAGGCAGAAAAAGCAAGCACAAGCAGCTCTCATGCCGAAAGCTGCTACGTTGCAGCCAACCACGCAAGCAAGCAGGTACAGCTAGCGCAACAACAGACTGCGGCTGCTGCTGCGCTGCTGTTGCCGCACAAAAAACTCTAAATCAGGATACCACAATAGCACTGTCACTACTCTTCGTTTTTCTGGAAAGATGCACAGCATACACACGCAATATCATGCTGGCAAGACGAGGGAACTCTGAATATCCCCAAGGCGGTGACGGACACCAGCCAGAGTAGCAGGGCTTGACGGACATAGTAGAATAGCCATAGCGGTGACAACTGTTGATACACCCGCCTGTGGCTAGCAGGCACGGGCGGCAAGAAAAGCAAAGATGCTGCATGGCTGAGAGTGTTTTTGGGATTTGGGAGGGAGTTTCGGGGCCTCGATCTGTGAGTCAACCCCATCTCTTGTGTGGTTTGTCATTACCTCCCTACTGTACGGTCAGCTCCCTGAAGCATGACTAAAATCGGCAATCGGCAGCCCAACCCAGTGGACGAGCACTTCAACTTCACCTCAACCCCTGAATCTGGATTGTATTCTACGATGATTTATGGAGGTCCTGCCAAGCCGGAAGCAGCCAGAAGAGACACCGGTAGCTGCTCGTGACTACACGCCCTATACGTTACGCCAAAATCAACGCCCGACCCAACCATGCAGCTACCATCCAACCTCCTTCTAAGAACGTAACGGCCCAGGATTGCATCGCTGATGGGCATAAGATAATGCCATTGACTCTGCGCTCTGCACAAGCTGTGCATGTTGACAGAGTCCAGCAGCAGGGCCAGACCACGTTCGCTGCGGTGAAGAGAAAAACATTGTTTTCAGAGCAAGTGTTTTTCTTTTAGGCCCTTCGAAAATCTTCGAAACTTCAAGCCATACGCCTCGGGCATTTCTGGCGTTGAAAAGTTGCCTGCCTTGATACTGTGTGCTTGGAAACTCTCTCGGCAATTGGATGGCAGTTAGCAGCTAGCACTTCTCACCATTCTGTTGGCATGAAGCCATTAAGCACCACCTCCGCATCTGCCAGCATTTCCCATTGTCTCCCATACAACCGTGAATCAAGATTACGATCACTCAATCGTCATCATCCTGTTCATGAGTCGCCATCGTAATCACTGCCACCACTGGCCAGGCCAGCACCACCGCTACCGCTGCCCCGACCAGCACCACCACCACGACGAAACCACTACAGACACGACCACCGCAAGGTCATCCTGACCGCTTTCTTGTTGCGATAGAAGTACTTTGCTACATTGAGCCTTCGATGTCTCGCCTAGCTGCACCACCACTGTCACCGGCATCATCATCATCATCAGCTACTATGATCATGATTATCCGTGACTCGGCATTCGTCCCGGAAGGAACGTCAATTATCCTCGGCCCACGTTACACTACGAGCCTGTGCTGACAGCTGATCTGCTGGCACCTGGCACAAAGTCCCCGAACCCTTGACTGTGTCTCATGTCTCGCAGAGTCTTAAGCGCAAGCAGGTGGCAAAAAGCTGATGGTAGCAAAAAACGACTTTGCGCAGAAGGTCTAGACTGGTTTCCAGTTGCATATGGCAAGAGGTTTGCAGCATGCGGCCTTTCACTGCTCCACAGTTCCTGCGCCTCCAATTCCTTTTGGTTCTTGCCTGGGAAGTGGCACATTCAACGACCTGCCCCAAGGGACGGGGTGCTGGGGTTTCAGGTGTGGCCCGGAGGCAAAGCAGGTTCGTTCAGGTTTATGGTCCAAAGCGGTTAAGCATTGCTTTTGCCACTCCGAAGCACAAACCTTCAGGTTGTTTGTTCGTATCGCGCACGCCTTCCATCCGCAAGGCAAGGCCTCTCGCGCCAGAAAGCTGTCTGGACAAAATTGCGCGCATGAGTTCCAAATCGGCAGCATGAGCCTTCTGCTCTGGCCTCGCCTGTTTCCAGTCTTAAACTTTTGGTTCTGCCGTCGAGTCATGTATGCCCTGTTGGAGCAGCCGCAGTGCAGTCTAACCCCAAACCTCTAGAGCCCACCCACCCCCGAAACAAAGCGCCACGGCCAGTTCGCGGCTTGCACATTTCTAGTCCTAGCGTTGGCGAGGACTCGAAGCTCGGGCACCTGCTTCCATTGGCCCAGGACGTCTCAGTAGAGTCCTTGTAGTTACTTGTACTGTCGTTGTCTGCGCTGAGCATGGTGGGTCTTACGGGTCGGAAAATGAGACTTCCGGGTTTCGGGTTGAGGCAAGTCTTATTCCTCGGGTTTAGTTCCCTTCGCAGATAAGTAGACCGCTGCTGGGACTTCATAGATCTTCCGAAGATGGCAGGATCAGCCAAACCTCAACTAGCATTCGGAACAAGATCATGGCAACATCGGCTAGGAAAAGTCACAATCCGTTTAAAACTACGCAGAGCCGCATTGCAAGTAATACGGTGTCTGCTCACGGCAGCCTGCGTTCCGCTTCCGCGCTGGCGGCGCCGCGCCATGGAAGGCGCAAGTCCAGGCTGCCTTGGAGTAGAGCTCGAGGCGGGGGGGGCTCGGCCTTGGCCTTGTGGCCCCCTTGGTGAGCAACCTGAGATGTGGCAGCATGGACACATAAACGAAGGGATGGGCTTAGGGCCTTGTGCATAGATGCAAACGACGGCAGGTTGTCTTCCGAGACGGCAACCCCTAGGCCCTAAACCCCAAGCTTCAAGGGCAGGAGACGGGACGAACTTGGAGCTGCTCCCAACCAAAAGGCCGACAAACCTCAGCCCGCGGCCGAAACCCCAAGGTGGAAGAGCTGACCTCTGAAGCGAGTCTGAACTCAGAGGTGGGCGAGGGATTTTTCGGATGATGGTATCCCTTGCTATTGTTGCTGGTACCACGACGGTGGACGTTGTTGGGACTGCCACTAGACTAAGCCGATCGTGACATGATTCCGGCGCACCAGCCACCATGGGAGATCCTTCGCCGTGTTTTGAATCATTCGGTTCCAATGGGTCGCCATGCGATGCCTAGAAGGCTAGATGCTTGATAGATTTAGCCCTAGGCTCATGTCCAATGTGGTATTGTATTGCAATATTGTTTAGCTTGCTGAGTCACACGAGCTACCAAAATTTCAGCCAGTGCTTCGACACCAACAGATCCAGAAGCTATGAAAGGTGTCTCCAGCACTGGCCACGGCCTCCGGTGATGAAGCCGATGGCACTCCGGAGGACTCGCTAGAGGACCGAGAGCCTCTTGGGGCTTAGATGTAGATGGTTAAGGGCGTCGCGGTTTAAGGTTCAAGGCTTCCCATGTTTGGTTTGCTTGTCGAGTCCTAGCAACCGCTGCATTGCATAATGTTTAGCACTCCATACATGAGGCAGTCGGGGAGGGGAGGGGGGGGGGGGGTCGGACGTAGGGCTGTTGGTGAGAATGGTTGTTAGGTTCTAGGTGAATCAAAACCCGCAAATGCGGGTGCGCTGAACACCTGAAATAGTGGCCGGGAGATTCGGAGATTCATGTTCATGAATAGTTGTTGTTGCCCTCGCTTGGATTGCATTATCTAAGCTGAGCGTCAAGCAACGACTGTGAAGCACACCTGTCACCCAACGGGCAAGCGATGCCTCCCTTGTAAGGTAGAAGTGCCATAAAGGGTAAGCATGGTATACAAAACAGACATGGGCAATAGGCACACGTGCAACACCATGTGCAATGTTGCACTGCAAGCAGCAAAAAGAGCTTTCTGCGTATAGTTGTGCTGGTTTATCGCTGTTGCTGTCCTGTGGATATAGCTGTCGTTGCTTCGTGTTGTTGTTTGTCATTGCTGCCGTCCCTGCCAAAGCGATCGTTGTCAACACCCCTAGTCTCAGCAGTGCGGAAAGCTATGATTGTAAGCCGTGTGTTAGTGAAGTTTGTAATAGGGTGGCAGTTGTGTCAGAACTAGCTCGTGGGAAGTTTGGCTGAAGATTGCCATCGTTCAGCTGGACCCGTCCAACCCAGGGAGCATCCGACACCAGAAACAAAATTCAAGAGTTGGGTTTCTTTTCACAAGCTCAGTGTGCACTTCAGGACGCAAGCTTTGGAGTAGCAGTGCTTTTAATGGCTGCGAAACTCGTTCGTAAAGGGCTTCAAGTGGCAGAGACATAGTTGACGTGATGCTACAAGCCAACACTGTAAACGTTCCAATCTCCGGACTTGTGCCATCAAATCTTTGACTGAGGCTTTGTTGCCAAGCCTTTCAGGTTCAGGGTTTTGGGGACTTCCTTATGCGTGGCACGGTGCACTCGAAGCTATGCTGTGTGCCGCCACTGTATCACTGACGGATGCAGCAGGCTGGATACGACAAACGCAACCCGGAAGGAGTCCACGGACGACGGTCTCAAAGATAGACCATCTCCTACCCTGGCGAAGCCTGGACGATGGTGGCGGGACGTGGATCCTTGGCGGCATTGCAGTTCCTCTTGTTCCCGTAGCATTGGTGTTTTGAGTGAAACTTCTTGTTCAAAGAGTTCCCTTCGCGACTTTGAGGACGCATCTCCGCTCTGCGCCCTTTTCCGTGCCACTGTGACGGGGGCCTCGCAGGGCCTGGAAGTTGCCGAGGCCGGGCCGCCGACGGCACTAGGACTAGGACGCAAGGAGTCTGAAACCAGCGTAGGGCTTGATGCAGGAGCCTGCGAACGACAAAATGGAGCACGGAATTCTAAATTGGGCCGACATCACGGTAATAGGCTCGTGCTCAGGTCCAAGTGACATCATGTCTCGCGCGCCTTTCTTCTCCAGCAACAAACGAAGCAGGAAGGAAAAGGAATAGGCATTGGAATGTGGATGCACTGAGTAAGTTTCTTGGAGCTTTCTCTGCTCAGCGGCTCTCCTCGTGTCCTCAACCCCAAGGATTTGAGCCTGCAAATTCTGTAATTATGTCCTTGAAGACGAAGTCCTGGGCATTCCTTGGCTGACTAGCATTTTCGCCCGCTAGCGCACCTCTTCGGAAGCGCCTATACGCACCAAACACCTGAACCCCAAGCTTGGCAACAATCGGAAACTGGCAGGAACGCAACCCGGGAGAGCTGCACAATTGTTATCTAGTCTGAACGAGTGCTAGCAATGAGAATAGGAACGGTGCTTCTTGAATGTACGTGCTGCTTTTCTTCGAAGAGGCCAGGATCAGCCCTTTCCTCGAGGATGCCATGTCCTGGGAGCCGACGGAGCTGCTCTCAGGCGAGGGGTCCTCTTAGGAGAGACATAAAGTCACGTATTGGTGTAGGAGCGGGGCTGTGGGTGTCCGCGCATGTCCCACCTTAGCCAACAGTCAACCCGAAGCTGCTGTTGGAGCCGACCCAGACGAGGTGCGGAACCTAGCGGGGGTTGTGTAAGAGGACTTTGGGCTACGAGTCGTAGTCAGTACCGTCGGGGACGCGTAGGGCGCTCCAGATGGTGATTCCCGCAAAAGTCCGAATCGAAGGCCATCGCACACCTAACGATTCTACCAGAAACCAGCGTGCCTGAACCAAGACTCTCAACCTGAGAAACGTTGAGACCCGACCAACCCACAGGAGCTGTGCATTTCTCTTACTTCATGCTCTTCGCCTCCTTCTACACGCAGCTTCCGGGCCTCCACGGGCCACAGGGGATCGACCCCTACCACCTCTCTGCAGGCTAGAAGAGCTGTTGTGTGTTTTGATGTGAACGCGAGGTTTCGTCTAGATGCTACAAACGCCCGTGGCTTATACAAGGGTACTATCAAAAAACGCAGCCGCTTCAGTCGCAGTAGCCCCCAATCATCATATCATGAGAAGAGATGGGACACGAAGAGAAAGCTATGATATGCCTATATGCTTTGAGCTCTGTTAAACGACACGAGTCTAAGAGAAAACCGAGAGCTGACAAAAGAATCTCGCGGCGCGGGCCCCGATATCGAAGACGGTGCGCGCAGAGTTGGAGTCGGGGGAAGACTCGCCCCCGACTTCTCCAGACTCCCCCCCCCCTCCGCCAAATGTGGTAAGACCTAGTCAGGGGCTGCTCCTGAAAGAAGACACTACAAACAGGAAGGGAATGCTGCTGTTGAAACCCAACCTGACTAGGAAGCCTCGATCGAAACTTACCAGACGTCTGGAACCTTTGCACAAGGTTGATGATGAAGCTGCATCATGCCAACTACTTCCCACAAAGCCGTGAAACCACGGGTAGATCTCGATCCACGAAGCCCTGGCTCTACTGCATTTATCGACTTCTACAGAAAGTGTGAAAGCAATCCCCGGGTGTTGGAGAATGTGCCATATCTAAACCGGTGCCTGCCCTGACCTTGTAGCTTTCCCCTTGATGCACGAGGCCTCAAGGACACCTTCTTCCTCCGCCGCAGCGGCGGGCCTTACTGGGCCGCGGAGCTTCTGGGATCCCAGGATTCATTGACTGTTGGATGGGAGGTTTTGTCTGTGAGTAGAAATTGGTATTTCTCCTGAGTACACCACGTAAGCATCGGTTTAGAAGCAAGGCAGCCACCACAGTTCGACCACTCATGTGATGTCCTGAAAGCCCAGGCTGGCCGCACTGCTGGGGATGTGCGCATCTGGAGCTGCGACTGCCCTTCCAGCCGCTCTGACCCCGTCGGGGCTACTACTACTACTCTGCCTCCTCCTCCTGCTGTTACTACCACGAGCACGCGCATGCCCGTTCTGTAGCATTGTCCATGCTGGATTAGTGAACACTTGTTTGTCCGTGCACACGTTGTCGCGACAAGTGGGTCTTGGTCGCAGGGTTTACCAAGGTTTTGTCAGCGCACGACCGGGCCTTGGCCCAGCATCAAAACGAACATCGGGATTGTAGGAAGCCCAGTTGAACCCACAGGCCTGCCAGATACAGCAGCCAGCCCAATTTCCGAAGCTGCAGCCTTGAGAGCTTGAAGTGATCTCTCCCCAGTGCTGAGTTCTCGGTTGAAAAACGATAAATCCATTCCAGGGCCCAAGCTGCACCATCGGGTATCGGATTTAGGCCTAGGCTGCCGGGTTTAGGAATGAGAGTGAAATGAGGATAGTGGCTTTAAGCAACGGCCGTGCCCGACAAACTCGACAGCCACGGTCACTGCGCAACAACTCAGAGCCCAAAGCAATCTACTAAAGCCACCAGACACACCGTGAGGCTGCTGAAGAAGCACATCATCAACAAGCCGTCCAGAACACGCGAGCTTCCAAAATATGAGAAGCAAGCATCTCGAAGTTCGTTAACCCTGAAATCAAGACGTCATAAAGCCACATCCGACAGCGCACTCCTCGGGCGCCACACTCAGGCCATGAGAAGTGGTTGGCTGGGGTTTGGGCTGACCGGCGCGGAGTGGGTACTTTGGAGAGACGCTTTGACGGAAACCGAGTTATTAGGGTCTCCTTTGTCACACCGTGGGAGTGATAGAGGGCCGAGAGTGGAGTCCACGGGTTTGGAGTTCCTGTGTTCATGCCTGGGCTCGAGGTTTATGTTGGGTTTCAGCGCAGGATTTACCTATAGTAACTAGAGCTGGGGGTAGGGAATATAGGATGGAGTTGTCATTGGTTGAATTTGAGGCCAGGAGTTGCCTGCACCGGCACAGCTGCACCGTTCTTGTTCGATCTGTGGCGGCGACGGCGATAGGACATCAACTAGAGTCAGGGCTTACGGTGTCGCCGCCGGTCCTACGCCGCCAATGTTCGATGAGTTTAGTGCCATCGAGGCCGAAGCGTCACCCAGGACCTGATCGGATATCCGGCGCTGAAACCTACTAGTTCTCGTAGTTGTTAGTTGTTAACATATTCGGAATTGGGGGGTGTCCCCAGTTCGCAGAGGCGAAGCTAAATCCCAAACATCCCGCCCGTCGACCCTCTCTGCCAGCTGAGGACTTCCTAGTGTCCTCTGAGTCATCGCCGCTGGGACTTGACCTTGTTTTCTCTAGGAGTCTGGGCCTGAGGTCGTAGAAAAGAATAGCAGGAACTCCGGAACTTTTACTACCATTGGTCGCCTGCAGGTTTTAGGAGATAGATACATACATACATAGACATAGACGTATACATATACATATACATATACATATATATATATATGTATGTGTGTATATATGTACACATATGCAAAAGGTCTCTCATCCTTTCACCAAGGTTCCCAGTGGGCATGACCTACTTGGCCATGGAAGGCAGCATGGGTGCAGCAGCCTATGCCTTGAATGCCCCGAACTTGGCCTCCTGGTTCTGGCGCTGGTGCCTGTTTCGAGGACTTCTCTCAGGACGGGCTGCAAGAGGTTGTTCTGCCGCTTCCAGCACCCTAGGCACTGCCCATGGCAGGAGGTGTGCACAAGCTGCTCTTGTGCGATGCGAGTTGGAACAACCTGTCGGCGGTGCACTGGCACTTCCAGGGCAATCCGAATCCTTCCGCCTTGTCTTGGTATGCCTTTCAGCTGACAGGCACTTACCCATTCCTGGGACATATGGCCACCGCTAGCACTCTGGCTATTGAGCTGGTGGCGCCCTTTCTCTTTTTTTCGCCCAACAAGGGCTTGCGAATGCTGGGCCTTGCGGGAAGCAGTTTGCTGCAGATGGGCATTCTTGCCAGTATCTCGCTGTCATTTCAGCAGCCCAGCTTTCCTGGCCCTTTACGCGCAAGAAGCTGTCCAAATTGCTAAGAGATCCGTGCACTAGTCGGGGGATGCCGCAAACAAAACTCAGGTGGCAACTACGGCCCCTTGAACTTTTACTTCTTGGCCCTGGGCCTCTCGTTGCTGCAGTCGCGCGGCCAGCAACTGACGAATGCTAGTCCGGGAGAGGAGGAAGAAGCTCCACACCAGGCCGAGGGTTGCCGAAACCAAGGCGTTTTCAGACCGTATCCCCCCATTCCCAAAATCCGAGATGCCGTACAGCTCCCGAAACGCCTGCGAGTGCTAAGAGCTTTCATCCTTCGCCTTTTCAGGTCTGGCCAGCTGCCGCCGCCGGGCTCGGCTCTGCTTTGGCCATCGGCGTTGCCACCCATGTGCTGCCCGGGACTCCCGGCTTCGTCGGTTGCCATAAAGGTCGGCAAGACTAAGCAGCAAAAGCATGCACGTAGTCACAAGTTATACGTTCGACCGTCGCCTACCAGTCGTTATCCATGGCGGTTACCAAGTAAGCTTGCGAGCTGTGGTAGATTCGATCGACTGCGCTTGCATGAGTTCTCTTGGAAAATTGTTGCCCCAACAGCAGCTGCCAGCAGTCTCAGACCGCATCCATCAGTGACAGCAGCACGACGAGCACTGCACCACCCCCGCCACCAATACCACTTGCCCCCGCCGCCACCACCAGCACCAGCAATCGCACGCAGCAGAACACAACATTGGTCCTTTACCCGAGGCCCCGCCAAACCTTGCTTGGCTTTGACGAAGGGGGCTGAAAAGAATTCCACGCTCAACGCCCACCGCAGCCCAACCCCCAAGAGCCACAGAGTTTGCGAACGAGGACCCCTTCTCGCTGCCCCAGTGCCAGTCATGCGGTGTACGCCCACGTCATTGCCACCTGGCTTTGGTATGCTTTAGGGAGTGGGAAGCCGATGGATACATGCGGTCGGCATTTACAACGTCGAGCTCGTGGCCGAATCTGTTAAGTTAGATTCTCTTCTCTATTCCATCCTTAAACCCTAACCCTAAACTTTCTGAAAGCCCTTCGAATCCCGAAACCCAAAAGGCGCTGCTCTCCTCCGTCGCCGGGCTTCAGGGCCTGATCTCGCTGACCTCCGGCTTGGAGTTCGACGCCCGTCCCAACCGAGAAGGGCTTACTAGGCGATGTAGAGAACAATAACGTTGCCGCAGTAGGTGCTTGTAGCACCAGCACCAACAGTAGCAAGAAGTAGCAGTAGGAGTAGGAGTAGGAGTAGGAGCAGGAGCAGGAGCAGGAGCAGGAGTGGGAGTGGTAGTGGTGGTGGTGGTGGTGGTAGTGGTAGTGGTAGTAGCAGGAGCAGGGGCAGCAGGAGTAGCATGAGTAGCAGTAACAGTAGTAGTAGTAGTAGTAGTAGTAGTAGTAGTAGTAGTAGGAGTAGGAGTAGCAGTAGCAGTAGGAGTTGGAATTGGAGTAAGAGTAAGAGAAGTAAGAGTGGCAGGAGTAGAAATCATACGAGTAGCAGTGTCAGTAGTAGCATTGGTACGCGTGCCACCAGTATTGCTGGCAGTAGCGGTATGGTGGTGGTGGTGGTGGTGGTGGTGGTGGTGGTGGTGGTGGTGGTGGTGGTGGTGGTGGTGGTGGTGGTGGTGGTGGTGGTGGTGGTGGTGGTTGGTCGTCACCGTGGCAGTGGTAGAAATTGTTGTTGTTGTCGGCATAGCAGTGGAAGTGGTAATGGTGATGGTAGTATCTAGGCATCACCAGCAGACTGAGGGTGAAGGATTACGCGTTTTGGGGCTGAGGACCCAGATGAACCAATGAAGCGAATAAGAGCAGAACATATTAGAATTACAGGATGTGGCTGTGACCAGTGTCATATTAGCGGTGAGCATGCTACCAAAGGGTAGTGGCAATCCCGAGGACATCGCCACCCTCATGATACCGATAGCAGTGCGAAGTGTTGCCACGCAGCCAAACAAGTAAAGATACTGGGACCGCTCCAAATGCCGGTACGGTTGATGGTAAACCCTCTTCATAGTGAACATGAAATCGGTCACAGCAGCAATAGCAACAACAACAACAACAACCCCACCCGCGACGTCTTGAGACACTCTCGGTCCCGGGAAGAAGCTAGGCTGTTGGGCTTCTCCTACTCGGTGCAAGCCAGTCTGTCTTCCTCCTGGACCTGCTGAGCCCCTGGGTTTGGGCTCTAGAGTGTAGGAGTGGTTACTGTTGAGGTCGGCGGAGCACTACTTGAGATGTTCGGAGATGAGCATGTTGTGGGACCCTTCTGAGGGTCGGATTTGCGCCTGTCCTCCATGTGCTTTTCGCGTGTACTTTCAACAAATTAATGTTTGCTTAAATTCGGCCCCGATGGTAAGATCCTGCCTACAAACACCTTACGTAGGAGACACCGAACCCCTGAAATGCTCATTTTCAGATCAGGCCAGGCATCCCCACACTCTCAGCTGTTGCAGCCTCTCGGCCTGCGCTTGAGAGTTTGGCGCTTGGGCTCTTTAGGGGTTAACATGGCCCCCCGGGCATGAGTTGGCAGCGGGGCCTTTCTTACGTGCAGACTTGGCGCATCTCTTGATTATGCGTGCGTGCGAAATTTGGAGCCTCATGCCCAGTTCAGAAAGGCCTATATGTGACGTACACGAGGAGTGCTTTGCTCGCATCGTCTCCACGCTTACAGTCAATGTGGGAAGATGCAGATGCTGCCATTCAACGTTTTGCAGCTTGGCAAACCCTCCTGTGTCTTTGAAGCCGCATACCGAAAACCTGCGCGAATCGACACGTGAAGAAAACACAAGCATTCGAACATCATGCTCTTCCAAACCGAAGAGTAAGTGCCCCCTAAACCTTTCAATACCGGCACCAAAACAGGTACCAAGACTTCCCTGTTTGGTACTCCATCGTCTGAGTTTAGGCATATAAGGCTTGAGAACGCTGACACTGAGCGCATGGCTTTCAGTGGCAGTGCCGATGTCCATGCAAAGACCGTTCATCCCCAAAGTGCATTGCTTCCGGCGAGGTGGTTCAACCTGCTGCGAAAGTGGCCGACACTCATCCGCATCGAATCGCAGCTGCTGCGCAGGTGTATGCAAGATACCTGCAGACTGAGGCAAGTGCAGAAAGAACAGGCCAGCAAGAAATGGATGCATACATAGAAATACTTCGCACATGTACTTTATTACATACACGAAAACGAACGACCCACAAGCTAGGCAGTTGGATAAGCAAAAGACACGCAACAGCCAAAACGAGAACAAGAACCCATGTACAAATGCATGTGAGTACGTTTGCATTTACGTGTCTACCTATATCCACCTGCCCTACCCACAATATCTTGCCATGTTTTCCTTTCTTGACGTGGCCGTCCTTCTGATCTCGCTCTCTCTCTCAATCGCTGCTCCTCGTTCGGTGTCGCTCTCTCTTTCTATTTGCGCAGCTCGTTCTTTTTCGCTCATGAGTCTTTTCTATCATTTTGCTCTAACTTTCCATCTCTGGCTCTCTCTCTCTCTCTGTGTTTGTTGGGTATGCAAGAATGGGTTAGCGCACGCATATGTGGTATCCAGGTGTGTGTCAAAAGGATGCGTCTGATAGTTTATGTACTTGCAGTCTGGCTCGACGGCCGGTAGCTGAATAAAGCCAGACTCAGCGTAAGCTAGTCCTACAGCGTACGTTTTTACTGTGCTGTTCGCTTGGGCTTCAGGAACAAGTTGGAATAGCTACACCTCAGACATGCCTAAAACATTGCACGTCAGAGTGTCGTAGTGTAGCAGGAGCTGCGGCCTTCACCCTGAACTAAATCCCGCGAACCGCAAGACAGAGACCCTTGCGGCGCTCGATCCCGAAACTCTCTGACTCAGGCAGCCTTGCCTTCGCGAGTGTTCGACCCTCCGCCGAACTTCTTCTCCAATACCACTGGGGTTGAAGGCCTTGCCGGGATTGGGCGAGTGTTTCCGTCATCCGTCACATTCTGGGATCGACTTATAGTGTACAGCGATCACTCCTGTCATTTTTGTGTCCGCTTGCCGTTGCACTCAAGAAGACTGCCACCAGCATGCTTGGTATTCCCATCATGGCTTCAAGCACCAACTGGCCCGCATCCGCAGAGCACCCTGCCTGTGAGGCCGGCCAGTTTTCGCACTCGAGGGTGCCCAGCCGCGCGGCCAACCGGAAAGCCTTCAAACGTACAGAGGCCTCAAACCCAAGCCCCTAGAGCGTAAATAGAAAAACCGAGAACCAGAAACAACTTCACCTCAAGACACCCTAACCGGAAAGACCCAAACACCCAAAAACAATTCAAAATCTCTGCACACCTGAACGCACCGAAGCCTTCCTGCATTTGGTGCACATGGGTTTTTTTTCGCTGCCTGTGCGGGCACCTGGGTTGTTGTTGTGGGATTTACTTGCCTGTTCCGACCGTCTCTCAGCAATTTCGCAGCAAGTATCTAAAGCTATTGCTACCGCTGCTACTACTACTACTGCGACTGCTACGACACGGCTACTACTACTACTTCTTCTTCTTCTACTACTACTACTACTAATACTGCTACTACTACTACTACTACTACTACTCCTGCTACTACTACTACTACTACCACCACTACTACTACTACTACTACTACTACTACTACTACTACTACTACTTCTACTGCTACTGCACTGCTACTGCCACTGCCACTGCCACTGCCACTGCTACTGCTACTGCTACTGCCACTGCTACTGCTGCTTGTTGTTGTTGTGGCATTAGAGGTAGTCGTAGTAGTAGTAGTAGTAGTAGTAGTAGTGGTGTGGTGGTGGCGGCGGCGGGGGTGGATGTGGCGCGGGGGGCGGCGGGAGTAGATTGTAGTAGAAGAAGAAGAAAAAGAACAAGAGCAGCAGTAGCCACCTACAAGCACCGATGCCATTGAAGCACGCAGTGTCGCAGAAGTCGCCACAACCAGATTCCCAGAATCCGAAACCTGAGCCAAAGACGCCACAAAACCACAAGCATCCCCATCATTGTCTCACACAGTCTTCCCAAAAGCAAAGCCCAAAACACCAGCAACAAACAAAAGATCCCACACGCCTCAACCGCAGTTTGCGCAAGAATTCAGCTTCGAAATACATCAGATTCGGATTCCACTCCCTCGCAAAGCCTCGATCTCTGAAGCGCAAATCGCCCAAACCATGTAAAACCGTGCCAGCTGAAGCCTCCGAAACCCCACTGAGGACGTTCTACGGGCCTTGGCAGCACATCCCGCTCAAGTTTGTCGAATCTCGTCACGCGACAGAGAGACTCTCTGTGTTGGGGTTGGCTCCGGATTAGCAGTTGGTGGAGTTTTTGGTTCAGGGCATTTTTACTGTTCGGCAAATTTCGGTCTGTTTTGCGGCATTTATTTCTCGCCAGGACTGGCAAGTGCTGACTCCAATCAAGATACCTGTGTGTTACGACCGCGGGGATAGCAGACCCTAGCTCAGGGTCCTAAGCCTGAGCTCCAATTCGGCCTTGCAATGCGCATGCTTGGGCAGAGGTAAGCTTTCTGAATCTGCGCAGAATCGTAGCTCATGGGGCTTTCATGGTGGGACAAGTGCAGCTGGAAAGGATCCCACAAAGAGCAACCTCACCGCTGCGCCATGGCCCCATGCTGCCTATCTTGTGCCCTGGCTGCAATCCCAGTTTAGCGAACTTTCCGACTTGCGCCATTCCCGGTCTCGGTCATCATTTACGGTGCGTTTTCGTCGGCCTGGAGACAGTCTCACAGGATTTCGAGGGCAAGCAGCTCTTTCAGTTGAGGATAAGGCAGTTGTTAAAATACAGCTCTTCTTCGTATAGTAGTCTGACTGTGCAGCTGAGTGATGACGCCAATGGTTGTTTGGCTCACGATGAAAAAGAGCTGCAGTCAACTTGCTCTTTTGAGGGTCGGGGTTCCTGTTGAGGATTCCTTCCCTGCCCCTTCATTCTGTTCCTAGCCTGACATTGCCTGTTCTCTGTTTGGGGTCGGAATAGCTGGTTATCAGCCGTAGTGCTGTTCTTTTGGTCTTTTTGGGTTCTCGTTCTGAGTTCATGGTTAAGGTTCGTCAATGGACGCGCCGAGCCCTGAGAAAGGGCCAGAGATCCGGCATTCGTGCTGAGAAATCGGCTGTTCGGAAGCGGAAGGTATTCCAGGCTTACCAGTTGGCTTTGCAGCCGTATCGCTACAGCTCGATCGAACAGGTTCCGGTGGTACACCAAGACGGGTCCAGTAGACCCCTACATGCTCGTCCCGATTAGAAACCGGATTTCGAGAGTGACGAAAACGAGGAACCTTTAGAAGAAGTGATTGTTGAGGTGGAAGCGGAGCCATTGATTCCAAAGTCTTCTGGCTCCAACGGATTCCGCCACCGCCACCGGCACCCCCAGTGCGTCCGTCATCGGCATCTTCTATTCCTTTGACTCCAGTGCCTACTACAGTGCCCAAGGTAGCTAAAATTTTATCGGCCGCAGCACCTGTGACCGGTCAGCATTTGGCCCCACTCCGAAGGTGAAGCCAGAAGCTTCTTCGGCACCAAAGACTGCACCCAACCAAGGCGAGAGCGGCAGCTCCTGAGGTTGTCCCTCGTGCTACTGCTGGGCCACCTTTCTCGGAGAACTCAGGAAGCAGAGGCCTAACAGACGAGCCTGTCGTTGATTTGCCTTGGAATGCGCTCCTGTATTCGCCACATACATTCAATCGTTGCAACTTCCGTGTTGAGGACAGCGAGCGCATCGAGGGGAAAGTGGTCTTCTTCGACTTCCATAACGTCATTGACAGGTATTTCTGGGCGCCAAGGATTGGGCAACGCAAGACTCAGTCAGTTTTAGATTCCCTATCCGAACGAGGCACCGGTGTTACTTGTGGACATCCAGAGCTTGCTGAAGCACATTCACCGAGCTGCGCAGGAAGTTGGCGCGCTGGTCGTGATTTGTTTGGCGAGAACTCTCGGAGTATTGAGTACTGGGTTGTTGACACGTTGCGTAACACGTTCATTCAGTCCGTGGGGCATCGTCAGGCAGACCTGGCTATTATTACAAGGCAGAGGACAGGCCGATTGGGCAAATTGGACATTTGCAGGCGATTGTTTCGACATCCTGCTAGCCTCATCGTTGACGACAACGTCTCTATTTGCACCGAGTGGAATCGTGCCTCCGACTCGATGGTCTCTCATACTCAGCTACCGAAAGCGTGAGACTCCGGAGATTGGTAGATCTTTCATAAGCCGAGCCAGCTATTCTCGGCTGGCTTGAAAGCTGAGGAAGGCTGCTGGCCTGCAAAAGGGCTCGGTGAGTTAGGCTGCCCAGCGCCACCACCCCGTCCTCAGACCTAAGGTATTTGTGTTTCTGAAATTGGGTTGCTTTCGGTGTAGACTTCATTGGTTGTGCATCTTGTGGTCTGTTCGGCGCATGGCGCCTCTGACCGTTGCATCCATTGCCATTGGCATCTCCTTACCATCATGTCCCAATCTCAATCAACTCCAACTGATCCTAGCTCGCTGCTTGACATCTCAAGTGCTTCAGCGGCTGCTGTTCCGGGTATGAGGGATTCATAGAACGCTCACCTGCATCCAGTAGGGTCTTAGCCCGAACTCCTCGGAAATCCTCTGCCCCTTACCCAACCAGCAATGTTCACGCGGACGGCCCAAAGGCTCCCACGGTGGTTCACAACCAAATGCTAAGCAAGGGAGCAACACCCCAACAGGTTCTTGCCACTCAGCAGTTCGCTGCTGGTGAAGCTGCAAATCGTGTAGCTGCCCAGGCGGAATTGCTACACCAGGCTTCCATGAATGAGGAAAGCCTTCATTTGGTTGCCTGGGAGTCTTCCTTTCTTCGTCACTGATGTTTCTCAGCTTGTCATTCAGTGTCCTGAGAAGTATCGACAATAGGCAATTCGTCGTGTTGATGAGCATGTTCCCATCTTCACCAGCCAGGTGAGATGCACCCATGGAGCTGCAAACCCTGTAAGTGACCTTTCAGGGGGTTCACAAGCGAGGGTCCGGCAGCTCTTCCAAGCGCCATCCATCTTTGTGTGGGGTTCTCACTTTTGGTCCTCGTCCTCCTCATGCTCAATAATGATCATCATCACTAGTTCTTCACGCACTCATCTTCGTCATCACGCATTCACCACTGATCATCCCACACTCACCACTCACTCACGTACACTGCCGGCCACCACCCTCCAGAAGACTGTAAACACGACTAAACTAAACGCCCTCTCAGAGTGCTCTGTTGGATGCCGCGCGCATGGGGGTCTCGCCGGCCACCATCCTCCGGAAGACTGTAAACGCGACTAACAAACGCTCTCTCGGAGGATCTGGACTGGCCCCGCGTGCGCGTGGGGGCTCGCCGGCCAGAGACTGTAAACGCGACTAAACGCCCTCTCCAGAGTGCTCTGTTGGATGCCGCGGAGCTCGCCGGCCACCATCCTCAGGAAGACTGTAAATGCGACAAAACGCCCTCTCCACTCTCCTCTGTTGGATGCCGCGTGGGGGGCTCGCCGGCCACCACCTCCGGAAGATTGTAAACGGGATGAAACGCTCTCTGGCAGGCTCTGGACTGGCCGGCCCCACGCGTGTCGTGGGCTCGCCGGCCACCACAATTGGGACCCTCTCTGGGGTGAGGCAGATGCAGCGCGCACGTAGGGGGGCTCGCCGGCCGGCTGTAAACGCTGCTAAATTGGTGCCAATGCATTTGTGAAGGGCCATAACACGTGAAGCACAACTGGCACCTAACAAAAAGTGTAAAACGAACCCCTTAAGTTGCAGCGGGACCTTCTCCGCAAAAACAGGCAGGGGCGAGCAAATCCTACCTAAAGCAACAAAACCAAAACAGCTCCAGGCCAGTGGTGTAGGCGAAGTGTCGCAAAAGCTGCGAAGGTTACGCCGGGGAGAGACAACACTACATCACAGGCCAGAAAAGCTGAGTGGGAGCTCGGCGGCACGGAGGGGCCAAGCAAGAAAGAGCCCTCCGTAACCTGTCCCAAACCCCAAGGGCGGGAGGCAGCACAACGCCACCTCAGCCCTCGAATAGGCGAGGGAGGGAAGGGGTCTCGTCCCGAGAGAACCCGAAGGAAAGCCTGTAGCACCTCGAGCGACTCTTGCGAGTAAAAATGGTTGCGTTAAGAACGCTGGCACCTGGCGCAGCCTGCAGAGGCAAATCTTCCACTCTCCACGGTCAGATCCACAAAGGGGCCCTGCGTCTGGGGCAGGAGAAGACCAGTTCAACCAGCTCAAAATAAAAGAAACCTCACCTTTAAGACACCGTCCACCTCAGTGTAGGGGACTAGTGCCTCAGCCACAAAGGCGAGGGGCCGAAGGTGCAGCACGAAGGCCAAGTCTAAGCGCCTCGACAAGCTGTCTTCGTCCAAGCAAAGCTTCCAGATACCTAAGACAACTGGTGTAGTGTACAACAGGAGTAGTGCAAGGACGGCAAGGATGTGCTATGCGCTAAACTACTGCCTTCGACCCTCGGTCGGAACTGCCACTACCCCACAGGGGCAGGAAAAGCAATGGTTGGGTTTGAGCTTGTTTCGGAGCCAAAGCACTAGCTACGGACTCTAGCGGCCACGACTTGAGCCAGTCCTCCTTCTCCTCCTCATCATCATCATCATCGCTCACTCATCAATCATCACTCACGCTCACTCACCACTAATCATCGGATTGTGGCCGATACTCAGCACTCACTGCTTGTGCTGGTTCAGGAGGAAGGCCTGGATTTGGGGGCGGTGAGCGCAGACGTCGATCGCTTGCCGAATCACAAAAGAACACGGAAGCTGTCGCCCTGAACCCCACACCTGCACACTGCACAGCTCGCACTCACTCGCTCACTCACTCATCTTCACTTCTGGCATCTTAGCCAAAAGATGAATTACACACGTGGGGTTATCCGGTAAGTTATATGACTTTTGCTGATGATGGCGATATCGCAGCGCAAGAACCCCTTCCGATTCCGTTCATGCCTCATGTGCTCACCGATCAGGGTGAGAGGAAGAAGCTTCGGATAATCTACATCACCTATGCGAGGTTTCTGAAGATAGGCCCCACCCCGGGTTGTTCAGCGTGTGATAACGACAAAAGCCCGAATGCATTGCAAGGTTTGAGAAAGCCTTCGGCAGAGAAGCAAAAGCCCCAGAGACTCCTGTGCCCAAAGTGTTCCTTTCATATGAGGAGTTGATGTTGCCAGACCTGAGCCTCGTCCTGAAGGTGAGCATCTTTCTGACTCGAGCCTTCTGAGATCGGAGTTGAAGAAGCCCCAGCAATCCCAGCTGTCAACCGGCGTCAGCAACCTGGCGCTCTTGTGCTCTCTGAAATCGTGTCCCACGCGAGGTCACGCCTTATCAATGTTGACAAAGAATCAGGTGTTCGTGTGATGTCTGTGCCATGCGATCAGGTTGCTTTTGCAGATCATTTGATCGTTGATCAACTTGCCAGCCAGGTGCCAGCAGTCCCGGATTGCAGCCTTTGCGGTTCAATTTTCAGCGATGGTTGGGGAATCAAACAGACGGGTTACAACCTTTGGAAACGCAGCGATCGCTTTTGAGCTTTTTGCAAGTTGCCTCGGTCATCATTGCAAAAGGCGGTGAGGTTGTATTGGAATGGCTGCAAGATTCATCATGCTGGTTGCTTCCGGAAGTGTGCCTTTGGGCTTGTGTCGCTGTCCGGTGTGCCTTTTGATACGCCTTGGCAAGTCATGGTTTCGAGCAAGCGCACGAGCGTGAAGCACTGTCCGGCGAACACGCTCTGGCCTAGAGTAGGTCATTACCATGAAGCCTTCCATAACGTGTTGCTCATGTCGTTGTTCCCCTTTACCATGCGTTCCTTCATTGCCACAGCTTCATCGCGAGAAGGACTCTAAGCCCAGAGTTCCGCTCGATGCGCTTGTGCACGAAGCTGGGATGCTTCCAGGGCTGGTCCATCGGTTGCTTGATCGCAAGATAGAATGCGCACGTCAGCATGGCGCTTATGAAGCCATCTAGAAGGAAAAGGATGGGTGAGTTGATGTAGGCACCTGGTTATAGAGGAAGAAATCATATCTAAAACCGACATTACCAGGACTTCAAATGTGTTTCACTTTGGAAATTTGACCATTTTGTGTGAAGGGTTCTGAGCTGAGTCCAGACCAGTGGCGGCTGAAGGCAAGAAATGTGTTTCGTGGCGACGATATCAGAGATCAGTCGCGTATGTCAGCAGTCTTCGAAGAGCTGTCTGCTTCTTCTCCTTCGTCACTCGAGGGGCAGGGGCTCAACACCGCTGTCGTGTTTGGTCTGCTTGAGTCATGCAATGATCTTGTGTATCACCGGTCCACCTTCCGAATTGCGGTTAGCTCGTTACTGGGATTCTGACATTGCTGGCTGTGTTGACCCCTCACGATCAAGAAGTGGGTATGTGTTGGCTGTTGAAGGCCCTGCCAGCTCGCTTTGTTGTCATGGTCGAGCAAACGCCAAAAGGTCGTCTCTCGTTCAAGTACAGAAGCAGAGTTCGTATCACTGAGTGGAGCTTTGTACAACGACGCGATCCCAATGCACGAGGTATGGGAGTCGCTCATACCCGGAATTCCCCTTGACATCTACGAGGACAATCAAGCGTGTATAGCGATAGTAAAAGGCGGGTTTCAGCGCCAAGCTTCGCCATCTTGCGAAGACGCATAGGGTAAACGTCGCTTCAACGTGCGAGTTTGTAAACGCTTACGATAACGTAGCGCTTCAAAACTGCCGCACTGATGATCAGAGGGGTGATCCCCTTACGAAGGCGCTTCCAGTCCAAAAGTGGGAGCATGCAAAGTGCCTATAAATAATTTCGCAACAGCCACTGCCAGACTTCCTCGAGTAGCTGTGCCTTCTCGACGGGTGGTTGAACCCTTCTCGTCAAGCACTCAACTGAGGTCTGTGCTGGGTGATCTTGCAGATCACTATGTCATTTGCATTTCTCACATTGTTAGGCTGCCTCGCGCCACAGTTGTGATGGGAGCGTTTAGTTATCATGGGGTCTGAGCAGCCCGATTGATACTGCATTGGATGTGCATATTCTGGAATCAACGGTGGGTGAAAGCATGACCACTCCACATGTGATTGTTTCCTGAAGTTCGTTTCCGCTCCAAGTCAGACGGGTGGAGTTGCTAAAGACGGCGGCTCCTCTTCGTATAGCAATTTGATTGTGCAGCTGAGTGATGACGCCAATGACTGTTTGGCTCACGATGAAAAAGAGCTGCAGTCAACTTGCTCTTTTGAGGGTCGGGGCTCCTGTTGAGGGTTCCTTCCCTTCCCCTTCATTCTGTTCCTACCCTTGGGTCGGAATAACTCAGGCTGCCCAAATCAGGGTTCATGATCTTCTGTCCCTGTGCCAGATCGGGGTTCTATCTAGCAGTCGCATCTTAGAAGCTGCAGAATACGAACCCGCCTCTCCGGGCAATGGTTTTTTGTCTTTCGGATGATCATGGCCTGAAGACTTAACCCCATCATCGCCTCATTTCGAGGCCGGGCTGCGTTCAATCCCGTTGGTTACTGTACTGGTAGTGCATTGCTTTGCTGTTCTGTAACAGTTTTGCGGTTCTGTATTCGGCTTAGCCATGTCGTAACGTTGAGCGCCAACCGAGACCTCAATCCTGGGAACCCCACAAGGCAGCAGTTGTGCATCTTGTTTAAGCCTGGCTGAACTAACCGCTCGACAGATGTCTTCACGTGAGGACCTACTTTGGTGGGATGCACCGCATGTGGGCGGTAGCCCTGTGTGGCTGTGCCTGGGACAGCATGGGAGGACGGATTGAAAACTAGGGTCCCTGAATCAAACAAACAGGTCGTTTTGCCTTCTCTGTGTTGGGGAGTGGCCCGATAATGCATTGATGGCAAGATGAGACAAAGCATCCACCCCTGACTCCCAAACACGCTCAAACCGCACACCGAACTAAGCCCAACCACACACCATCCCAACTGCAAATTCCTACGCCATGACCTTACCCTGCAAACCATGAAGTAGTTTTTTTGGCCTAATTACCCAACAGGGGTCTCAATAAAAAAGGAGCTGTGAAGCAGGTCGAGAATGCTTCGCGGCATCATGGATGGACTGCAGCCTGTCCTCGACTTGATCGACAGGCAGCCTCAACAAAGCCGAGTGCCCAACCTACACCCTCATGCTCTCGTCCCTGCACTCCCCTGCAAGCCCCGACCCTCTATTTCGTAACCCTGAACATGCTGAAAAGCCGCAGAGCTAGGCAGTGCCCGAAGTCAGGTAACCTTGAGCCCACAGCGCCGGCCGCTCTGCAATGTAGGAGCCAACAGCCCCAAAGCCCCAAACCTGGTTCCGCCCTGCCGTCTATACGCAACCCGATAGACGTTCAGAGCAGACGTGGCAGCGGCTTGTCATTTACGGTACTCGTGTGGCCGGCCACCGTCCAAGAAGGGTAGCTTTCCGGCTCCAGCTTTTTCCGAAATCACGGATCAACTCATGATCCCCTCAATGATTGTCGTTTCCGCTTGCCCGTTTGTACCTTGGTGGAAGTCACAGGGACCCGAACACAGCGGACTACCGTTTACCGTGCCAAAGCATTTCAAGCACCAGTACATACGTAGTACAACCAACATGTTGTGGCATAGTACGAGCTATGTTGCACTCATTAGGCTCTTTCACTAGACTACACCGAATTCCGTGAAAATGAAGCAGTGAAGCACCTCAATTTGTGGGCGGCATTGCGAGCGCAAAGCCTGGGAACCGGGCGTAATTAAGTCTCGAGGCGGGGTGCTTGACGGGCCTGGCCCGGTCTCTTTCCCGCGGCCTCCTGTACGCTACGAGTACAGCCTTGTTTCGAGGTGCAGAGGCTTTCTCCCACGCATAGTTGTTCCCTTCTGTGTTGCACACTTTGTGCCGGTGGCCAGCATGGATGCTCCGGTAAAGTTGCGCTGGGAACCCCCTCGCAGATAAATGCAGGTGCTTTTCAAGAGGTCGTTATGGTTGTTGCAACGTCGGCTGGTGTACCATGTCGCCTACCACAATAGTATATTAAGGTATCGAGACTTGTTTCAACAATTCTACACTATGGCACTTGCGCAAGCGAAACGAGCCGCGGCCGCAGCCGTTTGGTGAAACCCCAACCCCAACAGCCGCGAAACCCGCTCAAAATCCGGCACCCTGTACGAAATGTTTGAGACCCTGAAGCTGTAAGTCTTTAACATGAGGGAAGCTTGCACCGTTGCAAACCTTGGGGTTCAGTCGTAGAAGCACTAGCGACACTGGAAGCACAGTGGGAACAGCCCACACTCACCATCTGTGCAGAATAGAGCAACCAGTCGCATGCCTTCATTATACCCCTTATACATGCCCCTTCTCTTCACATTTGCGCAGGCCCGCCTACGAAGCGAGCCTTTCGGCAGCCTTCGTTGGCTTTGTATGGTGTTCTACCGAACTTCGAAACGGTTTCAGGCCTTTTGCCTTGTTTGGCGAGGCTGTGAAAGGGCTTCTTAGGTTTGGGCATCAGCATGACCTGCAACTTCCCCTCGCTGAGAGCGTTTTGGACTTTCGTTGGGCTGCGAAGGTCTTACGAAATACATACTAGGCCTGCAAACGTTGCAGAAGCACTCTTGTCTCTTCACAATTCACATGCCAGGGGGAAGCAGCAAACCAGCACGGCAACCTAACGCAACAAAATCACTGCAGCTATCGTCATTCTCGTTGTCACCACAAGTCTATTTGGGTTGTTGCTTGATTCAAGAGCTTGTTGCAGGCCAGCTGCGAAAGGATTTAGGATTCAGGGTTTCTGGGTGAAGCATGTGAGACTTGCATGTCGGGTTGAGGCGATTCGGTTGTGTCTTCGACTGCGGTGAGGACAAGCTGTGAAGCGGTGAAGGTATGACAATGATCTCAGGCCATAATCGCGTCAAGGATCTAGTGGATAAATACCCTTATTTGTCGGACTTTAACTGACTCAAAGGGGCCTCTTCCTCGCTGCTGCTTTGTGGCTCACGAAAGCATCATGGCAAGCGAGTCCGGCTGCGGCGCCGTTCCAGAAGGGATGGTCGAACCAAGCGGATTCAGCGTGGAGATAGAGCCCGGAATGAAGTTCAGTTTCATTTTGACAGCTAGGTTAGCGGCACCGTGGTTGAATCCAAGAAAGGCCTAGGAAGCCCTCTGCTTTTGTAGCTGTTTGTCTGTGCCACTTCCATGTACTCCTCCCTTCCAGTGGGTCGCTGATTCGCGGTGTTTTCCGGCGTACCTGCCAGCCTGTGCTGCCACGCATGAACGTCATCTCAGCTTGTCACAGGTAGAAGAACTCGCTCCGATACCCGCAGTCTCCCGGAAACATTCACTCCTCCACACGCCGGGCTCTCTCGAGACAGAGTTATGAGAGCCGAACACTCCCAACAGCACTGCCCAGCCCCTAAACCGAGAATCCGACGTCCAGAGTAGCCCCACAGGGTGTGGAAGAAGTGCAATGCTAGCTCCGGAAACCCTACCCGCATCTCCGCCGTTGCCTAGAAAGGACCGGCTCCTCAGAGCCTTAGAGTCAGAGATCCTGGCGGCGCATGAGAAGGAGGCGCACACGGTTGTCTCAATGCAGTTTAGCATTTCAAGCTGCACCGTAAGGAAAGAGCGTTCTTGAAATTCAAGCACCTCTAGCATCAAACTTTGCAACCTCAAGGTTGGACCACAAGAACCGGCGCGTGCTTGAGACTTCCACCCCGCGAACTTTTTCTTAGACCTGACAGCGTAAGCTGGCTATCCCAATCTTTTCCCTGGCAGGTGACGGCAGCGAATGCCGAGCCAGTACAGCCACCACCCAGTGAGACCGCCACCGACCGGGTCATTTGCCTCAGTGCGATTCGCATTCGGATCCAGCAGCCCCAGCAACTAGAGTTTGAGTGCTACTAGGTCTCAATCAGGTCAGACGAAGGCATGAAGTACAACCTTTGGAAAAATGTTCTCAAGACATGGACTTGCTTGAGGCTAGATAAAGAAATGCGAGGTCCAAAGCTAGTTTCGGTGCTTTGATCCGTTTGCTTGATCTCGTGCCCGCCGGTTCTTGTAGGTGAGAGCTAAAGGTAGCCGACAATTCATCGTTCGTGGGGTCCAGGAAAGGCCGACTTACCGAAAGTCTTCGGCATTGTAAGTAGATCCAGCACTTGCCCTGGCCCCTCCGCGACCGTGCTTCAGACTTCGGACACTAGGGCTTTTGCTCCTGCTCTGCAAGAGCCCTTGTTCAGTGGAGACGACCAAACCTTTTTTCACGGTTTGCAAGGAGCATCGCAGGTGGTGCCCATGTAGGCGTGCAGGACAATGCTCAAATCACAAAAGCCTTCCAGCTAAGGTGGTCCTGCCTTTGCCTCCAAAATTCGGCGAATGCAGTGAAACAGCTGACCACGCCACCGTCCCTCCGAAACCCGGCGAATGCGAATCTGCTGCAACCTCGTCCAACCACACACCGGTCAAGAGGTGGCATGGAATGCAAAAGCACAATTTGAAGGTTGGTTTGCTTGTGTCCTTGAGGGCATTTTTGGCATTCCTGTTTGGAAGGCAGCGTGAGTTTAGCAATGCTCTGGGCATCCCCATGAAGGGTCATTTGTTTGACAAAATTTCCAGACACGCTTCAGCCAGTAGCACTTGCTGCCCCTCTGATTCGTGATGCGGACTCTGAGTGCGGCCTTCGACGTTGTTTTGCAATAGGGCCCAGTAGGGCTGGGGCTGGCGGCTGCGATTCTGTAAACCCTCATGATGATCTTGATGGTTCAGGGTTCGGGTAGGGCCGTGGGTTGCAGCAGTATATCGAGCGCAAGAGAGTCCTGCTTCGAAGGGAAATGGTTTTAGCTCCAGGGTTGGCGGTCCCAGATTCGAATGATACTGGGAGCCTCGAATGGCGCAATGCCTTGCGCGTGCTTCCTTCCCCTCATGAAGTGCACAAGGAATGCTGAGATAGCTCAGGTTCCATGCATTCTGATGATGATGATGATGATGGTGATGACAAATTCGGGATGACGAAAATTGCGGTGGTGCTAATCAATGCCGATGCTGTGTTTTTTGACTTCTGTTGCGTCATGATGTCATTGTTACAAGATGGCTTCCCAGTGCTGCCGAATCTACAACGGTTGCCATGATCATAGCTGTTCTGCTGTTTCGGTGTCGGTCATGTCTTGCTGTTGTTGGTTTATCTCCGTTGTTGGCGTTCATTATGAGGCAAATTATGAGTGTCAGTAGTCTTATGCGAAAACTGGTATTTCCTAAGTGGCAGGCCTTGAGCAGTGCGCCAATGCTGCGTGAGGTACGCCCCGAGCCTGAAGCTTACACTCTCGGAAGGCGGGGCCTCCGTCTTTCAGCGCCCGCACACAAGCAAACGCGACGCTTTAGCAAGATGTTGAATAGAAAAGAAGGATAGCAGCCTAGCAGGTAACTACTATGTCGCCTGTGAGTGTGCGTAAGTTGTTGCAAGTTCGCTGCGACTTCTCTAGAAGAGTTATCTGTGCAGTTTGGTGTGGAGATAAATTCTGTTTGACTTCACGTAGCAACCATCCCTGCGGACAGGGGTTTCATGGTCCGCACATGTCCTTCCAATCTCCTCCAGTATGTCCGCTTCCCTGCTTACGGCTGAGAGTTTAGGCTGTCTTGCGTCTCAGGCCTGAGCTGCATCTAAGCCCCTCAACCCGTTGACCCAAACACTCCCGCAAAGCAAAGCCCAGTCAAACCTGGAGCTTGCCTCTGCGCAAACCTCAATACTCTGTGTATTCAACCCAGTAACATTAATCCGATGATGGCAGCGAATGCGGATATCTAGATCTTACCGTGCTTGATCATGCGGTTCAACGAGGTTTTTGTGCTCCATAACTTAAGAATGCCTTTGGATGGCTCAGCTGACGTCAACTTTGACCTCCCCGTTTCAACACAGAATCTGCTTTCACAAGTTTGTCCGGCAACTCTCACAGGACTTGAACTGCACTAAACAATGCAGCCCCGCAAAGGTGCTCCTGTTCCAGAATCCGATGTTGAACACTCCAGCCCAGGAAAGCCTAGCAAATCTTCGTCTTCGACCCCAATGCAGAATCAGCCCACGGAGTGTCTGAAGCCCGAAGACCCCGGACAGGACAGATGTCCTGAATCGCGAAGCCAGCCGCCAAACCTTGAAACGGTAATAGTTCTGTGTGTGTTTGCTTACGTGTATGTGCACGCGAACGAAAGACTCATCCCTTTCCAGTCAAGCCTGGCTCCGATGTCACCACCCCAAACACCACTCACTAGACCCGAGACCCTCATAAACCTCAAGGCCTCCGGAAAGGAAGGCCAAAATCCCCACCAAAAAGCAGAGAAAAACAGCAAGCAAAGGAAGGTCTGAAAGCCCAGGCTCCCTTGCAGAAAACGAGGAGATACAGGGCTTTGGTGGCAGCTTGCCCCGGCAGTTCCTTGGACGAAAAACGGACCGCACTTGTTCCAGCAATGCCGCTTTTCCGGCGTGATTTCTGCTTCCTGGATCCTGGCCTCGAAGGCGAGCTAGCAGCTAGCAGCTAGCATCTTCAGAATGGCTTTCGTGAGGTCCCTTCTGAGAAGCGTCCTCCCAGGTTCCATCTCTGGAGCACTTACACCAGACCCCTGGCAGCAAAGAGTTAAGAGCTTTGGGCCTGCACTTTCCAGCAGGACTTTGGGGCTGATGCATCAAGTTTAGAGGGGGTGTTCCATGCTGGATAGGGTTTGGTATCCAGGTTCGCGGCTTAGCACCCGCGACCGCGTGCTGTTACAGGGCCTGCTCCTGCCATAAACCCTCAGCTGAATCGATTAAGTGTTCAAGTTTGTTTCGGATTTAGCTTCGGGCTTTTCGTTCTTTTTGTAACTGTCTCTTCTGCATCCTGAGAGAGCGCCCCGGTCCGCCATACTTTGTGGCCAAATGTATTTCCGTTTAGTTTGCGGCTTGCCAGCACATTCGAAGAAGGGAACCAAGACCTCGGGCGTCCACCCTAAATTCCCCGAAAGTCCAGAGCTCGCTGAGGACGAGAAGGCTCCACAGTTGACTGGCTCGCTTACCCGCTACTGTATCTAGGCAATTTTTGACCATCAGGTCAAGCAAACGAAGCATCACACAAGCGCGGAACGGCACCGGATTCCCAGTATCCCAACTTCAGTCGCACTGTTGGTCCGGCCCTCAGCCGATATTCAATCAAACCCCCTGCCCCCTGCCTGCCACACTGCCGCACCCTGCCCCCTGCCTGCGACACGTCGGAGGAGCACATGACTTTGCCATCCACATGCGAGATGATGGCGAGGAAGGGGATTACGAATTAAGCGCAGGCCGGGCAGCCGGAAAGCGCATAAAGCTTCTTCGTCTGTAGAGACTTATAATAACTGTACTATATAGTACCTCGTTATGCAGAGGAGAGTCTGCCTGCGCTTTCACACAGCTGTTTTCAGAAGCGTCTGCTCAGTTGCACTTGCTGCACTTGCGCTTGCACTTTGCAGAGTGTGGCAAGGCGTGGACGAATTCGCGAGGGAGCTGGAGCAGGAGAAGAAGATACGTTCTCAATCAAAGACACCGCGATGGGTGTTGAGCCCAAACTCGCCCAAGCGGATATGTTGGGACTTGCTCGGTGTGATCGTCTTGCTCTATGACTTGATCATGATCCCACTTTATACAGCCTTCCCACTTCAAGACAACATCTTTTTGTCGATGATGACCGGCCTCACACTGGCCTTCTGGTCATTAGACATTTTGGCGTGTTTTTGCGTGGGCTACTATGCGAAAGATGGCACTTTGGTGGTAAGCTTGACAAGGATAGCAAAGCAGCACCTTGGCAGGATGTTGATAAGAGTAGTGCTCCATGGCACTACATGGCTCTTGCGATAAGTTTGTTTGCATCAACGGCCCAACGGTGTCGGATGCGTGTAAGTCGCTTAGGAACATGCCGGTGCGAGGGATCTATCGAGAGGAGAGCGCAGTACACTTCCGACATGCGCGTGGTTTTGCAGCAGTCCTAGAAATGACACCTGGGGAGTCATAGCACTGCCTGCTGCCTATCCTCTCCAAGAAACCTACAGTGGTCAGACTAGAAGGTCTTCACAAATAAAAGCTCAGCCCTTCAGCTTTCGAGCATGGATTTCTCTTTTCCAGGTACTTGCTAAGCTGGTTCCCGCTGGACGTGGTCATCGCAACTCCGCAGACGATACGACCCAAATCCACCATGAGACCAAGGGTCAAACCAGTTGTTCGCCATTCATCTTCCTTAATTTGCAATGTTCGCTTTATACCGTTATACCACATCAGGATAGTAATCGGATGTGTGAATGCTGTTGATGCCAACCAACTAGAATTGCCTCATCATGTATGGTTTCTGCTTTGACGGGCACGATGCTTGTTACTGATAGCTTGCTGCAAATGAAACATTCACTAGGTCGTACTTTTGCTATCGATGACAGTCATGGTTTTCTGTTCTATGGCATTAGTAGTATTTGTTTCAGTCTTTGTTGCGGTGGCGGCCGCAGAGAGAGGTCGCAGCAGTATCCTTATCATGAAGATTGCATCAAGAGTGCACAGCTCGGTCTTCTCGGTTCAAGGGAAAAACTACGCACTAGGCACAGCTTGGCCTAGGGGGGCACCTAGCGTATAAGCTATGGATCTGCGCTCAGTTCAACAGGCACATTCCCTTCCTTTGCACGCGAGACTTCGCAAAAGGTAAGCATTGATTGGATCATCGTCCTCGCACTCGTCACGGAGGAAGAGGGAAAGAGTGCTTTGCTCGCAGATATGGCGTGGCAGTGCATCCTTTCAGTTTCGAGCGGTTCCCAGAGTGGGTTCTTGTGTATGCAGTACGGTACGATGCAAGAACACTCCCCCTGAGGCCAAGGCCGCCAGCCGCTAATCATACTTTGAAACGCTATAACACCCAAATTTAACTCAATCAAACCTCTGCACTTTCGCAGCTGAGCGCCCAGCAGCCTCAGCCGCAGCACGAAGCTTAGCCGGTATCAGCCACATTGTCGGATGCATCGCAGCTGCCTGATGCCCGAAAGTCAATGTGCGCTGACGTTGCACGAGTGCACGCAGCCACAGCTCTGCTGGTGTTGCCCCTCATGCTTGCTTTGCAAGCTTCCTGTCGCTACCCACGTAAATCCAGCCGAAGCGGGTACCCTACACTCCTATAGCCTTTCAAGCCGTGCAGGTGCAGGGCTTATGCGAGCAGGGAAAATGCTCCGTGCACTCCGCGTGCTTCGAACTCTTCGCTTACTTCGCTTCTCATCGAGATCTGGATGTAGCGGTGTAGCCCGAAGTTTTTCGGGGGCTGAGGGTCGACGCCCTGGTTGTGCAACACTCCTGCTACATGCCAAATTCATGGGTTTTGCAGTGGGTAGAGTCCACACAGAAGGGGTCTAGGGACTCAGACTCTTGCAAGGTGGAGATTTGCAGCTCTAGGGTTGTTGTGCGCAAAGAGAGGCAGGAAGTTATCGTTCCGTTGACGGCTCCAGCGAATTATGACAGATTTCTTCTACTGCTCTTACCGCTGCTTCTTTGCCACTGCTGCTGTTGCTTCTCAATGCAGAGACCAAATTCACCGGGCAACTTCCTTTAAAGGAGCCAGTTGTGTTTTTGGCATGACCGTGAAGAGTCATAACTCGTCTAGGAGCAGCTCTCGAAGAGTTTGCCACGCAGAAACCGAGCACAAAAGTACTTTTTGAGCTTTTCCCAGCCGTGAGCCCAGGCTTGGCCAAGCTCCGACAGCTGCTGCAACTCGGCCTCAAGTCTAGTCACATGCCGTGCGGGGTTTTCGCGCTGCCGCACAGACGCGGGACGCGTGCGCCCACGCGTGCGGATTGAGCATGGGAGTTATTTCCAAAAGATCGCATGAGTATAGGGTGAGGGATCAAAAAAAAATTAAATAAGGATCAAAAAAATAAATGGAAAGATCAAAAAAAATAAAATAAGGATCAAAAAAAAATTAAATCACTCAAAATACAGCATTTCCTGGGGCAGAGGCATCAAAAAAAAATTAAAATAAGGATCAAAAAGAAATTAAATCACTTAAAATACAGCAATTCCTGAATTTTTCCAAGGGAAAACAGTGTTTTTTCCTATGGATTTTCTTTTGCTTCCTTAGGATCTGTTTGGTTTTTCCTCTGGAAAACACGATATTCCTGCGGATTCCGTGGTATTTCCCTAAGTTTTCCTTGAATTTTTCGTAGGAAAAAGCATATTTTCCTATTACCTATGGCGTTCGTGTCATTTCTTCAGGTTTTCAGAAGGACAACATATGGTTGTTCCTCGGGAAGATCAAATTTTCCTTACAATTTCACATTTAGGACGGATTTCCTGTTGTAGCTGTTGCTGGTGTTCCGCTTCATCATCTGTCTTAAACACGCCCCTCATTTGGCGATTCTGGTTCAGGATGTATCTACAAGGGCGGAGACGCCCTCATTTGCTGGGTTTCAAAAAAAGGCATATGCTTCAAAGCAACCCTGCACGGCTTAAAACAGCGGGGGGGTTGGGGGGGGCGCAGCCCCCCCCATTTGCAGAGACAACGTTCACATGATGGGCTTCGAAAACACTCTTTGAATCAAGCTTGCACGTCTCGAAAAGCGCGGCGGCGGGTGTTTTGTTCTTCCGTGCCTGTTCGTGTCTCTTCTTCCGTTAGCATTCTAACCTAATATATATAACATAGTAAACCAGAAGAACGACATAAGATGGTTCGACAACACAAAAATGGTGTGACATTTTCTGACATAACAGAACCTTGCTTCTTATAGCATATAATAGCATACTAAAAATACAACAATGCAATATAACAGAAGATGACATAGAACAAAACAACATCTTAGTTTATAGTGTAGTACATTGTAACATAGTACAATACAGTGTGTATATTTACAACATAATATGTAGTATATTTTATAACATTAGGTTACATTATGTTATATTATGTTACGGTACATTACGATATTATGGTAAATTCGATTGGACTATGTAGTATCCTGTTGCTTGTATCTTTGTTTCTGTGATTCTTTCATATTCTTTCTCTTTCGTCTTTTCCAACTTTGCTTTTTTATTCTGGACTTCTTTCTTTCGTTCGCTCGTTCATGTCTTTTCTTTCTTTCTGTTGTTCTTTCTTTGTTCATCTCATACTCCCTTCCTTTCTTTCTTGCTTTCTTTCTGGTTTGATTTACTCGTTCTTTCTTTGGTTCGTTCTTGCTTTCGTTCTTTCTTTCGTTTTTACTTTCGTTCTTTCGTTCTCTCTCTCGTTCTATCTTTCTTTCTTTCTGTGTTCCTTTCTTTCGTCCTCTTTAGATACAGCAATTTTTGAAGTTTTCCCAGGGGAAACAGTGTTTTCATGCGGATTCGTTTTCATTTCCTGAGGATTTGCTTGGTTTTTGCTCGGGAAAACACGAGTATTCTACGGATTCCGTGGTATTTCCTTAAGTTTCGTTCTTTAGTTCTTGCTTTCGTTCTTCCTCTTGTTTTTGCTTTCGTTCTTTCGTTCTCTCTCTCGTTCTTTCTTTCTTTCTGTCTTTCTTTCTTGCTTTTTAGATACAGCAATTCCTGAATTTTTCCAAGGGAAAACACTGCTTTCCTAGGGATTTTCTTTCGTTTCCTAAGGATTTGCTTGGTTTTTCCTGTGGAAAACACGATTTTCCTACGACTATTTCTGTTTTTTCTTTATTAATGTATGGCCTTCCGTCTTTCTTTATTTCTCTGTTTTTGTTATTTGGTTATTTCTTCATTGTTTGTTTTGTTTTTGTTTCTAACTCTCTTTGGTTCTTTCCTTGTGTTTTCTTTTTTCTTTCCTTATAGCTTTCTTTATTTACTTAGTTCTCTATTTTCGTTTTCTTTCTTTACTTATAGCTTTCTTTATTTTCTTATTTCTCTATTTCTTGCATGGCTTTCTTTCTTCCTTTCTTTATTTCTTTATTTCTTTTGTTCTTTCTTTCTTTCGTTGTTTTTTTATTTCTTTGTTTCGTTCTTTCTTTCGTTCTCTCTTTCTTCCTTGCTTTCTTTCTTCCTTCCTTTCTTTCTTTATTTCGTTCTTTCTTTCTTTCTTTCCTTCTCTCTCTCTCTCTGTCTTTCTTTCCTTCCTTTTTCGCCTTCCTTTCGCGGATACCCGTTTAATTTTTTTTGATCCTTATTTAATTTTTTTTGATCCTTATTTAATTTTTTTAACCCCTATCCCTATAGGGTGACAAAAAATCCATCCCGTCCGTTTGTTCGCAAGAAAAGCCCTTGGGCCGAGGCTGTACGCCGGCATGACTAGCGTAAACCCCGAACACTGAAACCCTAGGCGCTAGACTCCCTAAACACGAAACTCATGTGAGGAAGCTGCTGATTGATCCCTCGAATAGCTTGAGAACCCAAGTGAGAAATGCAGAGCTTGTTCCATGTGCTGATGAGCACATGTCAGTACGCGATGCTTCTCGAAGCCATAGAGCACACCGACGGAAGCTGTTAAGCCCGAGAGTTCTTCCACATATCCACAGCCGGATGTTCCAAGCGTTCTCAACACGGTCACGAAGCTGTCAGGAACAAGCTGCAAGCAACTTGGCGTCCTTAGAGGGTGGTGGGCAAGCTCCAGAAGAGCTTTCAAAAAGTAGAAAACTTCTTGGGGGTGTTCGGTTTTAGCGATTGTCACTTAGGTCTCCTCATCGAAGGATCCTGTGAGCACCGGAATGGAATGAAATTCCGTCAGCCCAAAAAGGCAAAATGACAAGCAGGCCTGTTGGCATTTTGGTTGAGAGGTCAGACTCCAGGGACTTAGCAGTGTCGGCGGCATGCTGATTAGGATGTGTGCGACTAGTGCTTCGCTACATCACCATGTCTGACCTTAATGAGCTCACGAAGATGATGTTGAGGTTTTCATCATGACACCGGTAGAAGAAGCCGTCCGATAAGTATTCTGGCTCGGCCACGAGGAAGGCCGTGCTGCCAGCCACATTGACACTTGCAAATCCTACACGATCAGTAGACCCGACATCGCCGAAGCCCTTTTCATGAGAACTCCGGCTTCTAGGATCTCGGAGGAACAGCCACAACCACCGCGTTTTCAGGCTAGAGGTATGCTTGGGACCAAGACTGCACAGCCAGGAGCAAGCCGTTGCACTTAATCGCGAGACCAATTTGTGGAGGTGCTTTCCCCGACAGTTTGCGAAACTGGTCTATCCCAGCTCCATGCACCGCAAATCTGATCCTACCGCCGTTGCACTCAGGACCAGGTCGACTCGGAGCACATCTCTGTGTTCCTGGATGTTGGGATTGTAGGGTTGTGGTTCAGGGCCGTTTTGGAGGAGCTCGGAAGCTTCGTCGTTTAGAGCTGCAAAGCCAGACATGTTGAGAGCTCAAGGGTTCAGGATGTGTATGACGGCTCAGGGTCAGACCTCCCCCCGCCCACATCCGAAATCCTACCCAGGCTGCTGGACATTGTGAAGCTCTTGATCCTGATCATTTTCATCAACCACTTCATCGCTTGTGCATGGCTCCTGAGCGACGAGATGAGACGAGACCAGACAAGACGAGAGAGTTCCAGTTCCGTGCTTTTTTGTGTGTGTGAGAGCTTTCAGAACTAGAGCCGCTAGGGCTTTCCCCCAAGAACCTGGGCGCAAGAGCAAGAGGGGGCGCTTTGGAGCGTTTGCTCTTAGACCTGACAATGCGACGTGTTGAGCTTCCGACAGTGAGCCTTGAGCCTTCAATCTCAAACCCCAATTCCCAAAAGCGTGGAAGGTACCTTGTGGGCTGCAACCCACCGCACAATGAGAGCTCCTGGCTCGTCGCAGAGTTTTCCGTCATCTCCTGCGACGATCCCGTGGATGACTTGCTGCTCTATAAGTGCCCCTCACACGGCGGGTCTGCTTCGGTGCTGGGCCACCTGCTACTGTTTTGTCTTATTTCTGCTGTGTGAAGCAGTTTGCCACCTGCGGAACCTGGAACTCAAGCCCAGGCCCCAGCTTCAAGACTGGCAGTGAGACACCATTGTGTATGTATATATATATATATATATATATGCTCGCAGGTACACGACCGCCATGCACTGGTCCCTCACGCAGTTCACGCCGGCGTCCATGGGCGTCCAGCCGCAAAACACCATTGAAAGGACTTCCCTCAAGCCCAAGAAGAACACGAGATGCGGTCGAAAACTTGCTGCAGATTCCCCAATAGAAAATACCTGCTTTCGCAATGGTTCCAAGGGCTTTCATGTTGGTGCACATAATTTGATGCCGTCATGTCGGATCAAATTCGGTGCATGCGAAAGCAGATGGTATTGAAAACGCATACCTAGCCCGTAAAATATGTCCTGACAGTACTACCTCGGTATTCAAGCCCGGGCGGAACGTGCGCCGCTGGTACCGCTGCTGAACCTCACGAGCTCGGCGTGTTGGTATGAGGGTTTGACAATGGTGAATAACTATGCGAGTATAGTAACTCAGATTTAGGAGACAATGATTTGAAAGGAGCTTCGCCATCGGCGTCCTGCTTTTTGCCCTCCTCGTCTTCTCTTCTTTTGTCGCGAGCCTGACGGGCGCCACCACGAGTTTTGCGGCAGAGATTTAGTTGAGTCCAGATGTCCAGAGGATGGTGGGGTCCGGTGGGGTGAAGAGGTGAGAGACCTAAAACGAACGCCAGCCAGGTCCCCTCGACCCCCGGCCTTTTCCCACAGAGGAGCCCCTGCCCAAGAATATGCAGTCACGTCTGAATCGTCCGTAGTGGTTGGTGAGTTTGGCATGAAGAAAAAAACTGCCGCTCCAGAGCTACTGGCAGCTGTTGGGGGCAGAAAGTTACGTGCGCCTCCCAAGTCTCAGTGGCCAAGCCTCGGCCGGAGCTTTGCATATTGGGTGCAAGGAGAGGAGGTGGCATTGCACACGGCGCCCGAAGTCTTAGTCTTGGTTTGCTGTGCAATGCTAGTCGTTGCTAGTCCTCCAGCCTCCCTGGCCCCATCAGCTTCAGTCATCCTAGGGTTTTTTCTTCAGCAAATGTTGGGTACATTTCAGCCCGCGTTTGCTTATGAAAAAACTATAGAGTCGCTGTATGGTTTTGGGACTCAGAGTGTCTGATGTTAGGCTTTGTGTTTCAGGCATTGCGGCTTCAGGCTTGGAGCTGGACTCACCGGGACTTTAAGTTGAGCTCTTGAAGCGTCGCTTAATGTACGTGTACATAGTGTTGTTTATGATGTTGCAATTCATAAACACTAAGGCGCCCCACCAAAACATGCTGCACAATCGTGAAATTTCTCTCCTGCACAATACAGTTGGTGCGGGGAGAGCTAGGGTCCGGGAGGGGAATGAGGGTAGGCTGGCAGGCTGAAAGCTGGAGGGCGTGAACAGGAAACGAGGGGCTTTCCAGCTGTTTAATACAATCGGCGGCCCCGCGAATCCTTCACACAGGTAGTAAAACCAGGCAACCGCGACTGCGATTGCTGGGGAAGTTTCAAACAAGGTCGGAGACATAACCCCCAATGACGGCGGTGCACAAGTAGCGGCAGTCGCCTTTTGAGAGGAAGAAGAAGAAAAGAGAGCAGGGTGAGGCCGATCATCGGCCTTTTGCCATCCAGTCACGGTACGGTCAAGCTTCCGATAGTTCTTTGCAAATCCTCACTACGCATGTGAGAGATCGCCATGCGAAAGGCCCGAATCCTGAACGTGTCAATTAGTTAAACTCGCCCGCATCCACGCAAACGGAATCGAGGCTTGCGCAAGATGACGGGTCGACATTCATCTCAGCTGTGGCTGCTCCGAAAGTTCCTGCGACAGCGTGGAATTTCGCTGGATTTGCAGGTTCGAATCAACCGGTGCCTGGGCTGTTGGGAAGCTTGTTCCACCGCCATCCGAGTTCTTGGTTTCGGAAAGCTCATGCACTGCCGACAGCCACCAAGGTACATCAATGTTGTACTGACAAACACGCAGCGCTACGTGCAGTACAGCGTGTGGAGCTCAGACTTGGGACATTTTTTCCCTGACGTAGGCCGACTGGGAATTGTCAAATTTCAAGCCTCTCCGCAGCACCTGTTCTGAGCTGGGGTGTTGTGGCTTTTTGCGGGTCGTTTCTACATTGCACGACAACAGCAGCAGCAACAACAACAACAACAATGCTTGGAGCGGCTACTCCTACTCCTACTGCTACTTCTACTGCCATTGCTACTGCTACTGCTACTCCTACTACTCGTACTAGTACTAGGACTAGTACCAGTACTACTACTACTACTACTACTACTACTACTACTACTACTGCTCCTGCTGCTGCTGCTGCTGCTGCTGCTGCTACTGCTACTGCTACTGCTACTGCTACTACTACATCGTGCCAACTAGGTGCCAAAAAACTACTACTACTACTACTACTACTACTACTACTACTACTACTACCAATACCACTCCTACTCCTACTCCTTCTACTACTGCTACTACCACTACCCCTATTACTCCCTCCCTACTACACTACTACTCCTACTGCTACTCCTACTGCCACTGCTTCTACACCACCACTACTGCTACTCCTCCTCCTCCTACCGCTACCACTAGTGTACTAGCGCGAGCACTAATGCCAGTGCTACGCTACTGCGACTACATCTACGGCCATTGCTACTTCTACTCACTATTACTTTTCCTCCTCTTGGTCGCCACTGATATGAAACTTCAAAAACCACCCCTCGACTGTTTAGGTTTTGGAGGTTAGCGCCCGATGATCGGTACGGTCAGGGTCCAAGTTTGAGTACTAAAGGCTGCCAGCAACCACATACACGTTGATCCAGCCTGAACCCTGCATCCTTATCGCAAAGCCCTACATTTCAGAGATTAAGCCTTAGACCCGAAGCCCTGAAGCCCCAGGCATGAAGGACTTGAGGGGCCTGAAACCGGTAAGTCGGTGGACGAAGGAGGTTGGTGCTAAAAGAAGAAGCCCTGAATCTTGACCCGGTGTGCTAAACCCTAAACATCTTATTGTTCATGCATGCCTGCCTTGTGGGAGAGTGAAACACCCCTCTCCAAAAAAAGGATGTTGAGCTCTTCGGCCATCTTTCGGGCCCGTTGCACAACGAGCTCCAGACGGAGCTGAACAAGTTTCCCGGCCTCGCATCCTGTGGTTTGCTTCTTTCGCGGAGTGGGCTTCAAAGCAGGCTTTAGGGTTTCAAGGTTTGGAGTTTGGGAGTGTCGGGTGCCGAAGCTTTAGGGGCTACGGTATCAGTCGGCTCTGGTTTTCGGGTGTGCATGCTTTGATTGCTCCTTCACCAGCTTGTCAAAGCATGTGAATTTGTCTACATATGCTATACAATTATACCTGGATTCACATGGAAATCTGTCCGCGCAATGTACCCACACTCTCTTGGCTGCCCCGTTTCGATGGCGCACCCTCGAGATTGCCAAACGTTCCTCCCCTTGTATGGACGCTAGTTTAGAGCAACGCTGTATCGCACCTTCATCACATGAAAGGTGTCCAGAACCGTGTGTACGATGTCCACTTCACCCAAGGCCTCGTCTTCTGATCCACCCCTTCTTCGTGAACATGCCGCTTGTCATACTAAATTTCGAGGGTTATCGGATTTCGAGCTAAGATGGCTTCGGGTGTAGGGCATAGGGAGAGGACGCTGCAGCCCAAACCTTGCACCTGCCCTTCACCGACCCAAAAGCAAGACTCGACCGTGCGAGCTCCGTGCACTCTCGTACCCCAAGAATTGCATCAGAGACAGGCAACATCGGATGCAGGCGTGCAGGTTTTTGATGCATGAAAATTTGTGCTGCATGACAACAGCTTCAGAGGCATTTCTCTCGATCATTTGTCTTTGTTTACATCAACGAAGGAACCACTGAACCTAGAAGTCCTGTAAATATGTGATAAAATCCTATATGGTCCAGAAATATAGAAGATCATGGATGATAGAACCTTATAAGGTAAGTCAAGCTTTTTTTGGATCCGTGAGGTGGGTTAAAAGTGTCTACCCCATGGTCTGATTTCCTTGTGTTGAGCTTAGCCTTCAGATGACTATCTACAGCCGCTGTTGTCACAGCAAGCTCAAAAGGCCTGACCTCCAGTAGCATCTTTAGATGATCTGCCGCCGTTTGCAGGAGCACGTGGTTCTTTTGTTTTCATGCCGGGCTTTCTGGGTGTAGGCTTTCGGGCTCAAGGCGTGGGGGCCCCCACAAGCGTAGAGTTGGAATCAGGGTTTCGGCTTGAATCATCTGGAGGAGCGTGCTCATCGAATGCAACAACTAGGAAAGCCGCAGGGTCTCAGCCTAAAATTTGCTCCACTCTTCGAGTGCGACAGGCGGCTTGCCGCTCAGCAGCTCTTAAGCCGAAGTTGGACGATTAATTCTAGCACCTTCAATGGTTCAAAGCCTTAAACCCGAGGTTGGACAAGTTTGAAGCCTTGATGCGAAAGGCCGGAAGCTGGGAGGGGGGCGGGCAAGTCCGGTCTTTGAAAGTGAAAAGATGTATCTTACTATAATAGCAACTGGTGCAATGCGGGAAGACCAGCCCACTTTTTTGTTAGAGCTGTCCGGTTCAGGGTTTAGGTGTCGCTAGAAACTTGGCCTCCTTCCTACAGATGGTCGCAACAACATGTGGGTCTGAATGCGAATGACAAGTAATTCCTTGACGCGGGACATCGCACCAAGATCTTCAGTTTCATGACAATCTCAGACCTATAGGTTTTGACAGGCGGCCGGCATCCATTAAGTGCGATGATCGCTTGTGTCTGCGTAAGGCAACAACCAGGGCTTCAAGAGGCTCCGCGCGAGCTTTCAAGCCAGCTTTCTGTTCTTTTAGGCTCTCGCCACCCTAAGCCTTTGCGAGCTTCCACGAAACACACGCTGTTTTCTGTTTCAAATCTGTATCGCCGTCCTGCTGCGACAACTTGAGTGATCACAATCCAGCAACAAGTCTGATGCAGTGCCAATGTGTCACACGAGGTTTGCTGCAGCGTTCCGGTGGAGATGGCACTCTCACGGGGCGATGTGCTGTTCAATGGCGGCGAAGAAGCTCAACACATGCCGCCTGACCAAGTGTTTGTGAGTGAAAGGGCGGGCGTTTCCACAACTCGGGATGTGAGGACCAAGGGCACTGGGGGAAGAGTGGATAAGCGAGGAGAAGAGCCTTCGGGCAGGCAGGAGGCAGGAGGTCATGCGCTGACTCGATGCTTTAACTTCGGGTTGATAGACACAGTTTGGGCTTGCCCGGACTATCAATGCTAGCCTGAAGCCTTTGGGAAAACGGCCTTGCCGAATGATTCCCAGGTACTTCCTTTGCTCCGGCGGCCTGACAGATTTCGTAAGTCCAACGGCGAGAGGCTTGCTTCGGGTTTGGGATTCAGCTTTGGGAAAGCATTGGGATGAAAGTGTTGGAGGCAAGGAGTGATGGTTATTCGACAGTCGTTAATGTTTGTGTTCCTGGCGAGTTCCGTCAAAAAGCATCAAGAAAGCGGCCCAAGGCGATGTCCCAATCCTCCGTGTCACGGGCTCCCTCAACCCTGAGCCTGAAATCTGCGCATGCAAGCGAGCCGAAACAGCTCAGCCTGAGACCCTTAACGCTGAAGAGGCGCGCTGGCAGACTTACACTAGTTGTCCCCGGCTCAACAAGAACTTAGATAATCAGATAGGTCCGACCTGTGCTGGCGCTTACCGTTGCAAAGCATCAAGACAGGTTCTTTTGGTGATTTGATTCCCTTACTTATCTCAGAGTTCGTTCGAATGTGTGTCGGTCTAAGCCCTTGTAGGCTGCTCTGTCGGTTCCTGCTGTTTGCGGCGTCCCCAAGATGCTGCGCTCGGAACAAGCACCTACTGCGGCCGTCCATAGTATGACGTTGTCGTTCTTCCTGGATGGTTGAGCGTTGTTATTATGTGCTTGATCGCTGTGAATATCACTCGTACTAATGCTGTTCTTGCCCTGTTTCTCCATCTTTTCTTCGACTTGGGGCATCAGCTCCAAGATGGGTTTGCAGACACCGAGGAGATGGAGACTATTGGCATGTGGAGTCCAAAACCTTCCACAGCTTGGGTGCGGAACAGCCACCCGGCAAATCGACCGACCGCAGGGCCAAGCGGTATCGAAGCCCCTTAGGGGTTCAGTTGATGACCCCTGAACCTCCAAAGCCAACCCGTCTTGAACCGAAGTCTTCATGCTTTGGGTTTTCGACCGGTTGCAATGCTTTGAGGAAGAATCCAAATGCTTCAAATTCTCAGCGCTTCTTTCTCCAAAGAGCATGCTTAAGCCTTGACCAGCTCTTTGGCTTTTGAGTCGAGTGAGTACTTTTGTATCACTCAATGGCAAAGGCTTTGGAACGGCCAGTGTTTGTTATTTCGCCCCTAATCAAGCGATTATTGCATGCACTTCCAGCATTTTGCATGCCAACACTGCCAAACTTGTGGGTTTTTGAGATCGGCGTTGTTCTTGCGGCCGGGGCTGCATGTGTGGGAATGTTACAGACCCATCAAGGAGTCCCTCCTTAACAACCTTTTCGAATTTCTTCGGCGCTAGGCTTAGGGTTCAGGGCGTGGTCAACTCGGAATCATGTTAGTTTGTCCGCGCCGGGCCTGAGCCCCCTGAACCTCAACTTGCTGAGGCATAGAGGCATCCTGAGCACATGGACTGTCTTGGTGGTTCTCAGATCCCTGTGTGAGAATTGATCGGCGTGTACGTTCCCTGCGGTGCCGGAAACGACACCTTTAGCACTTTAGGATATGCCCCAGTTCACCAAAGCATAACAAAACCTTGTTCTGGAGGCCTTGTGAGGCTGTGCACCCTCGTGCTCCCTTAGCCTAGACCGTGAGACCGGTGCTGCGCAGGTGGTTTTGCGAAGCGGTTCTTTGGACTCCGTGGGTCCACCAAGGACGGGTGCGGGCAAAGCCACTCGGCTGCCAGGGTTTTGCCGTGTTTTAGGCGTGCGAGGCTGAGTTTCTGGCCTTCAGGTCTGCGTACAAGCCTCGGTGTTTACTACAGTCTTCAAGAGAGGCACCATAAGTTTCACACGAACGACTTGTACGGTGTATGAAAGGGCGTTTAGGATGTTCCTATTTAAGTTAGCCTGAGTCTCTCGTCCTTTACGGGCTTGTGGGAGTGTACAGCCTTAGTCGTTGGTGTTTGCTGATTCGCATCCAAGCTTCTGGGCTTTGGGGTTCTACCTCGGAGGATACAGGGAACAGCTGAGGAGCGAAACTGAGCTGATCTCCCTCAGCAGCGCCAAATTCCGTGATGTCCTGTCCGAGTACCCGAAGCACATGTCTTTCATGAGGCACGGATTGGGAGCTGCTGCCAAGAGAAGTTAGCCTGTAAGGGGCGAGGTTGTTGACGGCTGGGTTCAGGGTCCATGGCAGGCAGTTTGGATTCTGTTGGCATTGCCGGCCTGAATTTTCAGCATCTCCTGCATCCACGCAGCCTAAATGTCTCTTCCAGAGGAGGGAAAGCAAACAACATGCCAGTCCCAGTGTGCCCAACGACACACCCGCCCAATTCACCGAAGCGCTGCCCTGGCATTGGCTCCGGCCAGCGGGCGGCCAGCCGAAGCGCCACCGTGGGCCGTCGTCTTCGCTCTTCTGTTTTGCTGCGCTTGCATCCGTTCCCGCGCTCGGTTCATGCCGTGCTGCGACTCTGGAAGTGCATCGTTCGACAACTGACAGGATACGCTCGCCATACAAGAGCTGAAGGAAGCCCTTGCAAATAGCACCGCATCCGAAAGGCCGTTTGTCTTGATCCACTGGAACCCACGCTACATACTGCCGGAATCCTGGTTTGCGACATTGAGGATCAGGTTGCCCCTGATTCCTCTTCCACTCTAGTCACTCTCGTCTCATGTGGCAAAGCTTTTGACTTGGAGGACTCCAGGCTTCTGCCGTAGTGCTGAGAGCTCCTGTGGTCAAGTCAAGGCTCGCAAGGCTCAGGACGGATGCATTAGCCCCCTGTGTTTTGGGCTCTAATCTTCTAATCTTACCTGGAGCAACAGCTCAAGCCCTGAAGCAGGATGTATGGCCTGGTCTTTTTGAGCCAGCTCCAGGATTGGTACGAGGTCTCGCAGCGCTTGCTCCTCGGAAGAAACCACAGGGAGCCGTGCGGGCGTGGGGATGTGCACTTTGACTACCATACAAGCCCGGCCTGAAACTCCTCTTGTCGGTATTTTAGACGGTGACATGAAGTGCCTGCGACGTGGAAGCGTTTGGTTGGAGTCATGCTCTGAATCTGTGGACGCTTGTATTCCGTGTTTGCCTGCGGGTAGTCTTTCGTATATGGACCAGTCGTCGTGAAGCCTTGCTTGGCTTGAGAGTCGAATTCCCCAACGCTACATACACTGTCAGAGCGGGGACTTTCCGAGCAAGCCGTTGACTGGTAAAAGGCTGTTGATGTTGCTCTTGTCTGTTGGGAACTCTCTCTGTGCATGAAGTCATGATGCAACGGGCATATTCATGACAAGTCAAGAAAATGTCGTGTTCTTCCCTTTTGAACTACTGCAGATGTTCGTTTTGAGGCTGCTTGCATGCAGGCCGACAGTCTAGATACGAGCCAGCACCTGAATCGCAGTAGGCCTATACGGATGTTGTTCCTGCGGTGAGAGGTGCACGCATGGCTAGACAGCCCAACGCTCACCTTCAATCCCACATGATCGTTCATGAGACACCAAGCCGGCATGAAGCAGTGACACCCGCTGCAGCAGCACAGAGTATCCACCGTGCAGCGGCTGCAGCAGCGCGAAACAGAAGGCCCACTTCAATCACGGTCTATTTTTGAAATCCCTCAACACCACCATACGATGAACTCCAGGAAAGTGGAACTTGGATATCAGAAAACTGGTACGGGCCTTCCGCATGAGGAGAGAGATGTTCCAACTTTCGGGCCTCGTAAGTGGGAATGCAAACCCGTGGAGGCAGAAACCAGCACATGCGATTGGCAGAACTAGGCCGCAAGCCTTTTCGGATTTTGGCTCATCATGCAGCGATCCTGCTTTTTGACGGCCAGGAAGACCAGCCCCAGATTGCCAGACTTCACACGATTCCCTGTGACATCTATGAGGTCCTTGTAGTACTTACACCGTGCCTGTGCCCCCGAACTATGTCTGTTCACCGCCACCAGAACCAAGGACGGACCTCGACATGGACGTCTCGGCACCTTGGGTTTGAGGGTGAGTGTTGTCGCTGCTCTTTATAGGGACCAATTTCTGGGAAGAACAGACATGTTGCCGGCAAAATGCGACAGTGGAGGTGCTTCGACTCTTCGTGTTGATGCGGGTTCGGGGCCATGAGCCGCCTTGCAACCCCTAACCGTCAATAATGCCCAACGAATCTCTTCAACAACCTATCATGGCACCACAGATTTAGCAGGCGGCTGGAGAAGTGCGGCCGCTGGCATCAGACACGCCAGATGCCATACTTCAAATCCTCAGACCCAGCCTTCAGGTGAGCGCCACGACAACAGACTTCTTGCAGCTCGAGTTGGTAACTTGTCGGATTGGTTATGTTCCAACAGGTCAGGGGCTTGGAGACTGAAAGCCTTGAAGCCGTTTGTACCTTCGCCCCCAAGATCTGAACCCTAAATTCGAGAGTCGCGCGTATAAGCCGGCAACCTGGCGCAGTCAGGGTTGTGTTGTTTGGCCAAAGGGAAGGCTTGAGCTTTCACTCCCACATCCGTGAATCAGTGGGTGGATGTCTCACTCAGGAGACCTCGTACCACATGCCTCGCCTGGATTGTCCGAGCGTGAGCGCCCAAACCTTAAGCATCATCGCCCAAGCCTTGTCTCCGCGCAATCTAGAAAAAAGCCTTAAAAGGAACGAGAACCCTTCGATTGGTGCTTCGTCTTTTGAATGTCAAGTCTTGAGAACTTTGAGGAAAGTGTTTGAGGTCCGAAGTGTTGCCACTACTTGCTGCAAGGAGATTCAAACGACCTCGAAAGCTCAGGCACAAGAAATTCGACGTCGTCAAAGTCTGCGACATCCCAGAGACAAAACCTTAAAATACCAAGAGAAAAAACCCGCTTCCCGACACTAAAACTTTGAACCCTGGACCCCACAACTCTTCAGGCCGACGTGGAATCGGAGGCTCCATCCCTCCGGGACGATCAGAAATCCACTGTCAGTGGCGCTTCGCGGACAGAACTTCAGCAACTGCAGAGTTTCGAGTTTCGCACTACGGCACGTCTGCAGAATCAAAAATGCTAATTCGCAGCATTTGGAGCTGGCGACATCGTTTCGCGCATGTGAGAAGTCAGAACTGTTCTCTCTACGTCCATGTAGTTCATCAAGGAGCAGAACTATCGTATGATGCGTCATCGAGTCTCGTTACTCCCACGCTAGGGCTTGACAGATCTCGAAACAAGGAGCCGTCAGAATGCGAAACCTCAGGGTCATGAAGTTGAGGGCGCTAGACCTGGACCCGAGACCCCGTGAATAGTGAATCGCTTACGCCCTGGCACAGAGAACCACCAAGAACAAGCCCGAAGCCCCAAACCCATCCGAGCCTGCCCACAACAAGCTCTAGATCCGCACCGTTCGGCAAAATACCAAAATCCCAAATCCTGCACCCGGAGCTTGTAGTTCCAAAGTTGCAAGCCCAAATAAAGGTTGTCGCTAATAAGGGTTGGCATCTTCCAATTGTAGTTGATACTACCAACCACGCAGAACATTCAGGGTAGCCTCGGGATGCCACCATCTGAACCGTTCAGCCGTCCAATCAGTCTTCATCCTTCTGGCCGGCTCGGTCAGCATCGCACCAGACTGTGGTGCCATCCCCACAGGCGGCTGCACAGGGCCTCAGGGCTTGAGATGTTGCGGCTCTTCTGCCAATCCAGAAAGCGTCGGTTCGGAGCAGTACTGCCGCTTCTCCAGCTTCCACGGTGTACTGAGCAGTTTTGGCCCTGGTTTCGTTGCAACTACACCTACACCGAAAGTGTGGCGATTGCTTTTGCATTGATCCGTCGGAGCAAACTGCCCGTTTCTTCCTCTTACATCATTGCGACGGCTGTGATGCTGCTGACGAGTTGTTACTCACCGTAACGACCAAAAGCCGGCTTTTGCCGCTGCTACATCGCACCAATAAGGCAGTAAGGCTACACTATCATGCTTCGCACTTTTTGGCTTCCTGCTTTCACGGAGCAAGTTAGCTTGAAAGCCAGCTCAGCACGACAAGTCTGACCAGGTGGGAGCACCTGGGCTTACTTAGGTTCATTCATGGACTCGGCAAGGCTGTTTGCAGAAGTGGTCCTGCGAGACTTTCTCCCATCGCAGGCCCGTTACCGACGTGCGAAGTCGAAGCAGCTGCTCAAAATGAGCGTGCCTCGAACTTCAATAGAAAGTTTCCTCCTGTGGCAGGTGTCGGTTCAATTCATCTCGAGTCTTATGAACCTGGTTGTGTGTGGGTGCCTCTGCATGCTATGCCATCTAGCTCTAGCTTGACGCTAGCATAGGTCTTTGAAGGTTGCCAACGTCATTTCAAGTAGTGACAGCCTTGCCGCTCGCGGCGTACATTTGCGATTTCCGTTCCTCTGTTTGCTGTCATAAACCCTTTTCGTTGCATAAAGTCGTGTGCTGCATCCACTGGACTTCACTGTAAGCCCGACACGACACGAGAAAAGCCACAAGCTTGAGACCTGATTCTGAAACACCCCGCATCCGGCAACTCGACTTCTGGAAAAATGGAACACGAGAAGAGTAACGAGCGTGTTACAGTCATGCAGCAGTTTCCGATGATGGAAATCGTTGTAGGGTTGAAGGTGTCAGGATTAGCTGGAGTTGAGAGTCGCTTAGACAGAGCTTCAACATGCAATTGAGCATCGGGGGTTAGATGTTGCACGAGGCTGGGCTGAACGACAATACTGCGGTGCCATGTGGAATCGAGCAGCCCTGAAGCAAATCGCACGCTGCCAGCAAACTCTACACCCTAAACCCTGCATAAGCAACAAACCCACATCCCGACATGAAAGCTTGAATCTGCAGCCCTCCCAGGAGAGTGATATTTTGGAAACGCAAAGCGATCATGGCCCGGGATTTCTGACGGTCTGAACTCTTGTGGCCTTGGCATGTATCTCACATGCGAGGCTGACCGTTGGTTCTGGTTTCAGCTTTTGGCATATGCCCTTAGGCCTACAGCCTGTTTATCAACAACACGTCGTAGCCTTGCTCGTGGCATCCCTTTTGCAAACCCTTTTGTTTGCTGCAGGGAGGGAACTTCGGGTAGTAGTTCGGCCAACAGATGTCCATGGTGTCACACTATGCTGACATGTCCGACCGATGAGCAATCCCCCTGCAACAAACTTTGGCAGAGTTTGTGTGTCACCTCGTCGCAGAACAGAGCAGGCGAATCTCAAGATGTGAGGTTTGATTGGCCTGCCCAACAGTAAACTGAAGAGCAAACGGTAGATAGATGGCATTGGTCATCATCGTCGTCATCGAGTTCAGTGTTCACATTCCGTTTTCCACCCTGCTGCTTCGAATGATTGCTGCTATCATATGCTGCTGGTACTTCGGTTTTCAGTGCATCTGGAAACAGCAGTAAGTTTCACTTCACTACTAGTCGTCACTACCCAGTATTGTACCAAAGTTACTCTTTTATTGCACTTGTTTTGCACCCAAACTGAAGCAGCCGAAACAATCCCATGTCCGTAAGCTTGCATCTCGGTAATCGTTTTCATCTCGAAGTTTACTCACCTGCACCTACGTACCACTGCTACTGTTACTCTTACTGCTGCTGCTTCGACTACTACTGCTACCACTGCCACTACCACTACTACTGCTACCACTACTACCTCTGCTGCTGCCACTTCCACGGCCACTGCTGCTACTACTACTACTACTACTACGACTACTACTGCTGCTGCTGCTACTACTACTACTGCTACTGCTACTGCAACTGCTACTCTTACTGCTGCTGCTTCGACTGCTACTACTACTACTACTATTATCACCCACCGCCATTGCTTGTGCCACTACCATTACGACCACTGCTGCTACTTCTGGTGCTCTTCGCAAGAGCTGTCACGAGCAGTGTTTATCATGACTGGAACGTAACAGCAAGAACCGCGAGTACATCTTTACTTTTCAGGTTGGGGATTGCGATTAGCAAACAAAGAGTTTCAGGACGTGCCCACAAAGGCTAGAAGGGTTTTCAACCTAACAACTTGAGCCGCCAGCTGTCATTGGGAACCCAAGGAAGACTGCGCCTGCAAGCCCGCTCGCATAAACAATCCCACATTCAGCTGTTCAATGGCGAGACTGTGATATCCTACCCTGCGAGGGCTTCTACAAGCCATTATCCTTTTTTCGTACAAGCCCTGTGTAGCTTGCTTGGGTTCCTGATTTCCAGGAGAGCCAACAAAAAGAGTCGTGGGAACGGGTGAAGGCACGGGAATGCTCCTGCCGGATCCAGCCCTGACCCGAAACTAATGGTGTGAAACCTGCTGGACGGCAATACTGCCTTTCGTGATAACTAGCTTGTACAAGCCGTATGAAAAGAGCAACGCAGACCAGGTCAACTTGGGTGTTGACTGAGGTTTTAGGTTCAAAACCGATGCTAGGATGCCGTTAGTTTGACGGGGAGCAGGGCTCAAACAGGTTTAGGGACACAGCCGATTCCCGTCGAAGCTTCTTTTAGGGCACTGCTTCGAGACAATATTGTCGAGTCTAGCATCCATTCGTCGTTATGTTGCCGTGGCATAAACCTTTCATATGCCGGCTTGCTTTGGATGGTTCTCCGTACTGTATGGAAGTCTCTCAGGAAGCCCAGTCATCAGTGACTGTTGAGAATTCTCCGTGAAGGCTCCCCAGACCCTGCACTTCTCTGTTGCGGATGCCACAAACTCGCTCACCGCACAATTCTTTCAACATGCTAATGAACCCGATCCACATGCTTGTCCGTGCTCACTTACCTTGAGGGTAGGCGCCAGCTGCACGAGGGAGTTGCAGAAGCGAGGAAGTCCGTCCACGCAAGCGGTTTAATCACAAAAGCAGGATCCTGCGGTGCAAAAGCCTTGTGCCTTCTGCGTGGTCCGAGGCGTGTGGAGGTGCTCTTACTTGACTTGACCCGTATTGAAAATCTCTTGAAAGGGACTGAGTCTGCCACAAAGCTTGTGGAGACTCCTCGTGAGAGGAGTGGGGGGTGGCTGCTGGGGGTGTAGCGACCTGCCGAAAAAATGCGATGAGAAGGCCCTTCGTCCGACGACGGTCTGACATGCGAAGCCTAGGGCCTACAAGATCCTGAAAGTCTGGTTCCCCGATTCGGGGCCGCACAACAAAAAGGGCACAGATCACGAAATCTCAAGGAGTACACAATACAGCTCACACACTGAGAATCGCTTCGGCCGAAGATGTTGCTAATCGCAAAACACGAAGGTCGCATTTGCGGGCTACGCTTCCAGTGCACACTATACCACACAGACTAGGAAGTCATGAGAAAGCTTTGCCTACTACGTATGTGTCGGTGGGGTTCCCAAACTGCACACGATACTTGCCTTTGCATCCGATTAAAACGCTCTACAGCCCGATCCTCTAATCAGCATAACCCTGAAACCGTTTGGCTAGCGAGCGCCATGCACCCTCCATTCCTCAACCCCAAAATGGCCCCAAGCCCCAAAGCCTTAAGCCGCCTTTTGGAGTCTTCTCAAGGCTCTGCTTGACCTCCCGGAGTCAAACCAAAGCTCTCGGAGGATTTCTACGGGGCTGTTCTAAGGATATGTCTGTCGCGTATTGGGGTTTGGGGGCCCCAGTACAGGGGAACTGGAGTTCGTGAGTGTAACTTTCGAAATGAATGTTCTTCGTGATCTTAGGAAGAGAAGCTGGTTCTGGGGAGGTAGATCGTTCAAGGTCGGTATCAGGATAAACCAAAGGTTTGCACGGCCTCTGGGGTGTAAGGGTCACTAGGGCTTTGCGAAACAGGTTTGATACTGACTGGGACGCTGAAGGAATTTACACATAGACCCGAGCTTGGAGCAGCCCCCATATGATGCATGTGCGGCGTGCTGCACCGCACCCGGAAGCCGCTTGCCGAAGGCAAAGCGGTGCTTGCATACGCGTCGGAATCGAAAAAAGCATCGGGCGCAGTTGACTTCTTTACGACCTTAAAACCACCGGCGCCGAAGCCCCATCACAGACCTCGAACCACATGCCACGCCTGGTCCGTCCGAGTGTGAGCACCGAAACCTAGAAAACCAAGAGCTGCCTGCCGCATTTTGCCGGGTGCAGATCTGACTTTGAGACCTTGCAAACGGAATCGCAAAGATCTGTGAGTGAATCGACAACAGGATCGTAGATCGCTAGAAACAGTCCCTTGGCCCCGAAGCCATTTTGAAGGGGTGCTTGAGGTTGAGGGTTTTAGGTTGAGCTCAACAGTGAGACACTTTCTCTCAGGCTTTGCTGGCAAGCTGCCCAAATACGTGCCAGCTGCTTACTCCCGGGTTTGTTGGCTCAGGGCCTCAAGCTTCGAGACAGTCTAGAGTTTAGGTGTTCATCAAGGGTTCGATTGCTGCTTCCATCTGTTCTCTCAGACTAGCATAGTGACTGTGTTTGCTTTGCATGAATAGGCGTTCAGAGTTCAGATCCTGAACTCGGAAACGAATGTTTTTGTCATGGCCGGGTTGATGCTCAGAGATGTATTTTGGATGATCCGACAACCTGGGAAGTCCTGCACAGAGATGCTGTCACAATCACTGTACATTAAAATCCGGCCCCACATGAGTCATCGACACGTCATGTCCAGTTTTGGTGTTCTTCACATGGGTGTTAGTACCACCCATCATGTTTCCCACACTGAATGCGTGCAGTGCTCCAAGTATCAATTGCCGACTCGTTTTGCTGCTCCACAATGAATTCCCGAAGTCAGGTTCCTATACATCATGGAGAGACCCCCCACAGAGAGACCACAAGTTGGGTATGTATCCAGGCTTCTCGGCCGGAGGGCTTGACTTATGCTCAGTATGATTCCACCTCCACCTGAGTTTAAGTTCTTCTATGTTCAAAGATACCGTGCCGTTTGCATCCGCTCAAGCTTGACAGCTACGTTTCCTGCACAAGCTCGTAGTATTGATTGTGCCACCACAAGAGATGAGAAGGCCAAGCCAGACCAGCAGTGAGGATTCCTTTCCAAAGCTGAAGGTGATGCACGAAAGGTAAGTTACTGGTTCCAGCCAGAGTAGCAGCTGCAGCAGCAAGATGATGATCCCAAGCCTTCACGTTGCAGCAAGTCCTGGGCGTAGCGTGGAATCTGCAGACAGCATGCAAGAGACGATGCCAATTCTGGTGGAACGAGTCCTCGGTTTTTGTGAAAGCCCCTCCCCTTTGAATGTTGGTTTCACAAGTATGCAAACCCAACCAGAATCAACAGCGAGAGAGAGATCTCGATCCGAACGCGTACCCAGGAAGTGGTCAACCCAGAAGTCCTGAGGGTGACACCGGTGTAGAAGCGAATTGGAACAGTTTGCCAAAGATTCCGGCGGCGTCTGTTAAAACCACTTGATGCTCCGAGCGTCAGGCGAAGTGTTCGAAAAAGCCCAAAACGTAGTCGGTTTTCCAAAACCCCGGCCGAAAGCCGCCCCGAGCCTGGACTCGGCCTCGGCAGTTCTTTGCCGGCGCATCGTGGGAATCCAAATGTCGCCAAAACCACGCTTGGGTTCCCTGTAAAGGGTGCAATAGCAATGCAGGATAAGCCACAATTTCATGTTTCCCAGGCGCCTCGTCCCCAAGACCATGCAGTACACAGCGACCGGGAGTCATGACTGGTGGAAAACCAAGCCGGCAGACTTAAGCGCCGAGGCTGCATTGCAGAAGCGGAAAGTAAAGTGCTGAAATCGCAGATTTGGTACTGCAGGGCTGCTAAGACTTTCAGTAATTCAGATCTTGGTTGCTTCTTGACTTGCTCCCTGATGCAATTGGGTGCTTGACTGTGGCTGTTGTTACACTCCCTCTTCTTGTTTATTTCAAATCACACGGGCAGCGCATGAGGTCGAAACCACGTCGATCAAGAGCGAGTCATGGGTCCAGCTGAGAGATGTGATAGTCAACAGCTTGTAGACTAAATGGCGACCGTTGGAAACTTCGAACTCGTTTTTGAAGCATAAATGCCAGCCCGCAGGCACCGTCACGGCACCGTCAGCCGGATAACCGGAGATCATCCTGAAACCACGAAGACTCCTGCACCCTTCCGAGGTTAAGTCTCTGAGCCCCCAAGATGTGTCGAAGCTCCAGAGGTCAGCTCCCATGGTCTCAGTGTCCTGACGAAAGCCTCGGCCTTCCGCTTGGCAGCCCAATCTCCCGACGCTTCGTCTCATGCTGGTTAGGGCCTTTGGAGCTTTGGAGCCTTTAGCTACGTGGACCAAGAAGGTGTTTTGCAAGTTGAAGGCATGTGAGACATCTAGGGTACAAGCTTTGAGAGTTGCCGGCCGCGAGTTCGGGGTTGGCAACTTGCATACCCAAGAAATCTAGATTTCAAGACGGTGCCAAGCCGTAAAACACTCTCACTTCAGATTCGCCTGCGAAGCAACTTCGCCTGGTTTAGGGTAACAGAAGACTTTCAAAACAGCCTGAAAGGCTGATCGTGTGAAGGCTTAGGAGTTGGAGCCGAGGGGCCGTGAAGAAATTGTTAAGCAAAACGTGCGTTTCTGTTTGGATCACCTTCAATTGTTGATGCTATTCCATTAGTTCCTATTTTTGCACTGTTAAAATCAATTAAACTGTACAAACGTTTGTGGCCGCCTCCGCTCCGGCATACTAGCAGTGGTTGTTTTAAGGTTTGGGATTTCGGGTCAGGAGGCTCTGGAGTTTCACGTATGGTGCCAGGGATCCCGGGGCTTGGCATCTGCAGGACCTAGGACTTGGAGTTCTGATTTGCGGTGCAGTTTCGCGCACTGGGTGCATCAGAGGCTGAAGGTGTGGTGAAGGTTAGAGATTCGGGTTTGGAGCTTAACCAACCTTGCACATCCGCCTCTGTGTTGTCAATCACTGCATCCCAGGAGAGCACCTGCGTGAGCTTTTAGGCTGGGACTCCTGGGTCCACGGTCTTGGCCTGTCAGGGCTTAAGGTTTACGTTCGTGTTGAGAGGGGCTCGGCATGATGGACAGGTTCATGTGTGAACCTCACAGCTCATTCACTCGGACTGAATGTGAGCTTGCTTTGCCTGGTTGTGGGATTTGTTCTGCAACAACCACTTTTGGAGCCACTGCGGCTTGATGCATTGTTCCTGGCTCGGTCTAGTGTTAAACACATACTGCATTGCGATCTGCATTCTTCTGAATGCTTAATCACCCTGCCATGACATGAACATCAAGTCTTCCGGGCTTTCAATAGCTTCGCCCCACGATCGCCAAACTTAACCATGCTGGAATCCGTGCCTGCTGAGTGCGAGCGTGCGAGTCGAAACATGCTACATCTGCTACGTACTTGTGGCAATGTAGAGCCTCAGTAGCATTGACAACCAGGACAAACCTAGCATAACCTAGCCACACGAACCACATGACGACTCCGACACACCCGATCCCTGTGGCTGTTGACACATGTGGCGACTGCCGGAGATCGAAGATCACAACGGCAAACATCACTTTGGAAAGAAGAATCGGGTCACAGCTTCGCAAGACAACCCTTTGCAGTTTAGCTTTGGACTCTTTTGGAGCATGAGCGGAGTCTTTCCCTGTGTTGTTCGGGAGTTGGGAACTAAACTCACTCGAATTTGATACAGCGCACGAAGGACGTGCTCTCAAAGACTTGCTTTTTTGCGGACACACACCAAGATCTGAAGCTTCGCATGGACAGGCACTGAAATTCAAATTGTTTTCTGCGCTGTTTACCATGCAACCTGAAGACAAGACAATGCTGCTGTCCTGCACACACTGATGCCCAAGGCCCCTTTAGTGACCGAACCCCATATCAGATATTCGAAGAGTCAAGATGCTGTCACCCTGTCCTCCCATCCCGCACCAAGCCCTGGACCTTAAATTCGTGGAGGAAATCTGCCTCACCGTGAACCCCTACACCTTCCCACAAGCTTAAATGTTCATTTGTTCTGAACCCTACCACTGCCGATCAAGCGAAAGGTCCAGAAGAAGACAAGGCTGGGTGGCTCATCAAACTCGCGGGGCTTTTGTTTGTTTGGTTCCACTGATGCCTGTAAGTATGTTCGTACAGCACAAGCCTTGTAAAGAGCATGGTTCTTTGAGGTGCGCACAGTGCGGTATTTGCAACATTGAAAAGCAGACGGCGAAAATGCAAGCTCACGCAGCAATGCAAGCAAAAGTTCATGGCGTGCCAAAGCATGTGAATTGGTTGTTTTCAGTTTACTTTGGCGCTGTTTCGTATGGGATTTAGTTTGCGGGTACGGCGCTAGTTCACGATTCGTGCGAGTACGGACGTTGAGCTTATCTCAGATTAGAAGAGGTGGTCGTAGCTGTGCTAGAAGTAGTGCAGCAATTTCAATTTCAATTGCAAAGCATTTTAGGACTTGGGAGATGTGTAATCATCGCGGACAGGTCCATCCCGCACCCTGGCCATCTTCTCCACTGAGGATGGTGTCCGAGGCCTTGCAGCTGTCAAGGGCTGTTTAAACTTGAGAGTTCCCCGCCACACTTTGTTGTTTCATTTTCGGGTTATCCTCTTTTCCTCGCCGAACGTGCTATGTCAAAACCCTATACTACACACTTCTTAAGTTTGAAGCCAGGGTTAACTGACAGCGAGGCTATGGGCCCAACCAACTTCGTCCGAACCGCTGCTGTGGCGTTGGGTGGTGCACACCTCGCTGCGTCCAGAGGCGGCCTTCTCGGCTAAGCTTTAAAACTTTCAAGAGTTTGCCTCTGGAGCGAGAGAATCAGAAACATGATCCGCAACCGTTATTGTTTGCTTTTCGGTTTCCTACCGAGCAGAGGTTGCTCAAGATATTGAAATGGTTTTCTTGTCCAGGTGCAAACTTTCTGTGGGGAGGATCGACATCGAAGAAGCCGTGGATGAGCCCTGTCCGATGTAAGGGATCGCGATGTTTTGTAGTTGTAGTATGCCTTCACCCAAGCGGCTGTTGCACCTGCTGAAACGCTTCACCTCCGTGTGCTGGAATGTCCAAGATGACATGTTAAGTTCATTTTTTCAAATTGATCAGATTTCATGCTGGCAAGCTGAGGACAAGAATGACCTGGCAACTTTCTTCATTGTTTCTATGAAGATGGCCAAATCCGTGGAGACGGCATCGAGGACATGTGGAATCTGTCTTTAATCCCACCAGCGACTGTGCGAGGGCAAAACTGAAGCCTGCCTCCACAGACGTGCATCTACATGTCGTGAAATGATTTTACAAGTCTTCGCGATTGTGGACGGTCTCGTTTTCTGGCGGTGGTACTGAGCTCGCTGAGTAGAAACCTGAAATTCCAAAAGGTTTTGGTGCCTTTTGCAGGATTTTATATGGTCAGACAATTTTGAAAGTCCATGGTCGATCCAAAGATTTCTATAATGAGTACGATGGATACGGAATTAGTGAAAATGATGGATCTGGGCTATCTCAAATAAACAGGCAATTCTTTTTGATTTTCATCGCAAAAATTTTACTGATCTCTTGAATCAAATGTCTACAAACGAAAAAATAATTATTAGAACGGAGCCGCTGCTGCAAATACAATATTTTCTTTCATCGTCATAATTACGATCATTGCGGTGATTTGGAATATTTTCTTCATAGTGATTACTAGAATATTTCAATAAAACGCCGGCGTCACTTGCGGTTGTGCGCGGCAAAGCCTTTCGGCCGTTGGTCTGGGCGGCGTATGGGCCCTACAAATAATGCGAATATTTGAAGGCTCTAAAGGCTCGAACATTTTCGGAGCCCCCCGCCTCGCCGCCCTCGCCGCTTGGATTGCATTGCTTTCTGCTATTGCGTTTGTGGCGTCTGCGGGTGTTGAGGTTTGTGGGAATAGTAAGGTCTTGTGGTGTTTGTAGTGTCTGCGGGGTTTGTGGTGTCTACATCTTGTGGAGTTCGTGGGGTCTGAAGGGGTTGCGTGGGATGTGCGGATTGCGGTCTGAGTCTGAGGGGTTTTTGTGCATTGCATTTCCGGGTGCTGGGGGTTTTGTAGGATCTGCAATAGCAGGGTTCTGTGGTGATTGCCGTGTCTGCTGGATTTGTGGGGTCTGCGGGGTCTGCAGTGTCTGAGGAATTCTGCGGGGTTTGCCCTGCCTGTAAGTTCGCAAGAACTTGTTGTTCCTCCCAACTGTAGGTTGTGTGGCCACCATCGCCTCCCCTAGCTTTTTCCGGGTCAGGCATCCGCCGGCCCAGGCACCGAGGACGAGGCAGCGGACTTCTGCTGCCCATGCCGTCGCGAGGGTGTGTCGCTGGGGAGTAAGGGTCACTAGTGTTCTAGGGCATGAGGGTGCTGGGGTTTCATGTCTAAACACGCAACCCCAAATCCAAGACCCTGAAACCCTTAAGCCGAACCCCGAAGAAGTGCTCGCCTTCCCTTTCTCCCCAGGAGGATGCGACGTTGTCGGAAGAGTCCGAAGAAGAGGCAGCCGCAGGGAGGGTGCATGAGAAGATGCTCCTAAGGGTTGCACGTTCGCTCGCTCTTCTGGCTCTCTCTCTCTCTCTCTCCTTCTTTCTCCTTCTCCCTCTCTCTCTCTCTCTCTCTCTCGCTCGCTCTCTCTCTCTCTCTCTCTCTCTCTCTCTCTCTCTCTCTCTCTCTCTCTCTCTCTCTCTCTCTCTCTCTGTATATATATATATATATATATATATATACAGGTATCATATACACATACACATGTACACATACAGATTTTCGTATATACGTACATATACATTTTTTCTCTCTCCTTCTTTCTCTATATGTTTCGCGTTGCTTAAAATATGGTTGTTCATGGGCCTTGATCAGGTGTTTTTTTGTGTTTAGATCTTGCTAAGAGGGTTTCGTAGAGTTCTTAAACGGGATTTCCTTTTCACAGTTTCTGTGGGTATCCCAAAGTGCTCTTTAAGGGTTCTATGAGTTGTTTCGGTGATTCGGGTTGAGTGCGTTTAGAGTCTTGGGCGCATGAACTCCCCATGGCTCGGTCTTCAGGCTTGAGCATGTGAACGTGCTCCGAATGGCGGCATCAATTGAACAGAAACTCAAAATCAGCGGTGGTTCCCCGGTAAACATCAGCCATCGAGCTTGGTTGCAACGGTCATGCGCCCTTAAGGCATCTCTAAGACTCTCAGCCTTGATGTCCTTCTGGTTGATGTCCTGCTGGAAGGTAGACACGGTCGGAATGCCCGGGACCCCAAAGAGGGCATTTCTTTTCTGACCCCTGCCTCTTCATCAGATCAAACCGGCGTATCGACGTATCGTTTTAAAACCCGACCCCTCCCGAGGCCATGGCCGGCGTTTCTGCCTGTCGTCGTCCTCGTTGTGTGTAGTTGCTGTCTCAACGATCGGTTTCAAGGCTTGCGACTGATCTTTAAAACGGTTTCCCGAGTCCTCTTTGGTTTGAGCATCAACTGTTTTGCGAAACTGGGAAGCCATTACCCCGAAACTGAGTGGGTCTGTTTCGTTGCTCGGACCCGAAACCGCCCCAGTGCACCGAAGCTTCAAGCGAACGATCCGAAACGAGCACCCGATCGCCTTGTGTTCCTGCAGCGTATTTCGCCCAACGCTTCTTATAGGGATTGGAAAGGAATTATCGTAGGGAATATCGCCACAGGGTCCACACTTATTTGGACTGGACAAGGTTTTCCTCAAGCAGGGCTGTGCTTTTTCAAGGTACCCAAAACGAAGCGGAAAGATCGGTTGAGGTAGGACCTTGGCCCTTCACTAGGCTCTGGTTCCTGTGGCGAGGTGAGTGGGCCAATCACTGTGATCAGTTTGGGGTGTAGGGGCTTGGAGCCTTCAGGGTCCGGGCTTAGAGGTTTAGCATCGAGGGTATTTTTAGTGAGGGGTTTATCAGTAAAGTTGGAGGTGCTGTACTTGTGACAGTAGTCAGGGTTTATTAAAATTTACCGTGCAGCAGTTGTCGAATGTGACTGTCGAGCCTTTCAGGAAGGTTTTGGTTGGCGTTTGGGAGATTATTTCGTTCTTGGGGCTGTAACTCGTCTTCCCAGCAAAGAACTCATATTCGTCGATCTTTGGCCTTCAGCCGGGTTCAGGATGCAGTTCACGTGTAGTGCCAATCGCTCAAGTCCCAACCGAAACCCGGAAATGCAACCATCTAAACTGGGAGTCACCCACGCAAAGAACTAGTTCCAACCTGCTCACGACGGTTTGGGGACAAGTGCAAACCCAACCACCGTGCCTAAGATCCCCTGACCCCAAACCGAAAACTGAAGTTTGAAGATCTGGAGCTCTGAAACCCCTGAACCCTGAATTGAAACCCTTAGGCCTTAAGCCATAGGCCCTTAACAGCCCCTCACAACCTCTAAACTTGAAGCTTTGAACTCTGAAAGACGGTGAGAACCCTGACACCGCAAACCGGAAGAACCCGATGGGCAGTTGTAGTAAGCACACGGTTTGAAGGATCAGGTGGCTTCGTACATAGGGTAGCTTGTGAGCCACAGGATTGTTGTGCTGCGTTTGCTTCACGACGTTTTAACGCTTTAGACTTCGGCTTAAGGATTGCTATGCTAGGTACATTTATCAAGCAGTAAAACTGACTCGGGGTTCTCTCCTTGGAATAGCTGCCCGCGCTAGGCTCGGATGGCTTGTCCGCGGGCTTGGGGCAATAGACATCAAACCCAAAATAGATACAACCATGTACTGTTTGGGGTCGTCGCTGGTACAATTTGGTTCGGATGTTTCTCAGGAAGGCCTTGGATTTCTGGCATGGTCTACAACCCGTTTCAGAATTCAGAACTCTGCAAGAACCTTTGGAAGGGCTTGCATTCGATTGAAGACTTTGCGTGTCGTGCTTTCGGTTGTGGGGTTCCTGTGGCACCGAGCTTGGGATCTGAGGGTGTAGCTTGGTATTCAGGTGTGGCGGTGCAGAGCCCTAGGAAGCCCGTAACCCTCGCTCCAATAAATCCTCAAAATCTACACTACTGTCCAGTGCTTAGTAGGGAATTATGGGGGAATGGATCCCTTTGATAGCCCTTATATAATCCCCAAATTCACTAATGGTCCCTACAGTAGTCCCTATATAATCTCCCATAATTGTCTCCATAATCCATTCCCCCCATTCCCTACTAAGCACCAGACAGATTTGGCTCAGCCTCAACCTCGAAAGCGTGAATCCTGAACAACCCAGACGCCGAACACTGAAGCCCTAAACCCGTGCACTTGAACCCAAGAAACCGTTATATAACCCCCTTCCTCATAAGCGCTAGCACCCTTAAGCTCTTCACCCCTTGACCCCAAACCCGGAACACATATCTCCAAGCACCCTGAATCCCAAACCTGGAGCCCTAAACCCCAAAAGCTCAAACCCCATCCGAACACCAAGGACAAAACATGCCCCAAGAACGAAGAAATGCAAACACTAACCCCAAGGAGAAGCTTACGAAACAGGTAGCTGCAGTGAGCAAAATAAGGTATGTCAAAGGAAAACAACAGTAAGAACAGGCCCCCATCTCCCACAACAACGCTGGAAGGTTTACATTGGCGTACACCGCCACACGGGTGAGAAGGTGGCAATAAAGGCCCGGCGTTTCAGCTGATGGGATACCCTAAACCCTAAACCCGGCCGGGGCCATCTTGTGAAACATCTGGCGAAGGGCGGCGGCCCGTTGCTGACATCATCGAAAGCAGACGTAATCTGAAGTACGGCGACGACTTCCACCGCTGACATTACCTATTTGCTTACTTACTTACTTACGTATTCACTTATTACTTACTAGTATTACTGCTACTGCTACTACTACTACGACGACTACTACTACCACTACTACTACAACAACAACAACAGCAACTACTACTACTCCTCCTCCTACTACTACTACTACTCCTACTCCTACTCCTACTGCTACTGCTACTGCTAGTACTATTACTACTACTACTACTACTACTACTACTACTACTACAACTGCTGCTACTGCTCCTGCTAAGCACCTGGGCTCGAACGACGAAACTTAGCGTGTGTGTGTGTGCGTAGAAGTAGGCTGCAGGATGGTGCATTCACACCTTCTCCTCCTCCTGGCCTACCTCCCCTTCCATAATCCTCATTCCCCCTATCTGCGAGCCGCCGGGCCCAAATCTACATGTCTGGACGGACTGCC